AACGCTATTATTTAATTGCATAAAATATTTATTAAATACATAGTTATTTATTATATGTGACATACAATAGTATAATAGTAAAATGGGTCTAGTTCATAAGATCTAAACTCATTTGACCCAAACTTATATGACCCAAATCATTTGACCCAAGCTTACTTGACCCAACTCATTTGACCCAAACTCATTTGACCCAACTCATTTGACCCAAACTTATTTGACCCAAATCACTTGACCCAAATCACTTGACCCAACTCATTTGACCCAAACTTATTTAACCCAAATATTTATTATATTATTTTTCATAATATATAATTATATATAAATAATACAAACTTAATAATTGGGAATATTTCTGGCTTTTTTATTTAAAAAAATAAATATTATTAAGTTCTAAATTATTTTATAGATTAAATAGATTATTATTTTATTTATATAATTAATTAAATAAAATTATTAAGTTGTATATTATTTATATATAATCATAGTTTGAAAAAATAAAATAATAAATATTTGGGTCAAATAAGTTTGGGTTAAATGATTTAGATCAAGTGATTTGGGTCAAATGAGTTGGGTCAAATGATTTGTGTCAAGTGATTTGGGTCAAGTGATTTGGGTCAAATAAGTTTGGGTCAAATGATTTGGGTCATATAAGTTTGGGTCAAATGATTTGGGTCATATAAGTTTGGGTCAAGTGATTTGGGTAAAATAAGTTTGGGTCAAATGAGTTTAGATCTTATGAGTGCGACCGTAGTAAAATATATCTAAATTATTATATCTGTAATTTAAAATATATATTATACTAATAAATATTTATAAATAAGTACATTATTACTTCAACATTGACTAATACAATTTGATAGTTAATAAAATACAATACTATATATAAATGTTTTGATTTTTGTTTCTTTATTTATCAAATTTATAAATTTTTGTATATATTTTTAAATTTATTGTCGCTCTGGTTTTATAATTTTTTTAAATATAAATTTTGAAATTTAATAAAACTTTAAACGGGAATAATAAAACATAATAAGTGATACCAATTGTATTATTTGTTTATATTAATTAATATATCAATTTAAAACAATCTAGTTTAATTTAATATGTCAGTCAAAAAAGTTATAAAAATAATTTTTAAGTACATATTTGAAAAACGGATGTTTAAAATTTATTAAAACTGCAAACAAATCAATATAAATATAAACAGTGAAATCAAGGCTCGTTTTATTTTAGTCATACGTATGTATCTATATTTATTAGTCTTAAAATTTAGTAATTTAGTCGACATAATGGACATTAATAAATTAAAAATCTTCAAAATTTTGCTATTTTTATTAAACATTTGTGCTTTAATAGGCACACTATTTAATATAATACAAATTTTATTGTATTTTGTTTCTCATGAATTAAAATATGAAATTTGCAAAATTGGTTGCAATGACATCGTGTCTGATATGAACTGTTTGTTGACCAGTTGTAAGACTGCCCGTTGTTTTTCAGTGACTGTCATCAACACTCTTGTGTTACTTATACTTCATGTAAAGCTTTTATCACAAATGTTTGTCATAATTAGCTTAATGGGCAATACATTCAATGATTGGAAACCCTATTTGGCATCATTTGTGTGTCATTTTCCATGGATTACATTCAATGTATACGATTGCTGTAAGAATATTCTCTCTCATTATTGCTTATCTATTATACTGTTTGATAAATATATACAAATATATTGCTATTTATGTCACTATATTTATGTCACTATATTTATGCTCAATATAAAGCTTTTTGTTGTTTAATAACATATTTATTTTGCATTAAAATATCTTTTGTATGTCTAGTCTTTCGTATATCTATTTTTCAAATTGAAATTCTCAGACATAATTTAAGTGTTGATTGGATCCCATATTTTTATGCCATTATTCATGTCTTGGACTTATCGACACTTCTGGTCAACGGTCTGTTTGTTCAATCGGTTATCAAAACTGCTATAAACAACAACAACAACAACAGGTCTTTTATTTATTATATAAAAAATATTTGCTTATTATATATACGGTATAAAACATAAAAATTAATATAATGAAGAAGAAAATGTATTTTTTATTCAAATGTCAAAATGTCATCATTTTATATAAGAAAAAATAGAAATAGAAATAAGATAACAACAAATCTCTTTTTATTTATTGATTATTTTTTGTATTCAATAATACTTTAATTTTTTCAAAGAAAAGATGCTTTCAAAAAAAAGTTTTATAGATATTATAAACTGATATCTTAAAAAAAGATATAAATCCTTGAAACTCAATTAAAATTTAAATTATATCATTTGAATGACATTTTGTTGTTGTTGATGACAATAATGAGATAAAAAGACAATATGTCTACTCTCTCTCTCTCTCTCTCTCTCTCTCTCTCTCTCTCTCTCTCTCTCTCTCTCTCTCTCTATTATTTCACTTTTATAAATCATTCATATTTTTAGATTAATATAGATTTTTCCAATTTTGATTAAAATTTTTAGACAAAATTTTTTTATTTTATTGATATTTAAATCCTTTTATCTTTTAAAAAATAGGATAAACCGGACAATAGTTGTGAATCGATGCGTTAAACTATTGAGTCGAGTCCTGCAATGTATTGCATTGTTTTGGAGTATTGGTTACACTATTATTACGGTTATAATCGCCATTCAATTATCTCAAGAAATTGATTGTTTTAAAAACATTTCGGATTTAATCAAAATAATAACAATTTATCAAAAAATAATGTCTAACATCACTACTGTTTATACGAGTTTAACTTTGGACATGAAATTTATGTTTATGTCTGTATTGCAATTAATGCCATCGATTTTATTTATCACATATCATCACAATAATCGTAAGCTCATTGCAATTATCAATGTTTAATACAATATTCATATATTGCTTAATTGAGTTAATTTAATAAATAAAATAAATAAATACAAATAATTTATTTAAAGTATTAGTTGACAATTAATGTCAATCATTAATTGAATAGTAAATATAAATATTATTAAATTCAAAAAACTAAACTAATTTAATAAAGATATTCCGTATGAATGATAAAATAATATTTTTAATATTTTTATGCTTAACTTATTTTAATTAGAAAACTGTATTTAACTTTTTCAAGAATACATATATTTAAGACTATTTATGATAAAATTTAAGTAAATATTATTAAAGAAAATACAAAATTTAAAAGTATTGTTTCAGTTCATTAGAGCGCAAACTAAATAATAGTTTATATTTTTATGCAAAAAAATTGTTAATACATTAAATATCAACCATATTTATTTAGTGATAGATTAACATTATTTTATTAATATATACTGTATTTTTAATGCATTATCAAAGTAATTAATAAAAATACTAATCTTCTTAAAATATAATTTTATAAAAGTAACTCTTATTATAAATAGCAATTAAAATAACATAGAAATAACAATTTAAATAAAAAATAATAATAAATATTAACATTGATTATTGTTTTGTCTATAAAATGAACTCTCTCTCTCTCTCTCTCTTCTCTCTATCTATCTATCTATCTATCTATCTATCTCTACCTATCTATCTTTAACTATTCAAATAAGTTTTACTTGAATAAAGAGTAAATTGATCACATCCAATATAAGCTTGATAACTATATTAAACACCATAATTTTATTAACATAATTTAAGTCTACAATAGACTTCAATAGACTACAATAGAGTTTATATAATATAATATTTTAGAAAATACAGTACAATACTATAAATTATAGTCTATATTATACAGTAATACCACTTTTATACTAATATATAAGTAAATATTTTTTAAAAGTAATAAATAAAACCTCAAAATTTTAAACACTTTAAGTAAACTTATAAAATAGTTTATTTCACTTCCTGTTCTGTAATATTTATTATTGAAAAGTAAAGTAATTTTAAATAATTGATTAAAAATAACCAAAAAAAACTACAACTAAAACTATAACTAAGACATAAAACTAGGTTTGAACTATTGATTAGATTCATATCATTTATTTCAATATTATATAAATTTAAACTTTATTTATTAAAAACAATCTGACATCTAATGTTTTATAAAAATATTATTTTATTTATATTTGAACATTAAGTTATATAGAATATATTTTTTAGATTTAATTATAATTGATATTAAACTTCACATCAATTGTTAAATTTATAATTCAACATTGCTAAGTTTCCAGATATTGTGAAATAAATGTATTAATTCAGTTTAATCATTATTGTTATTTATGTAATATAAATTTTATATTGTGATGAGTGTCACTTACATTTAATCAATAGAGAGTAATACTGTTTGACAAAACAATAATTATACATTCAAAACAAAATACAATTCATGTGAAATTATTTCATATACTAACTTATTATTAGATAATCTTATTGCTTCAATAATATGCAATTTTCATATAATATTACATATAATTTTATTTTATTATTAGAATTTAGAATATATTACATATAACAATAAACTATATGCACATTATATTTGATTATTTTTATATTTATCACATTAAATAATATTTAGCTATTGCATATTAATTTTGAAACTTGTATTAATGATAAGTAATTAAAATAATTATATTTTTTATTTAAGTCATGCAAAATACTGATACATATATTGTTGTGGACATCAGTCATATTGGGTTCATATTAATGACAATTATAATATGCAAAAGATATTTAAAGAAAAGCGAGACTACAGTAAAATATTCAGCCGTCAAATGGTCACGAAATACCATCAAATGTAATGATACTTATGATTTGAATTTCATCTGAATAAATATAATTTATATTTTATTATACAATCATTATTGTAAAATATAAGTTAATATTTGTTGTGCGAAAAGTTTTTATGGCTTATTTTATAACTAAAATAATAAATAAATAAATATTTAATATTTAATTTGTTGTTTTTTTCAATTATACTGTACTAAGTGTTAAGTAAAAATGTCACCAATTTTATCAAAAATTATATTTTTTATTTTGTGTGAAACCTGTCTAACACTTTGTCCGCCACTACTTATGCCACAAAACTCACTGTTTTCAGGTATTTATAAAAAAAAAGTTTAACAAAAGTTTAATAATTTTATTTCTCAGCTAATTGTCGACGATATCAACGTAAGGGTGGGATCTGTCAAATATGGTGTCGAAACGGTTTCAAACAACAGGGCTCTCCAACCCGTATATGTCAACCAAATAATCATTGGTCGGGAAGACCGAGTAAATGTCTTTCTAATGCACAACAATGTCAACCAATAAAACAAATACAAAAAGGATTTGTCGACAACTCATGCGGTGATAAATTTGCAGTCGGATGTCGACTTACATTCAAATGTGATACCGGTTCTCAATTAAATGGCAGTCAAGTAATTAAATGCATGAAAGGCGGCCAATGGTCTAACCCTAAGCCCAGATGCGATGACGACATCCCATCGAAATGTATTGATTTGGTGGCACCGTTAGGTGGTATTTGGGTTAATAATGATTACCAACCGTATGAATGTAATGGACAACCGGGACAAACGTGTCGATTAATATGTCGGCAAAGATTTAAATTAGTTGGTCCCACATATGTCTACTGCGATATTAAGACACATGTTTGGTCTCAACCCATATCTACTTGTGTTCGCTACTAAATCAATATAATTATTATTCTTATTAATTGTTCAATTGTTACCTACATTTATATAGTATATATTGATATAATTATAATATTATTCATATAACAATATTAAGATATATTAAATCTTAAATTATATATAATATAATCATACAGTATATTATTGTGTTTAATAAAAATAGACAAAAATAAACTAAATAATTTATTTGCATCTCTGACAAGTGTTATATAATTTGTTTTTAAAAATAATTTGAAAAATTAATGTAATATAAATTATAGAAACATAATTACAATTATGCAAATTAATCAATATAACAAAATGATTTTGATATACAGATTTATAAAATAATATATAATTTTTAAAATGACATATAAATCTTTAAAAATAATAAACTTATAATCAAATAATAAATAATGTTTTAATGGACAAAAATATTGTGTATATTTCAAGGAGTAGTTGTCAAGTAATTTGTGATTTTTATTAAAACAAATTCATATCATATATGCTTTTAAATCAATGCTAAACTCATTAATTATATATTAAACTTAAAAATTATTACAATTCTTATACTTTTGACTTAACAAAAACAGTCATAAATCTTATGCTTAATATAACTCCAAGTGATGTCATATTGTTTTTACCACAAAACAAGTAAATCATTAGTTTTAGAGATCATCACAATTTGGCTCTTAATATGTGATTATGTAAGACAATAGAGAAGCGCAACAATTTATTAGACACTTGTTTCGCATTTCATTTGATTTTTAAAAATTTAAATTAATACATTACATTACTATATATATATTAATATATACAAAATAATAAAATTAAATAAAGCGTTATCTCATATTTGCTGACATAAAACACAAAATAAAATCCTAAAATTTGATTGATTTTATCAATGGTTAGTAATTGCCGTGGAATGTAAAGACAGACATGTTGTCAAAAAAATCACTTTTTGGAGACAACTCTCTAATGTTAAACACATATTTGACTTTAAATAAAATAATTTAAGTTAATTTAACGACAATTTGTATCTCATTGTCTTATGTATGCATTTCAAGAGTCATGTCATCGATGATTGGTTAGACTCGTTGGTCGGTCAGGAATTCGCGGCGGGATTAGAGGTCTATCGGTTGTCGTGTTTGTGGTCGGTGTCGGCATAAACGGTACATTACGCCTATCATATAGACATTAATATATATAGATATATATATATATTTATTTGAACATAATTTACTTAATTTATTTTATTGTTTCTCTATTGGCATTAATCTAAATATGTTTTATCTTATATGTTAATTAATATATGTTAAATATAACAACCAACATTAACAATTAACGGCGTTAACGTTTCTAAATTTGTATTAATCATCAAAATATAATATATGTATATATTTAGAGAAATTTATAAGATATATATATATATATATATATATAATATTGGTAAATTTATATAATTATATTTATAATTTATCATATGTTTTATATTACTAAACAATTCATTAAATTGTTTTATCATTATTGATATACTTAATTACTTATTAATTTTTTTAAAAATGTTCGCAAATAATTAATATATACACTAAGTAAATAAAAACCAGACAAAAAATAACACATAATATAAATTAAATTAAGATGAATCGCTTAAATTTGACTAATCTATTGATAAAAATAACAAAAATAAGTGTAAAAATTAATGGAATTTCTGCAAAAGTATAATATAATATTTGCTATAATTTACATTACTTTCAAATAATTTACTTAATATTTTCTATAATTTACATATTTTTCTTTAAATATATTTATACTATTTATAATAAGATGTATATCGATATATTATATACAGATAGTAATCAATCAATCAATCAATAATTTACCGCAATATACTGTATTATACTATATATTAGTGGTAAATATAAATGTTAAAATTGGCATTTCAAATGTCTATGTAATGTTTGATCAAATTAACATATGCCTAATATAATCAAATTATTGATAATGCGATTAAATTACCATTATCTGTATATAATACTGCATTTAACTCTCTCTCTCTCTCTCTCTCTCTAAACTATATATTATTATTATTATTAAATAAATAAATATTTTCATTAAATTTATTATAGAGATTTGTAGTCATTGATAAATTCAATAATAGATTATTTAGATAAAAGTTAACGATAACGCCGTTACTATTGATAATTAACAAATAGCTTAAACAGTTAAAACAGATAAATATATTATGTAATAATTGATAATAGTTAATATTAGGTATGTATGTGTATGAGATATATATATATATATTTGTTTATATATATGTATATCAATTATTTATGGACAGGCATGCCGAACGCATCGAGAATCGTGTCGGTCACGGCCTGCTGTATACGCGGCGGAACCGAAGGCATTCCTCGTCTGCAGCATTCAACAGAAGCACAAAGAAAGCAGTTTTCAATTAACGATTAAATAATTGCATTTTTAAAAGGTTAGTAAAAAAGCTTACTAAGTGATAGGTATGTTAATACTGTATACACTAATGTGTATACATTATAAGATACTTACGTTGGAATGAGTGGCGGTGGCAATGGTACACCTCCGCGACCTGGTGGTGGAGCTCCACGACCCGGGACATTAGGAGCCGGTCTGCCCGGTGGTGGAGGAGCGCCACGAGATGGATTGGCAGCTGGCGGGGGCGCCGGTCGATTGGGATTGTTTAGTGGCGGCCTATTCTGTGATGGATTCGATGCGGGCGGTGGTGTAGGAGATGGCGCTAAATTGCGTAGTGACCAGTCGTCCTTTACGGGTGGAGGTGCCGGTGAATAACTGGTTTGCATCGACACATCTCCAATGATTTTGAGCGCATCTTTGCACGCGTGATACATACGAAGCATCTCTTCTCTCTTACGCTCTTCTTCTGGTGACTCCTCCATCATTGAAGTCTAATCACGTAATAAATCAATATTAAAATGCATTTAAAATATGATAAAATTATAAGTATTGTAATATATTACCTGATCTCCTGCAGCATATAGACAGGCTAGCAGTTCACCAAAAATAAAATCTTTCGCATCATTTATCATTAAATGCATTATTATTTTCGGTACTAAATCTCTGTTTAAATAACAATAAAATATTTGTTTTTAGATTATCCAAAAATCTATTATTTAATGTTATTTTTAAATACTGTAATTCATTTAAAGTACATTTAAAGAATAATTGCTGTCTTAATAAACTAACATTTGTCTTATTTGTATTATTATTATTATTTGTTAATTACCGGTAATTTAATATAAAATAAACATTATTTATTCAAATACTAAAAACTATTTCTAATGTTTTAATATTTATTTAACTAAGAATCGGTTACAACAAGACTTAGTACACACACGTCATAGTACTGTATATCTGTATTACAAACTCTGTATAATATAAGAAACGAATGAATGAAAAATCGATTGGTTTGTAACACAAATTGCTTTTGACCTTAAAATCACTCTTTTATTTATATTGAGTCCTTATATTGCGATTTTGCATTACTCTAAACAGTTTAATAGTTTAATTACAATCTTATACTGTATTATACAATCAACAAAAACATAATAGAAATTTTATATCTATGGAAAGTTAATACAGTATAATAAAGAAAAAAATAATACTCTATTTGTTCAATTGATTTCCTATAATAAGCCATATTATATCCTATAGTGTATTATAAAATTGAAGGACACTAAATAATAAAGGCTAATATTACTGTACTTATTATACTGTATATTAAAAACAATTGTTATGACAAAAATCGATTACATGAACTAATCACTTGTATGGTATTAAAGCTGTTACAACAGATATTATTAAATCTTTAATTTTTTAAAACATATGTTGAATATATATATATATATTGTATAATTAATAAATTTAAGAACTTTAAAATTTCATTTGTATTTAAATAATATCTAATTTCATAAACTAATCTAAAATATTCTTTATATTAAAAAATTTATTATTGCTATAAATATTTAAAAATATATAAAAACATGCAATCATTTAACTTACCGGAAAGTTTTCGTCACAATCTTCATGTAAGAGTCGACAAGATTTCTGATGGTTTCCACCTGTCGTTCAAGTTGTGGATCAAGACTTGAAACACCTGTATCACAGGCGCCATCCTCTCCACCATTAGATGACTGATCTCCAGAAGAAGTGGATCTTTCGGGGTAAACACCGGCCCTCAAGAATGACGCCTTCCAAGAGTCGACATCTTCGGATGTTTCACACGACAACTCCAATTGTTTGTAGTCTTTATAGACATTTCTCTGATCGGGATTGAAAAGTGCAAACGTGTGTCTTCGGGACATAAATCCTGACTCAATGTCCTAAAACAACAAACAAATAGTTACTAATCAAAGCAATTAAACACCAAAATTACTGAATAAACCTTAATCTTGAGGCCATCCAATGGCAACATATATTTCTTATCCTTTTCCTCTTCATCTTTAAACCATGATATAGACTCAGAGGTTAAGACAAACCAATAATCTCTGGAACCGCCTTTCATAATACCCAAATTATGTATACACATATAGCCTTTACGGATAACCTATTAACGACACAATAATAAAAACAATTCAAATTATGTTTTGGACGCCAAATGAGCGCCACTGAGACAAAGCATCGCAAGACATAGAAAAACAAAACTCTTACCCCAGTCTGTGAACAAACATCGCCGCATAATAAAAAAATTTAGACAATCAATTAAAAAACAAGTGCAGCGCACAGGTAGTACAACAATTGTTTTCAATACATGTTCACCAATTTTAATAATAATCATTTTAAACTAATGTTAATCTATTTTACATTATTTAACTACTTTTTTACTTTTATAAAATAGGTATCACTCAAAATATAAATGTGAATTTGTATAGTACTGTTATGTAAATTTCAATTACCGGTAGTATATAATTGACAAAAGTTGCCAAAAATAGTGAACATATATTGAGAGTTTAAAAAGTTGGATACGTTATATAAGATAGTACCTGATTTCCCAATTTTTTGCGACCTCCCTGTGCACTCTCAGCTGACTGTTGAGCATTTGTAAAGCCGATGAAGTCTTCGTGATTGGTGTTCATGTAAGCCAACTCCACTTCAACCAAAAGCAAGATCTGATCTTTGGTTTTCTGTTCCCGTTCTCTAACATGAGTTGTAATTATCCTCTCAGTCTCCTCTCTAAGCCGTGGATATCGACTCATTCTTTCAGTACATCTCCGAACAACATTTCCCAATTCAGTGATACAAAGATCTACACATTTAAGTGATGGTTCGCGAAGTTTTCCGATCTGTTTCTTAACAATGGCTTCAAACGCCATGTCAGGCGTGAAGAGACCAACTCGTATACCATGAATGTTGCGAATGGCAAAAGCTATCTCTCGTCGCAACTCTTTCTCGTCGAACTCCATCTTAACGATCTCGAAAGGGAACCTCTCGTGAAATAAGCGATTAATACGAGCACCGCCTGACAATTCAGATGTATTAATAGCCGCTGAACCACTTCCTTCAATATTGCGCTCAAAGTCAGTCTGCAATTGTTGTATCATTTGTAACATTGCTTTGGTTTTGCGGGTCGGATCATCCGGTCTGAAGTTTTTATATTCCTCAACCTATTGAAAAATATTAAAAACATTTAAATTAATGGTTTACTATAAATTAAAGTCAAACAAACAAAATCATTACATCTTTTTCAAGAGTCAACAACTGCTTCTGTAGTTTGTCTCTTAAAGCCGGTAATGTATCTCTAATATGATTAGTTAATTGTTGATTGAGTACTCGTTGCAAATATGGTGTTCCCATTTTGTCGGCCATATGTCGATATGATGGATGTGACAGAAAAAATTTGCGCTCACCGTCGAGTGCAACACGAATATCTTTTTTGCCCTCAATATCCCTCTGAGATCTGTTTACAACTCCAATATATCCGCGACGAAGTGGTAATAATTTATTCTCTAAAATTTCTCTGGCGTCTGTTCCCTCGTCCATTAAATCCAATTTAGTAATAACACCAATACATCGAACACCTTCCGGATCAACTTCTTTGGCTAATTTAAGAGCATCACTGGTAGCCAAATCTTGATTAGCACTGGTCACGGCTAATATTAGACAATTGTCTCGTTTAATAAATGAGAATATCATCTCTCGGATCTGGTGCTCAATATCTATCGGTTGATCGCCGACAGGAACTTTGGTCATACCTTTACAATCATTAAAATAAAATAAATCGGTTTTAATAAGAAAACAAAAATATTTTATAATAATTAAATTAAATAAATAATATTTTACTCATTATCTATACTAAGTTGTTTATTTTAAAATGTTAATATCACCTGGATAAATTCATTAATATTAAAATAAATGCATTTCTTAACCAATTCATAATTTTTAATACATCAAAGCATTACTGTGAATAATTAATAGCAAATAAATTAAATTTAATAATACTGTCTATTAGTACCGGTAAGGCTTACAATGGAAAACAATAAAACTATCGATTACTATAAAATAGATATAAAATTATTAATATTAATACTGAAAATTATAATACAGTGCATAATTATGGTAAATATAATATAAATTATTATCAAATATGGTAATCAAATCAATATAATTAAAAATCATGTTAGACCTGGAAGATCGATAAGTGTTAAATTGAGTACATGTGGTGAATAGACTCTCAGATTGATCGGTACGGGAGATATGCCCTTATTATGACCAGTAGTTCGTTCGGTCTCATCCTCGATCTCTTTGCGTATTTCATCAAAGTTTGTAAATTTCTTTCCCCGACAATGAAGAAACTCTCCATATTCTGAAAGAAAATAAAAAACAATAATTAATTTACTAATTTGCTATAAAACTATTAAAAATTAATTAAAATTAGATAAAAGTTGATTATAATTAATTCAAACCAATGTTAGCTATCCTTTATGAATCACACCTGCATTTGGGGGCGATTACTATAACAGTCATAAATAGGTGATATAATTCAACACAAAAATATCGCATAACTTGTATAACTAAATAAATTAATGTGTCATCATATATGTCAATAATACTATAGTATATTTATAACTAATTATAACTTATTAATTCAATGAAAGTTTGAATCAATTTTGAAACACTAAACAAATGCAAAAAAATCAATTCAACATTAACTCAATAATAATTATTAGAAGTAGTTATATATAAGTAGACTAAAAAACAATGCAAAAAATGATAAATAGATTATATATTTAATATAAAATATAACTCAAACTAACCCATTGCAGAGTTAATTAGTTGCAGTACAAGTGGCCTACGGGTGACAATACCCGAACCTCGAGGCAAAAAATCGCGGCCAACAAAGTTCTCTAAGACCGATGACTTGCCGGCCGATTGTCCGCCAACGACAGCAATTTGTGGCAAATCCAATGACATGGGAACACCTATTTTGAAGACAAACCAAGATTTTTGATAACATGTTTAACAAAAAATATGGACATAATTAATGAGTCAGTCATCCGATTCAATGTTATCTGATATCAAATATATGTAAATAAATAACAATCGATTCAAATATTAGTCATTGATTTCAATCAGTTTTCAACATAAGTTTCATATCATATGCAATGATATGAAAATCAATTGATTGAAAACAATATACATATTAATTCATTGATTGGTAAATATGGGATCAGTTAACTAAATGTCACGTAGTTTTTCACATATAAATGATATCAAATATGATTATCAATTGAACCAAATCATGGACACCAAACTGGATGACCAAACAAATTGTGGATCAGTTACGGACCCATTTGTGCGAAGGCGTCCTGAAGTTTGTTGACAATTGGGATCAATCCCTCCATTCCGTCGTTTCCGGCAACCATTTTCAGCGATCAATTGGTGGTCAACACAAAACAATCAATCAATCAATTGATATAATCATATAATGACTTAACAATAATAATAATAATAAAAGGTATGAATATATATCACATCTGCATATATAACGAGTCAATCAATTGAAAGCTATATTTAGTTATTAAGACAACAAACACAACATTAAGTGTCAAATATTATCATTGGATTCAATGGTCTAATCGTTGCAATCCATCCATTGATTGCAATCAAACTAATCATACATTTGGATGAATTCACTCATAAATATATATATATTATTGATTTTCTCTATCAATATATACTGTATATAATAGTAAGCAGTGTTTGGACTGTTGTTTCAATAGTTATAATATCACTCATAGACTGACACAACACAACACAACACATACAACGAGTAATGCTTTGCAGAGAGGCGTCAATACTATCAAAATCAATGCCATTCAACACATAATACTATTAAACATCAATTACGTCACTATTTTATCACACATTTATTGTCAAAGTTTTGTTTTATTATTATTAATCATTATTTATTTATTTTTGTTATTTCTATATTAATTACAAATCAATTAATCCAAATCATTAAATCAACAATAAATAATTGTTTAAATAATGTCCATGGTGTATTTATACAATTTATATATCTGTATATTTAAACTAACATATAATAATACACTAATATTAATAATAAGTTGCATTATTGATAACTTATAAAATCCAATGGCAATAATGCAATAATTACGTAAACTATGCAATCGTTTATTATATTGTCAAAAAAAAGTTAGGATTAAAAGTAATTAATTATTATTATAGATATTTGTCGCACTTGTTATTATGATATTTATTTTTATTTACACCTTAATAGTAGTCATATATTTTTAGTATACATCAAACATATTTTTTATTATTATTATTATTTTAAAAATGTTTCCCTTAAAAGTCCTGTAGCTCTTAAAACTTTATACAGTTTTATAGTTATTAATAATGTTTTTTTTTAAATTTTAAAGTAACGCAAACTTTGAAAACACGATAATTATCACAAATACTTTATAAGACTAAGCAATAGGTCTTTAAACTTGTGTGTTGTCTCATAAAGTTATGATCGCATATACTGTATATCCCAGGGTTGAAAAAATACAAGGTTTTGAATTTTGACTTTGTATAATACAATAAAATACAATGTATTCATGTATTATACAAATTTTAAAACTAATATACTGTATATTATGTTAAAAATTACTTAAAAATATTTTGTATAAATATAATTTCTAAAAATGCATTATTATTATAATCGTTATTTCTAAGTTATAATAATCAAATAATTTAAAATAAAAAAGAAATTCAATAAAAAAAATATTATTAAATCTATATTTATTATAAAACATGATTTACTTTGCTTATATCAATGCTTTTATCGCTAGGTGGCGCTAATTTTTTTGTAAACCAAATTGGTCATGTATTTTACATTGTATTATACAAACATTTTGTCTCTGCCAACACTGTTATATACAGTATAATACATGTGATAATTATAACACTCTGTAATATAAAACTTGGAAAGAGTGCCAAACATTTAGTTGTCATCTCATAGAGTATTCCGCAAATAAAAACATATGGTTTATAACTACAGTATAATTATTTATAATAATATATTTTTATCCGATTTTACTTTTGTGTTAAATGTTTAATGTATTGCCAATTACAATGAACTTCATATGTAATTTACTACAGTATATGTAGTAATCATTGTCAATGTTTACTATACAAGTATTATATAACTTTATTTAAGTTTGTCATTCAAATGTTAGTCTGACTAAACAATAAATAATTTTTTTTACTAAGTATATGTGAAAATCTAATTGACTTAATTTTTATATTTTATTATAATCTATAAAACGACAATTTTTATTTATTTATACATTAAATAACAAATAATCATTGATTGCAGTGATTTGTAGACTGTTAGTCTAAGTAATGTATTTTCAATTTTTTAAGTTAACAATTTTTTTTAAGTTAATAATTACTTCAATATAATAGATTTTGATAAAAATAATAATAAATATGTAATAAATTGTAATAAAATTTTTCTTAGCAATAATCAATATACTGTGATGTAAAATAAATTGGTTTAAATAATAATTATTGCATCTATCAATCAGATAGTTTAACCATATTATACCAACAATTATAATTCATCGTAATTTAATAAGTAATTATAATTAGTATTAATATTTATACAAAATATAAACAGGAAATGTATATAAATTAAACATATCATAAAAATTAAGAAAAAATACATTTTTAGAAACATTTGGATAATTTTATCAAAAAAGTATTGCACTTATGATATAAACTTTATATTATAAAGATTATCGCTTTAAACGGTACAGTACTTAACCATACTTTTCAAAATCATAGAAATATTTTATTTTTCAAATGTTGTTATTTAATAAAATAACAACTACTATATGGTATATAAATTTTATATAAAAAATATGTCATTAAGTAATAAACATTTCTAAAAAATAAATTTAAATAAACTAAATACTAGATCAATATTCTCACTTTAGATATATATTTAAACATATTTGCCATTTTATTATTTAAATATTTTGATACTATTAATATAATGTTATTTAAATATCACATCAATTAAATAATTTAACTATTATATATCTTCAATTAATTTTTGTATATGTTTTTACATTATATTACGTTAAACTACAAATATATTAATTAATTATTAAGTTTATTAGTTATAGATGCAAACATACATGTTTTGTTGCAAATGTATATTTAAATTATAATTGCAGTATATATGACAAATAGATTATTAAATGTTTTATTATCAAACAAAATGTTAAATTAATAACATTACAGTATATGCAATATACTTCTGACTTTAAAATAATATAATAAATTATAAATATTATTAAATACTGGTTTAAATGTGAAGTAAAATTTTTAAAATTAATTATTTTATATGCATTCATTTAAGTAATATGATTTGTGCTATATCACTTAAATAATAATTAAAATATATTTTAAAATTTAAGTCAAATTATTTTAAATATCTGTCTCTTAATTTTTAGATGTAATAAATAAAATATTTATATTAAAATATTTGCATGACATATAAAGTACTGTATATACACGCATATATTGTCAAATATTTTAATAGCAGAAGTTTTAAATTGATGATTATTATATAATTTACAAATATAAATTGTGTTTCATGTAAATTTACATTATATTCATGTCAAGCTTAAAAAAATAATTTAATTGTTTTTGAAATAACAATCACGCAAACTTAATTGATTTAACTATAATTTATTACTGAAGTTATATTATGTAAAGTTATACAATCAAACAATTTTAGTCCCATTCATGTGAATACGTTGCTTAAATATCACATTTATTATAACTGAAAATACTTTATACCAATATTTTATTAATTTGTAATTTAAATTATATCATTAAAATCATTAATATAATTAATTTTGCATATAATTACAAATTAAAATTAGCAATTTTTATATTGCTGTATATATATACAGTAAAATATACAAATATAAAATTTTTTATAATATGACATTTTTAAATAACATTTTCTATTATATTATTTTATATATTAGTTAAAGATAAATCTATTTTATAAAGTATACATAATATATATATATATATTAATATTATTTGATATATTAATGTAAAAGGAAGGGAAGGAAGTGCAGAATTGTCTGGAAATACATCAATGGTATCAATGCTTATAATTATTTAATTTTAATAATCTATTTATTATTTACTAAATAAAGAGTTATATATTAATTTAGATGTTTTAAAAATGTCTATTACATATTATTGTTTTATTATACAATGTTTATATTATATGGTTTATATTATATTGACAATTAGCCATTTATTAGAGGCAATGTATATTTATGACAAATTAAACATAAGCGGTATAAATAAATAATTTATTGATTGTATAAATGATTTGTCAGTAAAGATATTGCAATCAATATTTAGGTGTTTGTGGATTCCCTGGAGAGCCCATATCATCTCAAAACAATATTAACGATAAGCATGTCTTTAAATCGGGAGATGTAGTCATCTATCAGTGCAATGACTTTTTAAGTCACAAACAACAACGAGTCTGTGATAGGGGTCAGTGGTCAGCAAAGACAGCACGTTGTGGTTATGCCATTCAAAATGATATCAAACGTGTTGTCGTCAAAAAATGTAACACTAATTATACAATCAGTGATTTTAATATACCTTTGATGCGTAAGAATAGGGATCAGTTTGTAGACTCGTTTTCGACGGATCGATACAACGATCATCCCATACGTGTGTTAAACTACACGTGCTATGAGTGGTACATCCATTTGGTCAGTCCATCATATTTTTCATTTGTTCGCATAGATTTTGCTACTATTTTTGAAAGTAGCAACAAATCAGCGTTAGATATACCAGAAGTGGTATCTTATGTTAACAAACCTATTATGGCTAACATTTGTCCATTGGATACAAAAAAACGTTATAAACATGTTTGGAGTAATAAATGGATTAAATATAGTTATAAATATCACTATTATTTTAATTGTCATACATATAAAGGTATAATTATATTATTACTAATACAAAATGATATATAAAATTAATTATGATATTTATAGAAATTAGCATAAAATCAGTTGAGAATGCTAGAAAGCATTTTCATACGAACTCCTTATCCAAATTAAATATTTAATTATAATTTATTTTCAGTTTCAAATGACAAGTTGTGACTGAATAAATTCAAACTTAGTTATTTATGGTACCAAATAATTCAGCATGACAAATTAAACAACTTTATTCACGTTTCTTTGTTTAATTTATTTAACATTAGTATTTAAAAACAACATTCTTCATTTTTAACATTAAACATTTAATCTTCATTTTGGTCCTTAAATAGTTTAAATTAATAAATAAATAAAAATTAAAAAATTAATTTCCAAAATGGCACTCAAAGTTGTTGAAGAGATAAAATTTTAAATGCAGATCACTTATAATTCATATTCGATGCTTTACATAAATCTAAACTTAAAAATCAAATTTAAATTTTTTAAAAATTTTTGGACGCTATTTTCTCTATGTTCCTGATAGAATATTAAAATTTTAATACTGATCCCCATAACTCATTTTGATGCTTTATCTAAATTTTAAATCAAAATTTAAAAATTCGAAATTTTTTTTATGACAGACATATAGAATTCAAATACATATCTTTTCAGGAGTTCGTGAAAATTATATCATATTTATTACAGTAATTTGAAAACTATATAAAATGAATTTATAATATAATATATATTATATAGAATTAAATTAATTTTATTTTTTACAGACAATTTGACTTCAGATAAGTTTATCATAAAAACTGAATCTCAAATACCATTAACAATAGATTTGGTACGATTTGCTGTGGGAAATGTTTACGGCACTGTTAGAGAACCGGTATGTGGAGTACCACAAGTGCCATATGGTATGATAGCCAATGAAGTCAAAGAGTATCAATCATATGACATACAATGTAATGAACCATATTTTACAAATACTACCGGAGTATCCAAAACGCTAGTCCAGTGTATTGGTAATGGCTATTGGAGTGGACAATATCCCAAATGTCATCCCCGTAACAGTTGTCTAAATTCAAGCATTTTTAGAGAAAATAAAAATAACTTAATTGCAAAAATAGATAATGTTTACTATTATAATCAATCAGTTTGGTTGGCCATCAATGGCACTGTTGTTTATTATCATTGTGTTCCTAAAAATAGTGAGTTTTAAAAAAAATCAAATGAATATTTATATAACTAATTATATAATTGTATTAAATTATGTTTTTCAGTAATAATGAGCAGAAATTGTCTGCCAAATAATACCTGGAATATTGATTATCAAATGTGTTATCAAAATAATGATAATATTGATCACACATTTTCATCAATTTTGAAAGATAGGCCACAATTTAGACATCTGTTGCCTTTTTACATTACAGTAGCCGTTACTTCAGTAATATTTATAATTATTGCCGTAATTGTGGTTAATTTTGTTATAAATAAATACAAGAGAAAACAATATAATGACCCAAATAAAGGTGAATCTGATTATAAGGAATTCAAATCACAGGTCACAAAGGCTAAGGTGAGAGGAGATCAAAGGGACAAATCAATGTTTACGGAAAGTTGTCCAACAAATCGGGCATTTATTAAGGAATGGGAGCCATTTATATTGCCGCCACAACATGTATATAATACTGAACCCCTGTATGACGTTCCGCCTAATTCCTCAAAAGCTATTCCTATAAACTATGCAAAAAAAATTCAATATCAGAATATTGAAGAAATAATGTCTGAACCCATTTATGATCGACCAAAGCGTCGACAATCAACTGATTTTAAATGACTTAAATATAAAATTGTTAATTTTAAAAGTTGTATTTTACGTGTTATTATAGTATTGTTTTTGATTTGATGTTTCTATTATTATACTATTATAATATTTTATGTTATTTAATGTCATTAATTTAAATTAAATAATAAATTATTAAAATAATAGATTATATAAAAGTAAAATTATTTATTTATGTTTTTTATTTATATATTTTTTTATTTATTAGCTTCAATAATTTGTCAACAGTTTCTAAACATAAATTACCATTTTTTTTAGTAAAAATTTAAAATAATATTTTTATTAAAAACATGTCAAACCCAAACTATGATCGGATTATTATTTTAATTAAAATAATGTATTGTTTGTACACTTTAATACTGAAGTGTGATTTTCTACCAAAACATCAACTTTGAGATTGAATTTTTTATTAATACAAACTTCATGTACTATGCAAACAATGTTATCAAAACATTACATTTTATTAACTAAGTTATATAAACATGTAACGATATTTATACTAATTTTTATAGTGCTATTTGAATATTTATTATATATATATATATACTGTTTATAATTATAATAAAAAGTAATTTTTATATAGTTTATAAAATAATTAAAAAGTTTTTTAGTTTAATTATTATTTTTATAAAATATATTATTAATTTTATATTTTATCTATTTTATTTATCTTATTTAGATATCTTATTTATTAATTAAAGAAATTATATACAAAGTAAATAAATTGTTTTTTATTTAATAATTTTTATCTTAAAAGCAATGTTTGTACAATTGGCAAAATATAAATATTTAATAATAATTGTCTTATGTTTTTATATTAACTAAATTTTTGTTGCCATAGACTTTAATGATAAAAACAGTATATTAATAAATATTGAATGCATATTAAGATCAACAAACATATTGTTTTATTTAGTTTAAACTCAGAATATTTGTCAAATTAATATTACATATACACTGCATTATAATAATTATTACATTGTTTGATCTAAACCAGCTTTTAACCAGTTATTAAAATTTGACTAATTTTAGCTAAATTATTATTTAATATTAGTTTATAAGTGAAAAATTATATACAGCATTAAAAAATTATATGTAAAATAGAAATAACCATTAAATTTAAAATTTAGAAATAATGTAATCCAATATATGTTTATTTACTAAATATGCAATTTATTTCATCTGAAAAGTATAGTTAAAACAAAATACAATATGAATAATATTAAAGGAATTTCATAGACAATGAATTCTAAGCAATGTTTACTGTTTAATACAAAATAACATAAACTAGTCATATATAGTATATATAGTATATATTAAAATATTATTTTATTTTTTAATTAGAAATATGTCCTATTAATTATCAAGAATTAAGAATTTAATTACATGTATTATAATTACTAATTTATTATTTAATTAATTATATTTTTCTATATATATATATATAATTACAAATATTAGTAATTTTGAAAATATATATATTTACAAAATTTACAATTATATACAGTATTTTTATTGATTCATAGCTAAACCACAAATTCTGTTAGTAATCTATTAAATAAATAATTTTAAAATTTTAGTTTTTGTGTGATAATAAATATTTATAATTTAATTAAAATACTATATCTAACATTAATTTTACAGCATATTTATTTGAGTGCTTATTTCAAAAAATGTTTAAAATCCAATGATTATTATCAATTTAATATATTATTAAAATATATTGATGTTTTTAACTATTAATATTAAATTTTAGAAATTATTACAGAATTGTGACATAGATTCTTGTTGTTTGTGAACTCAATATTATGTAGTCGTGTGTAATATAATCTAATTTTGGCATTGGATGTGATGTTGCGTACAATTGTATGACTCTCACTCACTCATTCACTCACTCACCCACTCATACACTCTCTTTTTCACTCATTTACTACTGTCTCACTGATCTCCCTCTCCCTGTATTTTATCATTAAAAATAAAATAGGACTGACTTATTGAATACACACTTTCATTACTCAGTGATAAACACATAGCAGAACTTAAAAGTGCTTTTGATTATAACAGTACATCACTTGTTACTGAAATCCAAATTGTGAACAGAATTTTGTTTTAAATTTATTATTTATTATATTTATTCCGTAATGTTATTTAAATTTTATTAATATATATATTTTTACAAAAAAATAATAACAACTATTGATATAATGTTTGTTGTTTGTCATACCAATCATTTATTTTTATATATACACAACTATTTTATAAGATGGGATAATAGTTTATTTATGTAATCATGAATTATTTGATTTTATCGATAATAATACATAATCTATTCAATAATAATAAATGTATTCGAGTGTTATATAATAAAAATATAGTCTCATATCAGTTATGTTTTTAGGTTGACTTTTGTGCCATCAGTTATAAATAGATGACATACACAGTATTTTTGTTTGTTCATAATATCTATTCATTATTGTAATTGTGATAATATTGTTTGTGACTAATAATTTATTTATTTAATGTATAAAACTATAACTATATAACTGTAATATAAATCAATGGAAATTATGATTTAGTTTTAAAACATTTACTGTTTTACATAATAACAACAAAATGGGAAAATTAAAGAGTTTTGAGATAGTGTTGGAAAGTGACCAAAATGTGTATTATCCGGGACAGCATGTGAAGGGCAAGTGTGCCATTGAGTTGAGGAGTGAACTTAAATTGAAATCAATTAAGATTTATATGGTTGGCATCGCTAAAGTCCATTGGACTGAATCCAGATCTACAGGCAATCGATTGGGTGCTTATACTGAACATTATAGCTCTGAAATCGAGTACTTTTTCAAAAAACAATTACTCTGTGGCCCAGGTATGTCATAATTGGTATTACAATTTTATACTTAATAAGTTAACCAATTAATTATTAATAATAATTAAATTAATAAATTAGATTATTATAATTTAATCAACAAATGTCTATGATTAATTAAACAAACAAAAAATAATACCAATTATATACATAAATTATTAAGTTTTGGTTATATATGATATAAAATTAAATATTTAAACATGATAAAACTAAAAAAATCCTAATAATATTTTTTAATTTATAATTTCATACATTTAGTTGATTTGTAATATACATTTGACACTTGCAATATACAGTCTAATAACTTTAACATTTAGTTATAATTTTAAAAATTTTATACATATTTACATTTATAATATTCAATAAATAGATTAATATTATGACATTAATAAGCAATATAAGATAAATAATGTTTCTAATAAATAATATCAGTGAAAAAGAAATTAATTTATAATATTGTAAAAAATTTTGACATAAATAAAAATAGATGATTAATATTTAAGAAAGATATTGATATAACATTAGAATATAATTTATATATAAATATATAATATTTTTGACAACTATTTGAAGAATCCAATGATAGTCGTGAAGTGTTGATTGAAGGACACCACGAATTCGTGTTTTCATTTCAATTGCCGAACGGGTAATACATTTCTCACTTTACTTATGTTTGTGTTATATAAATATTTTTAAATACTTTTAGTTAAAAGGAATGTGTATTATGTTTACATTAAGTTTACATTAGTTAGTGGTGTTAAATCACCACTTAGTTTGACTGTTAATTATATAAACATTTTAATGATTATACATTTCAATCCTCATAATTGTATTGTTTGACATCCATTATAGAGGAATCTCGACCTCATTTGAGGGTAAATATGGAAATATTAGGTATTGGCTTAAAGCCGAAGTGGAGAAGCCGTGGGGTTTCAATCATAAAACCAAAAAAGCATTTACTGTCATCACTCCCATTGATATTAATAGACGAGAATATTTGGTATGTATTTTAAGCTATGTTTTTCAAAATGTCTATTACTTTGATTTATATAGATTTGACTCTAACTGCTTAGATATCAGTGAAACAAATTGTTTATTTATTTTAAGGTTTTATATCGTATTAACTATTCATTTATTAAACCATATTTAAATACAGTATATGAGTCTTTCATAAATTTATGTAACACTAATTAAAGTTTTTATTATTTTTAAAAAATCTTAAAATACCAATTTTTGTTTACTATATATTTACTTATAATAGCAATATTTTTACAATTAATGTGTAAAAATATAAAAACTATTTATTAATTTTTTAGATACCGGTTGAAAATAGTATTGAAAAATCATTGTGTTGTTTATGTTGCACATCAGGACCGATACATTTATACGCACGAACAGATCGTACTGGTTATTGTCCGGGTATTGTTTTATATTAATTTTGTCGTTCATATTATATTTAATGACAATTTGTTTTACAATCAAAGGGGAGTCCATATCAATAACGGCTGAATTTGAAAACCATTCGCGACGGACAGTCATACCTCACGCCACTCTATACCAGTCACAGACATTCCTGGCGGGCGGTAAGTCAAGATGTCGGCGCTTCAAGTTTACAATAGTAACTGGTCTGGCCATTCAACCGCGCCGTACGGCCAATTGGGACGCACAGTTGCTTAAGATACCAGCCGTTTCGCCCTCTATTATCAACTGTTCTCTTATTAAAGTGGAATATGCTGTCAGAATCACACTTCAAATACCTCTTATTGGTTACAATCTATCGGTTTACTTACCAATCATTGTAGGAACTGTACCACTAAGAGCACAGTCGTCTAACTCACAGTTAATGAGACCATCGGAAGTTCGGATGTCATTTTATCCGCCCGTTCCCTCCTATTCTGCTGCACTCGAGTTTGAAGAGGATATATCAACGACACGTAAATTATAATAATTATAAATTAAAATTAATTAAATTTTAATAATATATGACTACTGACAGCACCTCCGACTTATGCCGAGTGTATTAGTGGTTCAGTGGATATCGGCGATGACGAAGACGGAGATATTATAGGCGACACACGGTTTACGCCTATGTATGCATACGTTCACAACTATTCTCCAGCAGTCCCTCCGCCAGCGTATTCAGAAGTATTGATATTTACTGTCATTTTATTAACATTTAATTATTTAAAATAATTTATATTAAAAACATTTAAAGATTGATCCACACCCTAACCGACCCGCTTGAACAGTGGCTTAAATTTAATGGCCTTAAAGTCTGATTGTTTGGACAATTATATATTGATTCAAAGGTTTAATGGTTTGACTTCGGTTAACAAGTCTTTGAAATGATGAAACAATTGTAATAATATATCAATATATAAATAATTTTATATGTTATAAATACGATACAATTTGAGTAATTTTGTAATTACTAGATTTATTTTTTCATAATTATATTTTAACAATAATTGTTATTATCAATAGCTTTAAATTAATTTTATAAGTTTTAAATTGACACTAAAAGCAATAATTATTAAAACAACAAAAGTATATATTGTCAATAATTTTCTTATAAATCAAATGATATAATAATAATAATCAATTAATGAAATTCATAAATGTGTGAATTAAATAACAGTAAGAAATACACTGTATTTACAAATGTTTACAAAAAAAACTGAAAGTCAATTATAATTAAAATAAATAAAATCATTGAATTAAAAGTTAATGTCTTTAAAGTTCAAACTTTCTGGCGGTGTATGCCTTGAGATCGTCGGCTTTATTAACAAAATTTACGGCAATAAAGCAAAACTCCGAAGTATCCACTTTTGGCTTTAACTCAGGAGTATTGTATTTTTCGGACAGTTGTGCCAAACGAGTCATCACTGGTTCTGCTATTTTGCGACATTCATTGAAATTGTTGTGCATTTCCTCCATTTTCATCAGCTCTTTATGATTAAATGGCGAATCAGAATCACTGGTTAAACCACGGGTCATATCTTCTAAGGATTTTTGAAAAAACTCGGAAAACGATTCAAAAATTTTTTGAAAATTTTTCGGTAGTTTGATGTCTGCAAACACTTTATGGAACTCAGAAATCATTGTTTGTCTATCAACTATTGATTCCCTAAAAAAACACATTTCATTTAATTTAATGAAAAATCAATGTAATTAAAACTATAATAAAAAACTAATTTATGTACTGTACTGTACTGTACTTACTTTATAGACTTTAATCTGTAATTATCCAAATCAACGATAACTGATTGATCAGCACTTTTCACGACATCATTCACTTTATTTGTTTTAGTCTCGACTTTGTTTTTGTTGAGATAATTGACAATAACATCACCTTTTTGCTGATCCACACTCTTTTCCAAATTATTTAGCAACTCATCCATGGCTTTAATATCTGTTTATAAGAAAAAAAACAAAATTTTAATAAACTATTGATTTTTTAAATAACATTACATTACCATTATCTGAAATAATATTTTCATCAAATTGAGAAAAAACAACAGGAATGACCAGCAAAATGGTTAAGTATTTCATATTGATATTAAAAAATTTTTCAAATTACTATTCAAAAAAAAACTTTTTAAAAACAAATGTTTTGATTAACAATTTATTGAAAGGTATTTATAGGTGAAAATTTGTGACCAAAAGTCATTATCTTTAATTGTAAATCCTATGCAAGATTTAAATTAAAGGTTAAATATAATTGATTAATAATAATACACTGAACTTACTGTTTATTAATCACGTATTTGATGAGTTAAATATTGTAACCAAAATCTCTATGTTATCATCAAATATGTTAATCCTTTTATGAAGTTTTCCAATATTTAACTAATTTTATTATTATTATATATCTGTTTTTATAAGTTTGAAATTTTTAACATATAACTATAATAGTTAAACTATTAATATTATCAAAGTATTTTATCAATTTACTTTTATTTATAAAGATTAATATTTGTGAGAATCATATAATTTATGTGATTATCTTGAATTTAATTGATTCTGGGAAATTTATATGTATTAAATTAAAGGCAAATTTGAATAAAGTTAAAAGTCATAAAGTAATTAAAATATTATTTATTTTTAAGATGTGAGTTAAAAATTATTTTAGCTTTTATTTTTAAAAATTGATACAATATTTGCATTTTATATTATAAATATAAATGTTATAATAACTAAATTTTATATAATTAATTAATTAAAAATCTTTAAAGAAATATAAAAATATAATTTAATAAAACACTGAGAATGAAAAATATAATGTTAATTGAGTGGCATTTTGTTTGGTTTACGTATAGTCAGTGACTCATCTGATCCTTCCTTAGACATCGACGATATCTTCATATCCCAACTGAGCTTTGAGTCGATGACACCAATCCTTGAATCGTCTAAATCTTTGCCTTTTATATCTTTGGCTTTGATTGCATTGCTTTTCTTGTTTGCCGTCTGTTTTCGTGAGGCCACAAATGCAAGCAATGTTAATACGGTTACAATAAAAATGATAGCAAAGATGGTCACAAAAATCCAAATCATACTTTTATTACTGGGTTTGTCGACCACTAGAGGGTCATCGACAGCTTCAAAGTATGCACCACTTCTGGTGCTAACATTGCAACCCATATATCGATGAATATCAATGTCTTTGCTGATCAGTTGATTCTGTTTGTAAGTAAACAATACATTTGTAAAGCCACTTACGGCCATAGCGTATATATTATTGGTGATTGAAAACAGTGCTGTATATCTCCATTTGGGATCAATTGATGAGCACTGCCATCCCTCAGTCCACTGTCTTTTTGCGTCAAATCTATTGCTGCATAAACTGCTGCCTTTAGACCGACCATTGACTACAATTATTAGCTCGTATTGGACCGGATTGTAGATTATATTCGTATGTTTTATGTCCAAATCAGTTGAGTTTTCGGATAACATTTTTGGCCAAAAGGTTTCGTTTAAATCATAAATGATTCCTTCGTGTCTCAAACCAAATGGTAAGACAGACATTGTAGTGACTTTTTGACCTAAAAGTCGTCTCACTTGATATGAACCGTCAAAATCATTGTCTTTTGATCGATAAAACATTATCAGCATATCTTTTGCCTGATTTATATCCGCACAAAACGGTTCACTATTGACCTGACATTTAGGAATCGCCGAAATATGAGCCATACTTAACAAATGATACACTTCTTTGGTATCCAATATTGACTGACTCAACACTTTTTTGTCCTTTTGATTGTATGTCCAAACTATGTCTTTACGAGTCAAACGCACCTGACTTTTATAGTCAGTAAATATGGCATCAAATTGTTTGGTTTGACAAAACTTAGAGTTAGATTCAATTGAAAACTCTTTGCTATTGTCTTTAACGGCAAAAGTCTGAGACATTATCATCACTATAACTAAACTTGTTATTGATTTCATTGTTTTTCTTTCTAATTTTTTAACGACTAGTTAGATCCATGTAATAAAATGTGTATCAATAGTTAACACGTGCAACAATACCCTCTCTCTCTCTCTCAATCTATCTCTTTACTAAACAATGCTTTCACGTGCTATATATAATATACAGTGTATTATAAAAAGTATATTTTATTTAATTTTTTTTATTTAATAAATTAAAATTATTAATAATCGCGCGACACATCAAAAGTAATTGTTTGCGTGACAGAAAATGGCACAAACATTGAACAAATTATATAGTAGTATAGATTAGTTTTATTGCAAAATAATACATAATAATTACAATTGAATACTTTATTTCGTTTCTCAAAATTGTAATAAATATCTCATGAATTGATTTCGAGAGATAGACTCTATTGTTATATAAAAAGCAAAGTTTCGGTTGAATTCAAATCATTTCTATTTTATTTCTCTTTTCAATTACAAAATTAGCACAAAATTCGGCTAAAGTTTGTTATATCTAACGCATTGATTGTTACATTTCACCCGCGCTGTTATAAAAGTACTATTTATTAGGTTAGGTTGGGGTGGATGTGGAGAGTTAGAAGTGGTGTGTGGGGAGGGAAGGAACGGTAGGTGAGGGCTAGTATCTTAGGCTCATCTCCTGTATATGGGCTTCGTTTTTATATTGCAATAAATGCCTTATAATACTTGCCTAATAATCAATGCGTTAGATATAACAAACTTTAGCCGAATTTTGTGCTAATTTTGTAATTGAAAAGAGAAATAAAATAGAAATGATTTGAATTCAACCGAAACTTTGCTTTTTATATAACAATAGAGTCTATCTCTCGAAATCAATGTTGTTTGGTTTAGTTTAGGTGGTGGTGGGGTGGGGTGTGAGGTTAGGAAGTGGTGTGTTTGTGGGTTTTGTTTGTGAGGGATAAGGCAAGGGATGGATGGAATAGTAGATAAACTAAAAATATGATAGATATTAGTATATAACTTAAAATCAAATAAATTAAGTTAATTCACGCAAACATAATATAATCAATGTATTTAATACACTGTTGCAAACAATATCAAAACGAAACCCATATTTAGGAGTTCAGTCGTATATTATTTTATTTAAAAAACTTATTAAAATGTTAATTGATTTATAAAATTGTCATTTTAGCAGCATTTAAAACTTCAATAACCAACACATTATATATACCGAACCTATTCCCCGATCCAGAAGAGGACGAAAGGGTGATCACCGTTGCAGACGAAGAAGAAACCGATAGAATTGTGACGATTAGTGAAGAGAAAAGAAAGAAAAAGAAGAGAAAGTGTGTCTCATAAGAGTCAATGAATTAATTTTTTTCAAAATTCTTGTTTTTTATTTTACAAATAAAACACTTTTTAAAATTCAATTATATTTGTATTTAATTTTATAACTAAATGATAACTCAAAATATTTTTAGCCGTTATATTATAACATTAATATATCAAACTTTAATACATAGAACTTATTATAAATCTCAATAATCAACTCAATAGGTATGACATTAATTGTACGGATCAGTTGAGTCAGAAGTAATATCAAGAAAAGTATAAACTCTAAACGCATAATAAGTTTTTAAAAATGTTTTTATTGATATCTTTATATTAAGACAATTAAATAAAGTAAAATATTATAATAAATATTTTACAAATTTACAGTAAATTATTAGTAAATAAATATAAAGATATTATAAATTGTTAATTACTTAGCTATACTGTATAACAATCGATAATGAAGTTTGAACTGAATTTATTCATTTGCATCAATATCAACAAAAACTATACAAAAATAAAATGATTGTAATTATTAATAATAAAACTTAAATAAAATAAAATTATTGTAATTGTTTTGTTTTGTTTACTTCTCTCATCGCGTGACTCTATAGGTGCAGCACTTCTGATGAATATCTGATGCAAATACAACCAATTTATGGTAACCAGAGCTGCAATGATCATAACGACCACGAGATCGGAGATCGAAAAATTCAGAAACAATAGTATGATATCAACGGTCAGATAAGCGGTAATACAAATTCCAAACTCCAGTATCCGTCGGAACCGTTCACTTGTGGCCGAATAGATGCCGAGCGAACAGATTACCCATAAAATACAATTCTGAATGATCTGAAAGATATGTGTCTCATAAATGGCTCTCTTTTTGAAGTCAGAATCGCCTAACTTTTGAAATTCGTTCAACACTTCGATAATTGCCATTAATATCAATATAATTGACATAATTATTATATTAATCTTATATGTGTTCACAAAATCTATTGTCCATTCAAAAGCCATTTTAATTCAAATCATTCAATTAAATCAAATTACTTATTATATTGATCTGAGAAAAATAAAACAATTAATTGTATAAATATTTTACGGTATGTGCAATATATGTGTTTAAATTCATATATTCATATAATGTATTTTTATTTTCTTGCGTTCAATTTTAAATACAAAACAAATTATATTATATAATAGTAATCGTAATAAATAACATATTAATATTTTTTTTATAAATAAATCACGAGATTAATGATTTTCAAGTATTTTAAACAAATTTATAAGTTTTGTTTGTTTTGTTATCAATTTTTAAACATCAAACCTATGGTTATGAAAAGTCCGGTCGTCCGGAAAACTATTAGTTCCGTAGTCGATAAAAACACTGATACACTGTTAGGTCAAAAGATTGAGGACAGCGGTCACAGGTTTAGATTGGGTTCGGTCATCGGGTCCGGTACTTACGGTCAATTGAGACAGGGATTCAATTTGAATAACAATAACCAATTGGTTGCAATTAAATTAGAAAATAAGAGACACTCACAGTTGGACACTGAGTATAGATTCTATAAAGAGATTAACGATAGGATACGTGCGAAAGATCCCAACCTCAAGATTACCGATGGTTTCGCACGCATCGACTATTTCTGTCATTGGCGTCAATACAAAGTATTGGTGTTTGAGATGTTGGGTCGCAATCTCGGAGAAGCGTTTGTGGCGTGCGGTCAACAGTTTACATTGAAAACAGTTGTCTACATCTTTCTACAGCTATTGCAACGAATAGAGACCGTACACACCATTGGTATTGTGCACCGGGATATCAAACCAGAGAATTTTGTGTTAGGCTGTCCCGGCACTCGCCTACAAAACTGTATTCACATTATTGACTTTGGTTTGGCTGCGTTTTACATCAATCCCGATACTAAACGGCATATAGAAATGCAAAAGAAGGACAGTTTGCTGGGAACGGCTCGTTATATAAGTATTAACGGTCATTTGGGTAAAGAGCTATCCCGACGGGACGACTTGGAATCTATCGGCTATTTAATGATGTATTTTGTCAAACAGGGAAAGTTGCCGTGGAGTGGACTAAAAGCACCGACAGATAAGGATAGGTTTGAAATGATTTGTGAGTGTAAGAGAGCCACACCTATCGAGACGCTGTGTAATGGATATCCCGAACAGTTTGCCGAATATCTCCGCAAAGTCCGGTGTTTGCGCTTTAAACAGACACCCGATTACACGAGTCTTAAAAATATTTTCATCAAATTGTTTCATAGAGAGGGATGCGATGATGACGGACAGTATGACTGGAACAGTATATAAATTATTAATATTAATAACTACAACACTAATGACTGTATGAATTCATTTATTTTATTATTTATAAATATATAATAAAAAATTTTATAAGAATTTATTACAAAGATTTTAATAAGAATTTTTAAACCAATTTATAAATTTCTAGTAATTTTTAGAGTAATTCTATATTATATAGATTATGTTGAGTTGTCATTGAATATTAGGTTAGTTTGTGAGACCAACACAAGCTTAGGTAATGCGAACACTGATTCAGTTAATCCAGTACTATATGGGTTGGGTTGGGTTGGGTTACATTGAATTATTAAATATCAAATTAAAATTACACTGGTTAATTAGCTTAAAAATTAATTGTAACTCACGCGACAATAATACTTGAATTTTAAAAATATAGTAAATAATAAACGCTTGACAACAAGTAGGAGCTATACTACTATATATAATTCCCAATTATTTTACCTAATATTTGTCTTTTATTATCTTTGAAATGGTAACTGAAGAGGTTTTACCATTAATTTCTTATAAAAAGTCGTTAATTATATTGATTTGATTAAAATCGTTAAAAGTTTGTAATTCAAATTAGAATATTTTGATAATTTTTATTTACGTGACACATATATATAAATATATATATCAATAGTCCGATATATCATAATTAAATCGTATATATAAATAAATACATTTCCAAATATTACCGGTATAGTTGTATTGATTATGAATAACAATTACTTCAATTTAATTAAATGCCACTTAAATGGGTTTAAATTATATGGATTGATAGATACCGGTGCAAACACCAGTTTGATCAGTAAGACAACACTAGACACGTGTGGTTTAACACATTTAGTAAATAAAAATTCAGAGAAACTGTCGATGAAATGTAAGGGAATGGGAATTATATCTGTAATGACATTATTAGACGGTTTAGTCATTTCCATTGATCCCAACAATCAAATGCTAACAATCAATGTGACTGTCGTTGAAAACTTATGTCTCAAACCAAATGTTTTTATCATTGGCTTTGATTTTATGTATGAAAACAAATGCCAATTAAATTGTTTTAAAAAGTATCTCTATATGGGAACAACAAATATGAAAATTAAATATGTTAATAGATATTAAAGTTATAATGCTATCCGTAATAATTAATTAATTATCATAATAAACTAATAAAAATATTTATTTTCAATTTTATAAAAATTGTAATTTTGCTAAACATGATCTATTATAGAGATCCTATATTATACAATAATGCAGTTTTTTAATTACCGTTTAATTTGTATTTTACATTTTGAGATAAATTCTTTTATTTCCATAAAATTTATAAAAGTTTCCATTTTTTTTATTTTAATATACGGTACAGTATTTATCTTTTTAAATTCAATTTATAAATTGTAATAATAATTCATAATTCATGATTTTTCTACATTACTATCAATACATTGATAATAATTTAATACCGTATAACCATAACCTAACAATCCTATATTATTTTATTATCAATCAATATACGATATTAATATTAACCTTTCCTATCATTTAATGTTTTTTTAATTTCAATAGAGTATATACAAATATCTATTTTAATATTTAAAATTATTATTTATTAATATAAAGTTTGAGTTTCTTATTTGTTTAAGTAATATTCATTATTTTTAGAAAATTTGAATTAAAATACAGTTTAACAAATTAAAATTAATAATTTTTTAATATATATGAATTAATATATATATATATATATATAAACATAATAATTATCAGGAATCACATCAAAGATTTATCATTTTAAATCATTTACCGTAAGTGATATTTTTTATATCTCATATAAATCTAATACTTAACTACCGTAATAATTAATAAAGTTATTATTTGATTACTATTAATTACAATTAAATTCTCAAAATAATTCAATAGTATTTATTTTGAATTTATCTAAAGACTATTATGAGATGCATTTGAGACTTAATGATCACAAACTAATTCATCAGTTTTTAATTCAACCCTTAAGTGATAATAAAATGTGTTTAGATATTGATAAACAAAACTACATTACTTTATATACTGTATCTCATATATACAGGTTAGTAGAATAAACATTAAAAAATTCTAATATATAATATCATTAGCTATTATACAGTACTTTAAATAAAGTTAAATATAACGCAATATTAGGCAATAAATTACTTTATTAATTGAGTAATCAAAATATAAATTACTTTACATAATAATAGTGTATAATAATAAAAAATATAGTGATTGTTATTTAGTGTTTCACAAATTTGATAAAATAATACTAAAAATAGTTATATCAAAGTGTAAAATATAGTGAATTAAAAATTAAATAAAAAATATATAATAGCTAAAAACATATGATTGAAATTACTTTTTTTTGGTTAATTAAAGCAATATATTGTACTGTATTTAACAGATCAAGTGTACTATTAATGAGATTCAATGGTAAAAAATAACAATGAATTAAACTTATATCTCATTTGATTAGATAAATAGCAATCAATGGCACTTCGATGGCATAAACGATAAATGTGCGCTCAGTTATCTATGAACCATATATTAAGCCTCTAGACTGTCGGTTCGGTAGTCGTATTATAGACTAGATTTTGTGCCACCGCTTGATAACCCGGTTGGTAGTGATAACCGGCTTGTGTCGGATAATCTGTAGCACACATCGGACCCGTTACCTGAGGATTGGCAATCGTATGGGGAATGCCGTCACCCGTCAGTGCTGACCGTCTCTCTCGTTCGTAATTTCGGTAAAATATGAACACAAGAATGAAACCAATCAATGAGATGACCAATAATATGGTACCAGTTATTAGTAAAACGTTACCTAAAGACAAATGACGACACAGTTATTATCAATAAATTCAATAATTTATTTCTCATAAAAAATATATTAATATTTAAGTCAATAAACTTACTTATAGTTTGTGGACCTTTGAGAAAGCCATCGCTGGTGTGTCCGTGTCTTTCAGCAAAAACTTGATCTCTTTCGTGGACATCGCTGACAAATGCCCGAAACATACAGCCGGCTATCAATAGAAATATACCGAAAAATATGAAGAACATGGATGTGTGGCACGAGATGATGGCCGGAACCAGTTTGGTCGGTGCCGTACGATATGAACGACGGTATAATTGATTACCGCTGTAACGGTTCCAGTGATCACTTAAATTCATGGCCACTGATAACAGATGTTGTCTATAATATTTGAATCAAATAATATTACAATTAATCATAATTTGATTGTCACTCGTTTGGCGCGTGCGATGACAACACGTGCGATGACAACACATGCGATGATAAGACAATTGAGACCATAATGTGATGTCTGTTTGACCACAAAGTCATCACTAAATGCTTACCTAATTTGTCAGTCAATTACAACAAAATCTAATCAATAAAAACAATAAGTAATACAAAACATGAGATTATTTTTATAACAATTGTATTAATACTGTTGTTTAACACAAAAGTCATCCAAACATTCTATTTATACACTAATATCGTTGCTATCAATCAATGCAATAAACAGTAGAGTAGTGTTGAGTATATACTGTATATACAGTACAGTATTGTACTATTAATATATGGTATATATTAATACAGGTATAGTATTGTAATCGATATCAAAATTTTTAATATTAGTTTTCTTAGAATTAATTGTTCAATAATTATAAAAACTATTACAAATTACCGACAATTCATTATATATTATTTTATTATGTCTTTTATGTTATTATAATTAAATAGTGTTTACACTTCTAATAAATTAAATGATATGTTAATAACGGATATATCATTTAAAAAATATATCGGATATATAGTATCTACTATTATGTTACTAAATATTATATTTAATAATGTTATTAATTTGAATAAATTTGATGACATCGAAACTATTTGCTTATCGTTATAATCGTAAAAAGTTTGAATATATTTTTGTTAATACATTTTAGTTTATTTTAAACATTTAAATTTTAGTGATCATATTAACTTTTTAGTATATTTTTAAATAAATACAAAATTACATTTTATTAACAAAACAGTTATATTACACAAAAAATATTATTAAGAATTTAAAAAGTTATGGTTTGTAAAAATGAAATTGATTTACAGTAAAAGCAAATATATTTAATATTTTAAAGTATATGTATTTCCTAAACAATGTTATAGTTAAAGTTCAGACATTTCCATAATAATTGATAATCCTATTCATAGATGTATTTGCAATAATTTTAACAATTTTAATATAAATTATATAAAACAAATTTACCAGTTATTGGCGTCTACTGTACGGTATATTCACCGGTTTTGACGCATAAGTATATTATAACTTTTCTACGATAATATAAATGATTTATTTGTATAATTTATTATTAATTATTAGAAATATTTGATTCAATAAAAAATCTCTATAACATAATACACTATCAGTAAATGATTGAACACAAAAGTAAAAACATTTCATTTATTATATACAGTAGTATTATTTATTTAAAAAATGCATTTTTTATGAAATAAAAATATGGTATTTATTTACATAAAAATATTGTATTTTAAAAGTATTTAAAGCAATATTAACTGATTTATTGTGATCATAACTGTTTTCAAGATTTATTTACCAAAAATAATAATAATAATAATCAAACATAACATTTTATTACCTAAAGGGAAACTTATTAAATATTTTCAACAAAACTAAAGGATTAAATAATGGCATTCAGTTAGTCAATGAGGTACCTCTTAAACACATATATTTATTGCTAAACATTGTAACTACTGTAACATAGAATGAATAAATAACTAAAATTCATTACTTTTAAAACAAATATTAAATTCATAGAATTTTTAAATATCTTTAATAAAGATTTTTTTAGTTATTTATATAATTTTCTCAGAGCTTATTGTTGAAAGAATACCGCATTTTTAGTGATAACAAAAATTTCTAAAATGCTTTACAGAAATAATTAAATCAAATTTTAAATATTATATTTAACTTATTTATTATTTTTAATACTTTCACTCTTTTATATGAATATTTGTTTAATTGAAATTCAAAAACAAATTGCAAAAAAAAACAAATGGATAATCATTTTATAGAACAAATATTAACACAATTGACTCAAAATCTACTAAACATAAAAAATGCTGATAAATGATATAAAAATAATTGTTAACTAATAACAGAAAAGGTTATAATAATTTACAAAAAAAGCTCAAAGTTGCATAAATGTTATATAGCTAATCATAATTTAATTTTTATATTTAACAATTTAATAAATGAAATTGAAAAATACAAATAATATTATATTTTAGATTTATTTCGATTTTGTAATTAAATTATAAACTTATAAATATTTATCAAATGAGAATACATTAAGTTTTGTTATATCACTAATTATCACATAAAAAGTAAGAAAATTGTGATATAAAAGTAATAAAATGCATTAATTAGTTATTTAACTTAAAGTAAATGAAGGTTTTTGTGAACATGATATGAATAACATTTTAAATAAATTAATGACACTTTAATCAGACAAATATATTTTTAAACTACAAAATGTTATTTTAAAAAACAACACAAAATTATATCAATCTTTTAAAAGTTAACAAATTATCCATATTTTTAATTAACAATGCATTTAAAAAAAAGTAAATTGATTTTATCTAATATTATTGATTACAAAAACTGGATTTTTTAAATTTAAAAATTATTTTTAATTAAATTATATATATATATTATAGTACATACAAATAGTATATACTGTAAAACAAAACTTTTGTAAAATTTTAGTTTTTTTAAAATAAAGGATATCAAAACATTACATCAAAGTAGTTATTCAATAAATACTTTCACTAACTTTGTAAGTCTGGGCATTATATTAGTTAAAATTAGTGATTGAGTGGTCATTAACTTAAGCAAAACAGAAACTGAATTAAGTTTATTCAAAACAAATCAGTTTTGAATTCAATCATTTTTAGTCACACTTTTGTTTTCTTATAATCTGATAATTATTTGTTTAACTAAAGGGTTTGGTTAACAAAAAATTTGCATTTAGTATATCGGTATATATATTGCTAATAACCAAAAAACTTATTCAACAAAATACAAGTATCTAACTAAAAATGTTATGAAAAATCAACAACAAATAGTATTTTGTATTTCAACTATCAATACTATTAATTCAATGAGTTTAATGACATCATTGAACAGATTTATATCAATGTATATTTTGAAATAAATAAATTTAACAAATTTAAAATTAATTAATTTTTTAAGTTAAAATATAAATTGCTTTTACTTTTCTTATATAAAATATGTGAATTCTTAGTTTTGATAATTGTTAAAGTTGTTTAAATGATTTTTTATAATTGTTGTTTAAAATACATTTAAAACCTATTTAACAAATATTTATTATATAATTAATTAGCTTTGTTTAGTTGCTAATAATTTAGTTATTTCACTAAAGATATTTGATTAATTAATACTAGTTATTTAAAATTATATTAAAAATAAAATGAAAATTAATTAATTAAATATTATTTATTATTACTTTAGTTTTTACACAAACTACTTAAATGAATATCTTAATGTATAAAAATTTTTGAGTAATGCAAATTCACATTAAATTTTTTCTAAAAATATTTATGAAAATAATAATAAAATATTTATAACAATTTATTTTAAAAAAATATTTTAATGTCTATCCATTATTATTTGTTATTAAAAGGTCAATGTTATTATAGTAAGTCTTTATTTAGTGTATTAAATGTAAAAATAGTTGACATTTTTCAATGAATGCAATTTTTACTACATTGCATAAGTAATATGTAATAATTGTTAACATATTTATTTGCCATTATTATTACGTTAGCCCTATTCTAACTGTAACACAGAGTATATATGATATCACGAAATGATTATTTAAAAGTTCATATTATCACATGTTTGAAAGGGTTGATTCACTCAATAACTGTTATTTCTATATATTAAAACAAAATCTACTTTTATTTGTCTGTTATCATCGAAAGCTATAATTTTATATCAACAAATATTTTTATCATTACTCCCACTATTAATATACCAGTTATTTACACATTACTTCCTAAATGTGACTCTTTGTATGAAAAAATTGTATGAATTAATCAAATATTTTAACTGATTTGTGAATCGCTTTTTTGAAGGGATAATTGAATGTACTTTTTTGTAGAAAATAAAACAATTATGAGAGAGGAAACAATTGATGACTATTTGTTTTACAATTTAACTATTATTTTTCAAATGAATCTCTTTGGAACTTTGGATAAATTATGATAAATAAGTAATAAAATGATCAAACATTATGCCAAAAAAAATATACAGGAGGCGCTAAATTAAAAACTATAAATATTTGTTGGAACTTTGGATAAATTATGATAAATAAGTAATAAAATGATCAAACATTATGCTAATGTTTTCAATTGTATTTTATATACAGTGTATATACATGTCTATAGTATATCACTAGAAAATATTAGAATCATTTTGTATTTTATTTGAATTTCATTATTTTTAAATAAGCAATAGATATTAAATTATATATTATGTGAATTTGTGAAGTTTAAAACAATTATAATTATATCATACAATTCCTTAAATACAAATTTTATTTATTAATCATTTTATTACTTAAACATTAATACAGTGTTATCTTTCAAATTAGACATTTTTAATAATATTTTTTTATAAAGTTTTCCCTAAAATTTGATGACAATTATAATATTTAGAACAAATTTATCTAATTTATTACAACAATTAAGCTATAATTTTTTAATTTTTAAGTACACTAATAAATCAACATTTTATTTACTGCTAAATATATGTCAAATTAATTGTTGGCTTTACTTAAGAAATTTATTTTTAAATTAGTTAATAGAAAATAATGCTGTCTCAAAATTACATTATTTAATGTCAAATCAAATTAATGAGATAAATGTTTATGAATTTAGCACAATATAATAATAATACTGTATAATGTCGCCAACTAATATTTTTGTTTTAAGTTAATAGTAATTTTGAGCTAAACAATATTTAATTCAATTAAAAATTTTTAAATAAAATTTTTGCATTAGTTTACATTTTCTATAACTAAATATTTCAAAAAAAATTAATTTAGTTATAAAATAAACTATTTCAACATATTTTCAACACATTTTGATTAATTTAAATATTTTTTAAAAATAAAATCGACTGAGATATAATTTATAGCACAATAAAGTTATTATAAACAAAAATTAGATAATTAACATTAATATAAAATGACTTATTTAATTTTTTAGTGAATTAAATTAACATTTTATAACAAATGTGTTACTTTGTCTTTTTTAAACCAGTCATAACATTAATATTGTTAACAACAATCTGTATTTTATTAGTTATCTAATTACCTATATCCCAATATAAATTTACACAGTATATATAAATTTATATACAGGTGCGCACCCATACATTAGATATTTACTTAAAATAAAAACATTAAAATTTACAAACATTATAACAGTGACTATAAACATAATAAATCAATTAATTACATTTTTTATATAATAATGATATTTATTATTATTATTATTATTAAACGGATTATAATTTTTTTCAGATATACAGTAAAGTATAAAAAATAAAAAAGTTTATAGAATAATATCTAAATATAGTTTACTAATACAAACAAGAAAAAATGAAATTAAATTAATTCAAGAAACTTTATTATTTCATAAGTTTAATTGTATTTAAATTGTTTTTAATTTATAATGTTTTTATGTATTAGCAAAAAAATCATTTTATAAAGCATTGCATTATTAATGTTTTTCTAATATCAATGGATTTGTTTATTGCCGACAGTTATGCTCCACTTGAAGATCATATTAGCGATTGTTACACATTGTATATAAAATTAATGTTAAAAGTCATAAAGTGCTGTTAATATTAGTATTATTATTATTACATAGTATTTAATTAACATATTTTGTGGATTCCTTATATATTTCTATATACTGTAGTGCAATAATAACATTAAAATAAATGTTTTATTGTGTGTTACAATTATGGGCTGTAAATATAATAATTACCCTTTGGATACTAATATGCATTGATTTAAGTGACGAAAAATTTATCAAATACTTTAACATAATATAACATAACATACCGGTGCTCTCTTCAAGTTTGCCCCCATTTATCGGTAACTCCCAGCTTATAAAAAGCTATATATAAGACTTGTTTTGAGAGAATAGGATTCACTCGATAAACACATAGAGATGATCCTCACGACTACCACTATTCACAAGTGTCTCATTTGATAACCGTTTGATAATTGTGTTCATTGCCATTACATCAAACATTTTTTATCATTTAACATATTTGATTGATTTATTTATTGACTGTTTTATTTAACTATTACTTACGTTTCTTATTATTATTGGAAAATCTCATCGACAATAATCCTACGATATTATGTAAGTAATTGAAATTAAAAACATTATTATTATTATTCTAATTAGCATGTTTAATATTATTGTATTGACTAATTTTATAAAATACATTTTATTTATATTTACTGTAAACTTGTTTATTTAAATGACTTATTTAAATGTGATAATTTTTTTTTTAATTTCGCTGAAATTGTCAAACATTAAAATGATTTATACTATTGAAGGTTTTTTTTGTTTAAAATTATATTTAAAATGAAATTGATTATATTTTTATTATTAAAAATTGTTTTTAATCAATCTAGATTTATATTTAAAGTTTAGAAAATGTCAAATATTAAATATCCAACTATATATCAAACAAAAACTTTGTATTATTAATAATTAGATAAATTATAATAAACAGGGATTTCATTAGAAAATTAAGTAAATACAATGTTTGTTAAGAAATATGACGCGATTTTTAGTGACTTATCGATTGTCATAATTATTATAAACACTTTAGAAAAAAGTATCACTTAATTAATGACAAAATTAATATTAATTATCGATAAACAGATGTCATTTCAAATAAAAGTAATAATATATACATATAATGTTTTACAGATTAGCAATAAAAAACTAAACTATGTTTTCTTCTAATAATAATTATTTATTTTTTTCTCCTTTTAAAAAATTCAAGTAAATTATTGCATCACTGGTGTAGTAATATTAATATACACTGTAGTGGTTGTACAGTGTGGCTGCCGGTGCTGGTTTTGACGGAGTGTCCTTCATGGTCATTGAGCTATTATAGGCATATAAAGCTCTGCATTGCTTTAGTTTTTTGGTTATATTTTCTAATGCTTACAATCTCTGAGAGACGACTTTATAGTGAATGTTGAAACAACTATCAGTATATAAGAGTTGATGCAAAAAAATCATCTCATCTTTTAACTCACAAATCATTTGGCAACTGGTTTAGGGATAGACTCGACTCCTCATTCATATTGAGATAAGTGGTGTTTGATATGATATTTGACTGCAAAATAGTGGAGCAATTCGTAGTCACTATCATATAAAGTCTCAAAGAAATAGAAAGAAGAAGAAGAAGACGAAAAAAAGTTTATTTCAATAGTTTTTTGGTCCAAATCTGGTTCACTCTCTGATTAACTCTTCGTTGTCGTCTTCTGTGAGAAAATTTGAAATTAAATCAACATTTGATTTCTTCAATGAATAAGTGTTGTCATAAAATCACAAGTTTTTTGTCAACAATATTAACTGTAATTCAGTTTTTTGAGCTCAAGTTTTGAAGAAAACTCTTATAAAGAATTTATATTATTATTTTTGTTATATATTTTTTTTTTAAATGTGAATGTTTTTGTTAAAAGTATATATTTATATATAATTAGCATATTTTTCAATTGATGAGTTGTTTAAATCGACATAATTATAATAATAATGGATACAAAATTATATTTTTGGTCAACTATAAGGACGGGTTGTTTAATACTATTGTATATCGCAATAGTTATTCGACAAATAAATTGTCTCAAACCTAATGAATCTCTTTTGGCGTCTCAACACTTCTCTCGTATCCTAAAAGAGGCCAAATGTCAGCAACCGGTGCCCCGTGTGGTCAACATTCAAGAGTTGTTTCCATCGGCCACTAAAAAATATATACCGCACTGTACTTTAATGCACTTTTGTGGCTACGATACCGGCTGTTGTCGTCAAGAAAACGAACGGTGCGTTCCTAAGACTGTTCAAGACGTCGACCTATACTTCTTTACTGTTGAACTCACACCAAGAGGTCAGCGGAAAGGCGTTGAAATGATAACAATGCAAAACCATACGGAATGCATGTGTCAACCCATTAACGACAGTCCCCGATAAAAGACTTTATAATAGAAAATATTTGTATTTTTTTTTTGTTTTTTTCAATCATTTTTTAATTAATTAATTCATAATTCATTGGTTATTTTATTTAATATTTATTTTATTTATTTATTCATTTAATCATTTATTTAGCTCTCACTTTATTTGTGTGTATTATTTATTATGTGATATAAAATATATCTTTATTTGTTAATTTATGATAAATTAATTAATTGCCAATTAAATGATCATTATATTTGTTTTAAATATATTTATTAAACTTTAAAAATAAATTAATATTTGATTTAAAAAGTAAAAATAAATTTCATTTCTATATTTTAAACATTTAACAAATCTTTTTAATTGATAGTTTTTTGATCAATTTTTGCTAAAAATATCTAAAACATGTTTTAGCACACAGTTACTGTATGTATATCACAAGGAGTACGGATGTGCATTAAATTATATGCGGCATAAAATATGTTTCAAAAATGCCAAACTTTTTTAAACTACAATAAAAAATATTTTAAAAACTTATCTAAATTTATATACAAATCTAAAATTTATTATACAATTTATCAAATATTTTGAAAGATCTTTAATATAAAATTAATCACTTTTTCCGAGAAGAGGATCTGCTTTGTCTTTAGATACAAATAATCACATTTGATTTATACAGTAATATGAAATTTTTTACAGGTATTTATTTTAAGATTTTTCAATAGCTGTTAAAATATACAATACAATACTATACTATAGTTTGTTTTAAGCAATATGTTTTTACATTGTTTTCATTAAGTAACAGTAATAGAGCATATTTAACACTTTAAAAATTAATATAATTTTTTTTAGTATACAGAAAGTATAGTATTTAAAAATAAATTTTAAGATTACAATTATTTTTATTTTGTTTTTTAGTTTATAACAGTGATAAATATGTTATATTTATAGAAAGTTAGCTAAAATTAATATTGAATGTACAAATTATTATAAAACACTTACATAAAACTAGTTATAGTTATAATTAAATTTAACACATAAATTATTTGATAGTTACACTGTATTTGTAATTTTAAACACGAAATAGTTGAATATTATTATACTGTTTTTATTTTATATATAAATTTATACTTTACAAGAAAATATATAATTTTAAAATATATTTTTAAAGACAAATAGCATCGACTAATAGTCTACTTTAAAAATAGTTTTGCAAATATATATATTTTATTAAATAAACGACAAATTTATATATAAATAGATTTACTAATTGTATTGGGAAATAGAAATTTCGTTAAAAATATAAGTAAATTTCTAGAAATTTTATGTGTAAATTTATTTCTATTGAAGTTTCATTATAATCTATAAATATTCTATTATTATTTAAAAATTTATAAACCATTACTTTTAATTATATTTATTATTTTTTACTATTTATTTACAGTACATTGTTTTATTTAAATAATATTATTAAACATATTATAATATATATGTTGATTTGGTTATAAATTAATAATAAATAGTTATGAAAAACTCATATTAACTGTATAAATGATTTACATTTGATTTTGCTTGGCTAACTTTTAATTTATTATATATTTTTAATATTTAATTTTATCAATATCTCGTAAATTAATAATTTATAAGAGAAAGTAATTTTAATTTTTTTTATTTGTCTACATTTAAATACAAGAAAATATATACTATAAACACTGTTAATGAAAATTTCAGGAAAGAGTAATAAAATAGAAAGGAAGTGATTCTCCAAAAATTCAAACCAAATCTAATATTATTAACAAATATAATAAATAAAGAAAATATGTTTATTCAATGAATTTCATAGAAAATATAAATATTATGTATAGTATGTCATAATTGCAAGACTTTCGACTTTTTGTGCAATGAATATAATTAAGATAACAATGAACTCAACTTACAATACAAACCGTTGAAAATATTAATTAAATAAAAATAATAAATGAAATGTTTTATCGACTTTTCATCTAAACTATTTGAATCATCCTTTTTTCACACAATTTTTATGGGAAAATAACCGTTTGTATTATTATCTAAATGATAATCATTTTTATTATTATTATAGTCTAAGTTGAGAAATGAACAAAATGTCACTAAATATCAATAGAAACAATTTTTTAGGTGAAAGGGTTAACGTGAAAGCAAATACAGTATAAATTAAATAATTTTACACAATATTTTGATTTATAAATAATAATTGTTAAAATGTTAATAACGATTCTACTATTTATAACATTTTCATTAATAATTAAATGTTGATTAAAAATTATACATAAATATGATATGTTTGCTTAAAAATTTTATTTAATATTATAAATATTTATTTTATAAATTTTATAAAAATAAAGAATAAAATAGTGAAAAAAATATTATTGTGAAAATTCAATTGATTTTATGTTATAAAATAAAATTCTATTTTAATTATTATCAAAATTTTTATTTAGTGTTTTCTGGATTATATTTAATTTTAAAGAATAAAAACAATAATTAAATTAACTAATTGCTTTTATTTAAACTATTATCTATATTACCATTTAATTCAATAATTAACTAATGCAATAAAATAAATTAAATATACTTTATTGAGATTGTTTATATTATTGTTATACCTTTAAGATAAAATTCATTGCCAAACAAAATTTAAACAATTTAAACTTTATATAATAATTAAATTTTTAGATATTAATAACTTTTCTATAGATAAATATTTACACTTATTAGTTGTCGCCACTTTGTCGGATAATAATATAATTGGATTTAAAATTAAAAAATATTTTTACAGAATTCTAATAATATTTTTATAAATTAAATAAAATGAATTTTTTGAGTTTTTTTTTTGCCATTTATCTATTTTGTTAAATAAATATTTTTTATTTCTATGTTTTCAAAAAAATAAATCATAAATTTTTCAGTTTTAAAAATTTAAGACTTAAACACAAATAGCTTTTAAAGTGAATAATAATTTATAGATAAAACAGTTGTTTAATAATAATTTCAATGTTCAATAGCAAAAATAGTTGTAAAGTGTGCTCTATATTTGTATCAATGCGAGTCATGCTTTTTAGTTTTTGTTTATATCATTATTATAATTACAAAACCAATAATAAAAAACATAATAAATAGATTAATGGATTATAAGATAGTTAAACATTGATATCCTTTTACAGTAAAGTCCGGTACCGTTACTCACAAATATATATAATAGTCATCAGCGGAGATAAATTAAGGACAAAAGGAGTCGAAAGAGTTAAATCTATTACAACATCATTAGGTTTCAGTGTATTATTATTATATTTTTTAGTAATTGTATTACGAGTTTAATTTACAGTATAACGGAAATAAAAGAAAAACAATTTTTAAAAATATTTTGTAACTTTTCTGAGAAATTGTTGAGAAAAAATAAAATTTTATACTATTTGTATCTTAAATAATAGAAAATTGAGTTTAGGTTTGTCGGTTAATGTATATGTTTGTGACCTTATTTTTAAGTCTATGATGAGTCGATTTTGTATGCATTCAAAGACATTATTTTCTATATATATGTTAATGACATGACTTTGAAAAAGTTTGCTCCAAATTAAGCCTTTTTTATTCAGTAATACCTAATATTATATTAATTTAAATGAGAGTAAAATGTAAGGTTCATTAACAAGGAATTGGCAAACTGTTAGTTTGAATATCGATTTACGTTAATATCACTTGAATTTTATTATAGATTTTTATTACTTTTGCTGGATATTCAATTGCGTCAATAATAGTACAAACTATGATTATCATTAAATTATTAAAAATAATGTATACACTGTTTATACTATAAACTTTATAGTATTATAACAATGTATGCGAATATTGTATTATAAACATATTGAAATAATTTTTTTTATAAAACTATATTTTATTAGTTATAATTATTACTTTCTAAAATAAGTAATCAAATCATAAACTTTCTTATAGCTTGTCTTATGATAGCCAAAGGCGTCTAAACATATATGATATATAATTTAAATAATTTTTTTTTATAAACTTTGATATAACAAACAACAATTTTATTTTCAATAACTTTTAATAATATTAATAATAATACATGTATTATCAATTTTAAAGTCAATGATTTAATTTATTTGGCCAACTATTGTCTTGGATTTTTATAAATTTATTTTGTAGTTTACACCTAATGGGAGTGTAGGCACTCCTTAAAAAATTTATTTAAAGCACGGATATGTTTTTACTTTTTAATGGATTTACGGTTTAATCAAATTTATTGTAGACCTATTATATAAAATAAGGTATAATTTAATGTTTAATAAAAATGTCTAATATTTTGTAATTAATTTTATTTATTTGATAAATAATTGCTAAATTTTGAAAGTAAATATTCAAATATGTCTATATTAATATCCAATTTATAATTTATAGTAATTTTATTATAATATTAATAAAAATAAAAATAATAAAAGTCTAGAGTGCAAATTTGACTAAATTATAAAAATAAAACATAATAATAATTATCTTCAATAATGCTATTTATATGAAATAATTTTTAGTAATTTAAATAAAATAACTTAAATCAAATTTTAATAAAATCATGAAATCATTTATTATTATGTGCAAATATACTACAAAAAATACTTATAAATGTAATTTTATATAATATAATATAATTTATAATAAACAAATGTATTGAAAAATAATTAGTAAACATTTTATCATTTATAACAAGTAATAAAAATAATAATTTCAAACATTAGCAATTGTACAGTAATATTAAACTATTGTTAATTACAATATTAGACAATTTATTTATGTTTATAAATATACCTATAATTTATTAAACATTAAATATTATGTTTAATAATTATATATAAATAATTATGTAATTTATTTTAAAATTAAATTACAATAAAACATAATATTAAATTATTTAAATTAAATTAAGCATAATTTTTAATAATCTATAGTATAATTGCAATTTCAATATAAAACATTATATAATATGTGTCGACCTTCAGTTAGGTCTGGCCTCAAGTTCAAGGATTTTTGGTACCAAAAGAGCCGTTTGAATGGCGTTTAGCTGTAAAATCATTGAAAACACAATCATTAATGGGTATTATTGAAATTTAAAATTAGTTTTCAAATAAAATAGCATTAAGTTTTTTATTAAAATAGACTGATTTTACTTTTTTTGGGAGCGAAAAAAATGCTAATCATTGACTGCTGGCAGCAATTTTTTTTATCATTATTTGTATGGATGAGTGTCTTAAAACACTTTTTTTGCATTTCCATCAAATAATTTTACGAAAATTCCGTGTTTTGAATGGTAATCAAGACGTGTATAAATAATAAAAAAGATTTTGTATTTGATTTTAAGTACTGACTTTCAAAATAAATATATAGTAATAGCAAAATGCAATACAAAAATTAAGTTTCATTTTCATTAAAAACTTTGTCGCCGACTCTTAAACATGTTTTTATGTATAAATCAACAAATTTATGGTTTATATAATGTTTTTGAAACAAATATAATTTTATTTTAACATTTTATAACATCGTATTTACAAATAATGTGAGTTTTTATTTTTAGTTATTATTATTATTATTTTAGTAAATATTTGCCGGTTCATTATAATTCTAATTATACAATATTTACAGTAAATATTGTTTGTCTATATTATTGTTTAATAATTTTTTTATATCAACAAAATCAATCAATTTTTGTTATTATTTTATGAGCTAGCCAATTTTATAAATATTTTATGTTATTATTTTAAATAGAATAAAATTAAATTAAAATATTTTACCAAAACGTAAAACTAGTTTTATGGCTATAGTGACCAACAAATATTTAATAAATACAAGAAATTTAACAATTATTGTCTGATATTTAAACTTAATATAAATAAATATTTTAATATAAATATTCTGAATTAGAACTTATTTTTTTATTAATTAATTGAATTTTGGTTTAGTTTGACTTTTAAAAAAACAAATATTGTTATTAATAATTCTATGTTAATTAAAATATTAATTAACCAAATTTTAAACTTAAAATATAAAAATAGTCAATTGTCAATTGTGAATGCTCATTTGGCACTTTTTTGTAATAATTATCAAATTGATGTAATGTCCAAACAAATCGTACGTTTTGGTCATTATATTTGCGTCCATTTATAGCTAACATTAATTTTAAATGTAATTCAATCGTAACCTTAGTAGTAGTAGTACTGTATAAATAATTCTTAGCTATTCTACAGTTTTGTTTGAATTTATTATATTAATATATAAAATAGTTTTCCATAGAATTTGAATATAACTAATTTATTTGAAATAAATTTCTGTAAAAATATTTAATAAATCAATATTGTTGATGAAATGAATTGAAATAAATTGTTGTTGTATTCAAAACATAATTGTACGTGATCATTTTTTTTGCTTATTTACAACTTTTGTAAAATGTTTTTAAAGGTCTGTATATTTTTTTAATTTTGAAGATATCAATAATAAAATATTTTAAAGACATATTGTTAAATCTGTAATGTATGTATATTATATAGATTTTAATATAGATAAATTAGCTTGATTAATTATCAATTCTATATGTTATATGTTTTGAAATATTATACGCAATAAATATACATTATATATTAATGTTTCATAAAATATTGGAAATAAATTTTTTAAAATTTATTATTTATAATTGATTTCTGACAGATTATCTTATCGATTGATGACTTAATAAAATTAAAAAATTGTTAACAAGATCTCTAAATAAAATGTTTCAATGAAATTAACTTTTTTTCAATTTACACAACAAGTAAATATGGAAACAAATAAAATAAAATTGCATTAATTGTTTTAATTATTTTTTATGTATCATTTTAGATGAAAATCATGTCTCCGATAAAATGGATTTGTTTAACATTTACAATATATTTACAAATAATTGATTTGTCAATTAGTTCAATATCTAGCAATGATTCATTGTTGGCCAGTCAACACTTTAGTCGTATAGTCAAAGAAGCCAAATGTCATCTACCGGTGCCCAAAGTCATACACATCAGCGACTTTATACGTTCGGCCAAAAAAAAGTTTGTACCGCACTGTACACTACTTCACGTTTGCGGCCATTTTTCCGGGTGTTGTCTTCAGGAGAATGAAGAATGTGTGGCCAAAAGTGTAGAAGAGGTCACACTTTACTTTTGGGTCATTGAGTTGACATCGGATGGCAAACAAAAGAAAGGTGTCGAACACATAAATATGAAGAACCACACGGAGTGCCAGTGCCTGCCTATCAATTATGACACTCCCAGATAAGTATAATTATAATCTATGTACCCATGTATATAGGGTACCAACTCTTATACAATACAGTCTATGCTGTATATAAAGTACATAAAATACAAACTCTATATAAATACATACATATTTACATGTCATCCAACCATCTCATTAAGTTTGTCCATCATATCAAATATTATATTAATTATTAATTGATTTTAATATTATAAATCATTATGTGTTAATATTGTATGTATTTTTATATACATTATAATAAACTATTATAGATTAATGACTTTATAATTATTAATTTTAAAAAATTGTTTACAAAATATAAACAATAAAAACTTAATACAGTATAAGGTATGCTGTAATTAAAAAAAATTAGTAATTGTAATTTTATCTGATTTTTTAATAAAAATTTTGTGAACTGATAATTTGTTAATTATGTATACAATAATTTACAACAATGAGGAAGTAGTGTAAAACTATATCAGATTTAATGATATCTTAATTAAAGAATAAAATTTAAATAATTTTTATTAAATAAATTGTATTTTAATTAGTGAAAGTTGTATAAAAAATTAATAAACATTAAAATAATAAATACGTTCATTTGATATAACCTTAACCTTATTTTTTGCTTTGAGAAGGTTATCAATTAATTAAATTAAATTTTTAAAACTAATTATGTCTTAAAATATAAATAAGTTGAAGATTACTGCAAAATAAATAAATTGTTATATAAATTCTGGGTATTTGTTGGAAAAATATTTCTTTGGAAATAATTTCAATAATTGTGAAAATTTAATTTATGCAGATATATAAAAATATAAAACAGTTATTAATCAAAAAATAATAAGAAGAAGAAAATATAAATTATTAAATTTTATTAAAGTTAGTTATATTGAATGAGATACTGAGCTGACAATCCTAATGGTCAACAAATTTCATTTGTTTCAATGGTCTGAACCCCAGACAAGTTGATAGTAAGTTGCAAAGTATGGTATGTTTCCATAAATTATATATTTTTAAAAGTTTAATGTCTAGCATATCATATGCTGCATATGGTTTAGACAGTTGTAGGTATAGACTCTGTACACTATAGATAGCTTGAGGCTCATGTGTATCCCAGTTTGATACTACATATTAGAGTTAAGGATGTCAATGGATTTACATTAATAGATGATCTCCACCTCAGGCTTTTAATTAGCAGCTATGGTAGGCCTCCAATGATTGTTTGCTTTATTATTATTAATAAATTATTAGTTATAAAATAGACAGCTATTTGACAGTATGTTTAAAACTAAAATTACACGATAAAAATAAAATAAAAATTTCGGTGAATTATATGTTAACTGATGTTTCAAGGAAACGGATAAATGTTTAATAAATTACAGTATTATTATTATTATACTACTATTGGTTTAGTTTATATTTTCAACAAAAACTTGATAAGAATATTAATATACTAATGAAAATGTATTAATATTAAGTTAATAGTATTTCATTAAATAAATAATATTTTGCATAACATATAAATTTGGGTTTTGACATATTAACGATCAATTAACTAATGTTAACTAATTTTTTATAAACTTACTGTACAATACTCTTAATTATTTATATTTTTATAATTTTGTTTTATTTGAAAATTTGACAAAAGTTATTGTGATAATGAGAATACTATATTATAATTTGAATATAAAATATAATAATATTTAGAAATTAATATACTGTAGTTACTACAGTGTAGTATAATAAGATGCATTGCATAGCAACATATATAGCAAAAATAGTATTGAATTTCTTTAATTGTTGATAACATAAAAATCTAATAATAAATTATAATTAAATATAATCTTAAATATTACAATGCTATTATTTATAATTTATTGTAATATTATAAATTTCACTAATAGATTAATCAAAATTATTTAATATCTAATTGATTATTATAAAAAATTTGATATCTTATTTTGATCGTTGATTTTGAAATATTAAAATTCTTCTAAAAAATAATCAAACCTTGAATTTGTTACTCAAAGAAACTATCAAATGATTATCAAAAACATGTTTTTATATTTAAATTAAATTTAGTAAAATACTGCTAATACAGTAGCAATAAATATTTGTATTTTACAATATTATATTTTTTTAAAAGTCCAGAAAACTATAGATAACTTTACTTTTAATATGAAAAAATATTACTTTTCAATTAACGTAAATAAATCATAATTATAGCTTAAATTAATAAAATAAATTCAAATGAAATAAACATTGACATCAAATAAAGTGAATATTTCGCAAAAAAAAGATATTTTGATAAACAGTAGTATACTTACAAAAGTTGTTTTATATTAACCTTTCCTTAAGTTTTTTGTGTCAAAACTTGATTTTACTTTTTAAAAGTTACTAACAGTCAATCATAAATTTTTCTAAGAAAATATTCTTTAAATATAAAGAAAATTTTATTAACATATATTATGTGAACTTAAAAATCCAATCAAACTTTTTTAGCTAAAATTCTTGATTCCGATCGCTTGTACAGTATGTCTGTCCTTGGGTTAAGGTATGGGTCGGATAACATCTGATAGCAAACAACTGACAACTAAAGTGATAGTAATAAATGTTTCAAATCTTGCGTCCATTTCTTAAATACACTTCATTTTGTGGATAAAACATTGAAATTGTTTTAAATGAAATAAAATGAAATAATAAAAATAATTAGTAATTATAGTTATAATGTCAATATATAATTGTTTAAATATGTTAAAATGTATGTTAATAGTGTATTTGATAATTGTGCTAATGATATGTCGTTACTGTGAGTCAACCGCTAAAAATGACACTCAGTTAGCTGCTGAACATTTTGCCAATATATTGAGATTAGCCAAATGCCATAATCCTATGCAACGGGTTATTTATTTATCTAAATTATACCCCAAATATAATAAAAAGTATATACCATTTGCAACCATTATAAATGTATGCGACGCCAGTACCGGCTGCTGTAGCGATGAAACGCAGACCTGTGCCGCAAAAACTGTCCAAAAAGTAATTTTACATTTTCTAGTCATCGAAGTGACCGCTGATGGCAACCGAAAAAGCGTTGAATCCATTAGTTTTGATAATCACACGCAATGTCACTGTAAACATGTTAACAGGTATTCAAGATTGACATTTCAAGTCAAATACTAACTCATTGTTTAATAAATAATTTAAAAAGAGGTCAAAAACTATTAATTACTATTAATATTGATAGCTTGTTATAGCAATACTACACAATAATTATAACTATTTTAATAACATTACTATTATTTAAACTTGAAATAAATAACAAGTAGAATTCAAATTTTATATTTTACTATTTTTTTTATTTATAACTTAACAAACAAATAACATATAATTAAATATTTTTATATTTTTATAATAATAGCGATGAAACCGGTGAAGACATTCTCGGTTCATATCATCAACAAAATGACTTTTCAATGAAGACATCACTACAACACATATCACAAGAATCAAATTCAATGACAATTTATGTCAATTATTTAACTTTATTTATATCACACATAGTTTTTATATATGCATATACATGATTAATAATCATATAATATTTCATATAAAATTTATTTAATATGATATTTAGTGATTATTTATATTTTATATATCATATATTATTACATCTTTATAAATTTAGTTATTTAAAAAATATAGGTATTATTTAAATCTAATAAATTAAACAAATAAAATTTGTTAAATTGTTAAAGTTGCTTTGTTTGCATATTTTATTATTTATTATTTAATTAATATTTAATACTATGATATATAATATATAAGTAATTTTGTTTGAATAAGACAATTGTTATTAATAACAATATTGATAAAAATAATAGCTTTGAAGGCCAGTGAACTAATAATGTTTATAAATATTGTTTAAAATATCATATATTAACAAAATAAGCAATAACAAAAAATTATAACTCAATGTCATTTAATGGTTTTCTAATTTATTTATTAAATCTTATTGTATTATTATAGCATTGTGTCATATATTGTAGATTATGTACAGTACAGTATCATATGAAAACAAGTTTGTATTTGCATAAATTAAATAGCATCTATATTTAATATTATTATTATTAGCTTAAATGTTAAAATATCTATAAAATGTAAAATTTCATATTATCATCATAATTTATCAAGATCAGACTAGTTTAACTATAAATATTTTACTATAAATATCACATATCATAAATTTTTTAATTAATAAAAAAGTAAAATAAATAATAAAATTTTAGACAGTGTAGTTAGACGCTAAAAAAATAGTTATTAAAAAAATGTTTTCAAAACTTTTAATAAGCAAATGTTTGTTATTGTATTGTGTGGTCAATATCGGACAGATTTGCAAAAGTGATCGCATTTTTTATTATGTGAATGATTTGACACAAACTAATTGGAAAAGTTTTCAAATGGGTTTTACCACCGATGAAGAGCTCATACCCAGCAATTACATAGCGTGGGCTCTCTATTCAAATACAATCAACAAAACAGGGTTTGTAATACAAAATTTATATATCATTTTTTCACTACTATTTTATTGTATGATAAATTAAAACTTGTAATTGATTTTCAAATTTCAAACTAGTATTTTTTAAATGATATATAGTATCAATGTTTTTACAATTATAAAAATAAATTAGATTTTAATATATTAAGCACTTATATATATATTTGTAAGGGTTAGCAAACTATCTAAAATTTTCTATAAATCTAAAACTATATTATAGTATATGCTGTATAATTTATATATATAATATATAGTAATGTACATAAAATATATATCATAGTGAATGACATTAAAATTAATTGCTTTTACTTTCATTCATAAAGAAAATCATTTTAAATCTAAACTATAATTTTTCTCTCAGTTATTACTACAATAAATTATTATTATTTAGTTATTCAAATAATTTTCTAAAATTATATATACAAGTTTTGCACATAACGTCTAATAATTATATTTGATATAACATTTGTTAAACATTAAATTATCAATATTCCTAATAAAATATAAGCCTACATATACTGTATTTTCCCTTTATATAATAACATATATATTATACAGTTTTATGTATATTTAACTTTTATATAATCAAATTATAGTCTAGTGTTACCATTGATAGACTAATTCTTGGATTTCCCCGACGTTTCTCTGGACTTACCCTTGAAATGAATCTCTTATTTTTGTTTTAAATAATTTTTTTAATGCAACAATTTTTACACATTTTTTATTAGATTTACTATTTTGAAGGCTAGAAGACGAATAACAAATATGATATATCATTACTAAATAATTATCAATTTGATTGATTGTCCTCCAATTATACCCATTAATTAATTGTTATGTTTAGTTATGTTAGACATGTGATAATTTATTTAAAAATATCATCATACAAGCAATTTGATGATATTAAATTACTTAAATTTACAATTAATTAAAAATTGTATGTTAAAAATATTAATTAATTAAGAAACCCCTTTCGACAAGATTTTTAGTATTTATTTTATATTCTTAACATTAGTTTTGCACAGTTAGAGGTTCACACAAATCCAGTCCATGAGGACAGTGCTCAGGCATATCACGCGGGATTCATTGAGGGTTATCTGACTGCCCAACTAATGGCAATGCATTGGAGAAATCAAATTGATCTCTATTGTGATAACAATCAAAAATATTGTAAACGTATGTTTAAATTTTTAGACAAAAATCTTAATATAACTCAAGAAAAAGCAAAAGCATTACGAAATGAAAGTATTTATTGGCATCAAATCGGACTTATTTTTGAACAATTAACGGGTCTTCAAGATGGCTATAATGTTAAACTTTGGTCTCATATACCCGATAAGCCCGGAATGCATGTCGACTCTAAAGGAATGATATCATTGTCTATAATTCCTGAGTTAAATGAATTTGAGTTAATCTTAAATAAGACAATCAAACACAAGACTCGCGACGGTTCGTGTTCTGCATTTGTTAAACCATTACCCGATGGAAGTGATCTATATGTAGCTCATAATACATGGGTTTGGTATAGTATGATGTTAAGGATATTCAAAAAATATGAACTTAATTATCGCAAACTACCCAATGATAATGAGATTATTCCGGGACGGGTCAGTGCATTCTCATCATATCCAGGTATTTGTGTAACATTTGATATAATTATATTAAATATGTATTATTTTCATCCATTATAGGCGCTCTTACATCAATCGATGATTTTTACATATTATCATCGGGACTGGTAGTCCAGGAGACATCCTTAACAAATATTAACTCTAATCTATGGAAATATATAAAACCTGAAAAAATTGTTTTAGAATTTGTAAGAAATCTAGTGGCCAACCGGTTAGCAGAATCGGGCAAACAATGGACAGAAATATTTGAACAAAATAATAGCGGCACATATAATGACCAGTTTATGATTGTCGACTATAAACAGTTCATTGAGGGTTTACCAACTGACCAACTGTCCAATGATTTGTTATGGGTTTTGGAGCAAATGCCAACATTTGTCAAGTCTACTGATGTGACGGGTATTCAGTTTTTTATATTATCTTAAAATTTTTGATTACAATATATAATTTGTGATTAACTGTAGATATACTCCGACAAAAAGGCTATTGGGCCTCATATAATGTTCCCTATTTTGAGGAGATTTTCAATTTAAGTGGTTATAACAAATTGGTTGAACTTCACGGTGATTACTATTCCTATAATAACACTGCCAGAGCTCTTATCTTCAAAAGAGATCAGGTCTTTAGTAGTAAATTTTGTTTCATTAAAAATCATTATTTATTTTAATCTCAATTTAAATTAATAGTCAAAAGTGAGAGATTTGACAACAGTTTACAGTCTTATGAGATCTAATGACTTTGAAAATGATCCGTTGAGTCGTTGTAATTGTGTGCCGCCTTTCACTGCCGAGTACGCCATCTCCGCACGCAATGACCTCAATGAGCCCAACGGTATCTACCCTTTAGAGGCCATAGGCTTTAGAGATTGGGGAGCTATTGATGTTAAGATTACCACAAGTGAAATGTGGAGACGTTTCGAGATGTTAGTCGTAAGCAGTCCTTCATATGAGAAACATCAGCCGTTTCAGTGGTCGACTACTAAACTACCTAAAAATATCAGACATGAGGGCCATCCCGACAAGTGGGCGTTTCCGCCATATTTTATTAGATGGTATCCATTTGATTCCGAATTGGCCGGCGTTAGTATTGCTGAGTCACTCAATTTAAATAAAAAAAATATTTCAATCTCAATAAGTTATTTACCGGTAATTAAATAAACGCATATATTTATTAAATACTAGAAATTAATTGAAAACTAAATTTTATTATATTTTCACTAAATATCACTTTCAAAATCATTAATCAATTAAACTATTTTGTAAATAAAACTATTATTTAATTAATGATTGTTTAAAACTTTGTATAAATCGCGGATTTTATGATAAGCACCGATAGGTATCCTACAGTGTGGGCACTGATTATTACAATCAATTTAAATTCATATTTATAATTAATATTAAAATATCATTTGATCGCTAATAAAGTATTTCAACACATTTCACACTACACTTGATTTCAGGTGATAATCAATTCAAACCAAATGAGATGTCAATTATGTTAATGGGTTTTAATGAGGCGTTGGTTTTTTGCCGTCGACGTAAAAATTTCTTGTGGCCGGCGGTAGTGTCAACTCAATACCCGACAACTCTTTGGTTAGGATTATCTGACAACCTATGAGATGAAAGACAAAAAACAAATGATTGAAACGACAAATCAATTGTTTGTCCAAAAAAATGGTCATTTGTTACGAACTTAATCTTGAGTTAGCCTTAAGAAAGGGCGCCATATCTAACATATCTTCTTCTTCCTCTTGTGATTGCGGCAATCGGTTATAGTATTGTTGTGATACATACACGTGACACGTGCAACAGGCCAACGATGCCTCGCACGCGCCTTCAATTTCCACATTGTTATTGTGCGCCAAATACATGGCATTGTCGCCCACTTTTCCCTTCACGTGAGTCCGTTGACCCGTTTTGGACACATATATCACATCCACAATCTGTTGGTCGTCAGACTCTTTCGGATCAATTTTGCCGGTGTTTTCACCGCTTATTTTTCGCACAAACATTGGCCTCATTGCCGATACGGCACTGTTGGCCACTTTGCGAGGTTTGCCACTCAACATATGTCTGAACAAACATAACAACATATTATCATTTGACCACTAAATGTGTGATCAGTTTAGTCATGCATTTGATGTCAAAAGTGCCACTTCTTTGACAACCAAAACAAGCGTTTGTTGTGATTATGCAATACATGTCATTGCAATACACGTGAAGACAACGATATGAACATACATTACGACTACAAATCAGTTATTGTTTTGACAATTAATGTGATATTTATTTAAGACATTTAGTAAATCTATAGACAAATACATTATAAAATGATAATCAATGACATCCAGTGTTTGGCCAATTGTGTCAATATGTGTGTCAATTAGCTCTGAGTCTGACTCTGTTGTGTGGTCTCAGTATTGGTGTTAGTATTGGTCGGCGTTGAAGAAGTGTTGGTAAACTGTTTCTGTGGTGATTGCTGTGGTTGCGATGGTTTTTGTGGCTCCACTTTGAATGCAAACTGAAGAAAGAATTGTTTGGCCTCTTTGTTCCAAAGCGTCCAAAATTTGTCCTCAATTTTGTCCACTTCACGGGACGGTACTTTGAAGCCAATTGTTTCGTAAGGTTCGGCAGCAAACAACAAGTACTGCCAGCGACGGTCGGGCGGCTCTATCTTCTGTTCGTAGGCCGACATAAATCGATGTCTCGGAGCAATATTCTCACCGATCTCTGGATAATCGATCTGTTAAAACAAAGACAATAATTAAATAAAAGTCATTTCAATTTCATGTCAACAACAACAACAAAATCTGTTGTCTAATCAATGTCTAAGACCTGAAATAACAGCGACTGTTGGTTGAAATCTGGATCCAACTGTTTGGTGACCCGATAGCCCGGGCGACCAATTTTGACAAACTTTTTGATGTCGACGCGTGACTTTGCGGGTGCGGGTAATACGGGTGAGTCTTTAGCATCTTTGGCCGCTCTTCGGGCTAAATTGCTTTGATGTTTCTTTCCCTGAGTGTGTGCCAGATATGACCCCTCGTTGTTATGTAATGTAAGACATAGTTTGCATTCATAACTTCCCAAATGGTTTTTCATGAAATACGGATCTTTTGCCAAATCAATCGTCTCTAAGGCCAACTGTCTCAGCCGTTCCCGTCGGTCGCGATTAGTCTCACTCCAAGAGGCCACTCCTCCGCTGCCAGTTTTACCGCCGGGTCTGTGTTGCATATCCATTGTCACCCGATATTAGTCACTGTGTTTTCACAGTATATTTACCGATAAATATGTGATTACTTTATACACTGACTATTGATTTCACTCAACGATACACTAAATACTCTATTAATGCAAACAATAGTTGAAAACATTAATTACGTTCAATGGCTTACACTGTACTACAGGTAAATATATGTGTATAAAATAATTTAGTAAAAAGTTATACAAATTTATTAAAATTTAATTTAATTTTAATATTTTATTAAATAAACTCGTATATTTAAAAACTTTATTTGTACAATATATATATATATATATAATAAATTAAAATTTATAATAATTTCAGTATTTGGTAGACATTTTTATGATAAAACAATAATTGAAAATATAATTCATTTGGAAATAATATAATTATGATTAACAACACAACGGGAATGTTTGAATATATAGTAAAGCGATTGATAATCAAAATTAATTTATAATATAAAGTATTTTCAATACCAAAACTCAACATTGCTTAACATTTAATGCAACGTTAAAGCATAATTAATATCAATATATAAAAACCCATTTAAACAAATAACTTTTTTTTAATATCCAATTTCAGATCTTTTTTAATAATAAGTAAAATTAATTTCAAGCCCTGGGTTTGCCTTTAAGAGGATCTTTAGAGTCAAACAATTTCTTGACAAACACCACCTGAACCACAGATGATATAACAACGACAATACATTGTGCTATTGACCAGTTCCGGACATATCTGTTTAAATAAAATAAATTGCATTTAAAATCAATTCTATAATAGTTATAACATTTATAGTTTATTTTAATATTGTAACTAAATTATAGTCATTTATTATTGTTTTTAGTACTAAAAGCTATTACCGAAACAATATAGAATAATAGTGATAATGATTTACCTTTATACGGTAATCGTATTTTAATTTAACTATCGTTAAATTATTTATATAAAAAATTATTATATAATATTACCTATATAAAAAGTTATTATATAAAGATGTTAAATAAAACAAATTTTCAATAATATTTATCTATAATTTATTAGTAAAAATATGGCTTTATCAAATTTATCAGTAAATAATAGGGTAATATTTATACCTTAAATAAAATAATTTTGTATATCTTATTTACATTTACGGTAATACTAATAATTGAATATTTTTAATTTTTTAAAAACTATTTTATTTTATAGCTCTAATAAATGTAAATTTATTAAAACATTTATTTTTTATAAACATTACGGATGTAAAGTAAATTAAGTTTATTTAAATAGGAAATAATTGTGTCTAAGTGTCATTAATCACAGTAAAGTGTTGTCAAACTTGATAAACATTATAGTTTTCTTATCACTAAATAATAAAATATTAAAAGTAATTAAAAACCAATAGTTTTTAATAAACTATAATTTTATAAATTTATGTACCGGTACTTTGTTTTTTAAGTATTCAATTACTATTATTATTTTCAACTCAACTTAAGTTACCGATAGGTTAATGATATTAAATATATACAGTAAATACATGTATAGTAAAAAAAATTATTAGAAAATTTTAATAAATTTTAATAAATTCTTAAAAATAAATTAAATGATATTATTTTAGATATAATTTCAAGTCATACCTATTGTTTCCGTCGACGAGATACCAATCGGCGGTATTAAGTCTTCTCGAGTGATCCAAACTCTTAATCATTAAACCAATATTGTTGTCCACAGTTCGCAATGCATTTGTAAAGTTACCGACAGTGACCTCGGCATCAGTCAACTCTTGTATATACTTTTCCCACTCGTCCCGCTTGAATGAGGCCACGTATAGACTGACCAGTTTTGAGGCAAAACGTGAAACAGTATTATCAATACATAGGGAATAATAGCCTTTAAAAGATTAATATGAATTAGTTTTTTAATAATAAGAGTCAGTCATGTAATATCATATACCGGGGGTTTGGACGGATGCCTCGTCATACTCTGCGTGTGGTTTCCACTGATACGGCATAATCAACTGTCCTATTGGATCCCTAATGGCAAACCCTGCCTGATTGTCACCACCTCTCATAACCTAATATTAATCAAATCATACTATAAATATTATTTTAATACAAATCTTTTAACATAAGTTTAGGCTATATATGATATCATATTAATGTTATAAAATAGTGTATCGATAATCGCGGTAACCATTTGATACAATACAAAGAGATGATAGTTATGTTAGTGATGGTCATACCTGAAAGGCCACGTATAACGATGACGATTGTTGAATATATTGATAAAAACAGTCCTCTTTTCCGGCATCGATATGTATCTTGAATTCATAGGCAATACCCAACTTATCCTCAAAATTGGTTGAACTATAGCTCTCAGCCAATGCACGGGTCAGACACGTGCAGACCAACAGACTGACGGCCACAACATATGGCACTACTCTTTGCCAACAATACATTGCCATCACTACAGACATTCAATGACAGACATTGCACTCATATGTTGTGATCAATCAGTTTAAACCATACAACCAACCAGTTTGCCTGAGCTAACACACATGCCTGTGCTCTCATACCAGAGTGATATCTAGTGTGTCATCATATTTACAATTATATCATATTATATTGAATATTGAAAAACTTTTTTACAACTTTTCAAATTACAGTAAAGTTTGGATTAGTAATTAATTTTAATAATTAATTTTAATAATTAATTTTGATTAATAATACTGTATAAATATATAATAAAAAATACAATTTCATTAAAAAAAAATCCAATACATGTTTGACATAACAATTAGAAATGTCATAAAAATATAGTAAATTTGAGTTGAAAAGTGTCGATTGAATCTATTTTAAGATACAATATAATTATTAATATATTTGATTAAAAAACAATTGAAGAAAACTAATAACTAAAATGTACTTATAGTAAACATTATAAAAATTTTATATCAATATTTTTATAAAAACTATAAGTAAAAACAGTATGTATAGTTTTACATTATTATTTTATTATAAAAATAATATTTCAAAATTGTTTGACATAAACAATAGATAATTTTTTTGCATTTTGATTAAGTATCCTTCATTTAATAATAATTGATAAATTTTGAAGAAAATAATTCAATTTTTCAGATTTACTGCCAAATAATATAATACTTTATATTAAAGTAATATATTTCCTAATTAATATCATAAGTGCTTTTGATGTGTTGACTGCAAAAATAAGATATTAACGGATGGAAAGCTTTTAATATAAAAGTCAATTCAATAGTCAATGATATTGTCAATCAATGCTAATTTCAGGCGTCTATTTAATCAATTAAATTATTATTGTGAACTTTACCACATGTGTGTACTCTTCTATACACAGTTTCATAGATTAATAGCAATTATATTTCATATTATTTTTTAAATTTCTATTATCAAGAATCTTAATTCAAGATTAAATCAGGTTATATATTCAGGTGTACTATAAAAAATAATTTTTTAATAAACATAATTTGATATACAGTATTGTATTATTCGGATGTATTTTACATTTTAAATATTTAAATCTAATATGTATTCCCAGTTCATTAGTTTTTTATTCATTATATTCATTGTATTGATAAGAAAAACAAATTCATTAGGTTTTTTCGATATCTTTTTACTGAAATAAAAAATTTACTAAAATAATTATTTGCCATTTATTATATAGGCACACATGTTGTATTAAACGATGGCAATAAAATGCCCACAATAGCCATCGGAACGGGAGGCACTGGTCTAACCAGTCGATCAATGGTTGAAATGATCAAAAACGCTGTTAACTCTGGCTATCGACACATCGATACGGCTTTTATTTATAACAATGAATATGAAATCGGAATTGCTTTGAGTGAACTGATTGACAAAAAGACTATCAATAGAGAAGACATTTTTATTACAACAAAAATCTGGAATACATATCATTCATACAATAGGGTCCGGGAGGCGGTCAGTGAGTCGCTAACTAATTTAAATGTAGACTATTTAGATTTGGTGCTCATTAATTGGCCGATGGGGTATGTTTTAATTAATAGTTATGTTTTATTATATAATTATTATACTATTGTCTGTATATATATATATATATATATATAGATACAAAGAAGGTATTGATACTGAACCGTTGGATCAGTCAGGTTATGTAATTCCTTCATCGTATGACTATTTGGAAACGTGGGGAACATTAGAACAATTGGTTAGTGAAGGAAAAATTAAATCCATAGGTGTGTCCAACTTTAATAGTGAACAATTGAGTCGATTGCTTGAATCGGCGCAAATCAAACCAGTGGTCAATCAAATAGAAAGTCATCCGCACTTAGTTCAGGACAAACTAATAGACTTTTGCCACAAATCCAATATACATGCGACCGCTTACAGTCCATTAGGAGGCGGAAGACTATTGTATCAAACGCCTGAGTTAACTAAAATTGCTAATAAATATAAGAAAAGTGTGGCACAAATAATGATAAAATTTCAAATAGAAAGAGGATTATCGGTTGTTCCCAAAAGTGTTGTTCCCCAACATATCAAAGAAAATATTAATGTCTTTGACTTTACACTAAGTGCTGAAGATATTAAACAAATCAAAAATCTAAATCATAATATCAGGTATACAATTGAAGAAAAAGCAAAAAATCATATTTACTACCCGTTTCACAACGATTACTAATTTATTATTTTAATATAAATCTATTTTAATAAAATTAACATAATTTATAACTAATGTACAATTGTTTAATTCTAACTTTTTTTGTATTAGTATTTATGTTGTGTATAACTTACAAAACAATGATAAAATAATTAAAAATAATTATTTATTAATAATTACAGCATATTTTAATAGTCTATATTAATAATATGTATAAAAATGTTATTATTAACAATAAAACTTTTTTATATAATTGTTTGCATTGTTCAATAAACAAAGATTTTATTTAGTGTTATATTAATACTGTACGACATATTATAAAAGATTAATAACAACTTATCTATGAAGTGCTGACTTTATAATATTCATAGTCTTATAATTAAAGTTAAATTATAACTGGATTTTAGTACATATTATTTGTTTATTTAGATTATTAATATTATATATAAATTTAAGTATCAACTAAAATAATTCATTTACAATTATTATTATTGATTTAAAAAACAAGAAACATATTAAAAATGAATATCATTTTTTCGAAAAAAAATATTCTCATATTAAAAATTGTAAATATAGTTTATTTATATACTTTACAGTAGAGGTAACGTAAATTATTACATATATATTATAATCAAGTGGGGTCTCAATAATTAATAAATGTTAACACATAAGTTATATGACATAACTAGAGACTATATTAATTATATAATTTTCAATTAATTGGTTAATTAATATATTATACGAAGCGAAAAGTAATTTAACTACTGTATAATACTTTAAATATGATATTAGCTAATATTGATTATTATATTGTAGAGCACCTGTAGATAAACTAATGAGTAAAAAACTATACGTACAGAATAACTACTATCAGGGTTGGAAAAATACAAGGTTTTGAATTTTGACTTTGTATAATACAGTAAAATACAATGTACTGCATATATTATACAAATTTTAAAACTAATATACTGTATATTATACATACAGAAATGTATTAGAAATTACTTTAAAATATTTAGTAAAATTATAATTTCTATAAAATGCATTATTATTATAATCGTTATTTCTAAGTTATAACAATCAAATAATTTAAAATAAAAAATGAAATTCAATAAAAAAATAATATTAAATCTATATTTATTATAAAACCTTATTTACTTTGCTTATGTCAATGCTTTTAACACTAGGTGGCGCTAATATTATTTTTGTAAACAAAATTGGTCATGTATTTTACATTGTATTATACTGTATATTACGCTTTGTATTATACAAACATTTTGTCTCTGCCAACACTGACTACTATACAGTAGTGTAAATGTATTAATACTATACTTTACTGTACTCTTTGTACACCTAATTGTTTGCAACAATTATTATAACATTAGTCACGTGAATACAATGACAACAACATAAACAGCAAAACTATTACAATAATAGACATCACATTTAATTGACAATTACTGGTATATTATATGGTTTGTCATATAATTATTATTATCACAACTATTACATCAATTGTTTTACAAATTATTACAATTTTTTATATTAATTTCCTGTTGGAAAGTGTTATGAAAATTGATAATACTATTAGTTTTTATAACTTAATAACAATATATTGACAGTCAAACTGTATAATACAGGTATAGATTAAACTTTAAATATTTACAGTTTATATATATTTATTAAAAATGATGTAATTTACAATTTTTTTAATCATTTAAATTTTAATTAATATAAATAATATTATTAATTATAATTAATAATATTTTTTACAGAAATGTTTAGCAAAACAGTATTGAAATTAATATTATTAATTGAATTGATTGTAATATTGAGATGTGGTTTATGTCTGAAATGTTTGGATGAAACTGGAAGTCCTGTCGATTGGTTTATTGTATATAAAGTGCCAAAACTTGAAGACTCTTCATTGGATACATTGAGGAGTGGTTTTGGTTATACATATATTACAGATAAGTCGATTAAGACGACTACCAATTGGATACTTTCGACCAAAACTGTCGATCAAATTGAATCAATATTTGGTCGAACAGTCGATTCGGTCTTAAATAAGTTGAAGAAGTCGTCGGACGTATCTCTTGTCGCGTACAACGACGAGAAACCAGGTTTACTATCTTTGAAGTGTCTGTTAATTAGTTAAATGTCTTTTAATGGTTTGTTAGGTACAGCCAAGTCTTCAGGTGGAGCGCACGCCAAAGGTTTGTTTGCCATTGACTCCGTCGGCGCTTTTTGGATGACACACTCAATGCCAAAATTTCCTGATTTAACCCATAATTATCGTTTTCCCGATAATGCCAAACGTAACGGTCAGACAGCAATCTGTATTAGTATTGATGCGAAAGACACTAAAAGTATTGATAATATCGCGTATCAAATGCTGATAATGAGGCCTAATATCTACGACATGACAATACAATCAGATCTAACAGACAGATCTAATCTATGGTATGACTTAAAACATAAGAAATGGATTAAAAATATTACAGACAATCAAATGACTATTAAAAGTAAAAACGGGTAAAACTATTAAACTATTTGTATGACATTTAATATAATTTAGTTTAATATTTAAATTTGTATCTAATTGTAAAATAGTTTGTCGATTACAAGTTTTGCAAAAAGTAATAAATACGAGAAAGACATTTACTCAGGACTTATTGCCACTTATTTTAAGGAAAACTTATTAGTCCAGAGTTGGCGTAACGGTGCCGGCGGTCGATTGGATTCTGATTGTACCGACAAATATAAAGTCCAGAATATCGACAAAATACAAATACCTGTCATTAAGATCAAAGACGTCGATTGGCAAACAACTGAGGATCACTCCAAATGGGGTATTACTGACGATAATAGTGGTCAGACCTACACTTGTATTGCTGATATCAATCGTATGAAATCACAATTCAAAAGAGGTGGCGGATCTCTATGTCTCGAATCAACTAAAGTGTGGCAAATATTCAAGAAATCTATTGAAGAAGTGGAAGGCTGTCCATTAAAAGGTCACTTTACTACCAAAGAGAACGCATCTAATAGAGGATAATATTAACAAAAGTAAAACAAAATCTCATATCAAATGATCTACTATTAAATGTGTTGAAAGAAGTTAGATATCAATTATTTTAGTTTATATTTATTAACTAATTTTTTAAAGAGCTTTAATAATGACATGTTATAAGACTTGTTAATGAATAATGTATTTATCATTATGTCATTTGGCTTTTAGCCATTTTTTGCCAAATTTTTTATTTTATTTTATTTATATGTTTTTATATTAAATATTTTTGTAATTGTCGTAATATTTTTATTTTAATTTAAATATTTTTAATATACTTTAAAATACTTTAATAATTATGATAGCAATGCTAAATTAAATACCTGTATATATGAAAATACAATAAAAATAAAACACAAATAAGACACAATAAAAATATTCATAAAACATTTTTGGTATTTAAAATTAATTTTTCACTAATCTGATATATTTAACTAAAGGTAATTGATTTTTAAAAAGTGATTGCTTCTAATATTTATTACAGAAATTTATAATCAAAATATTATATCATATAATAATAATAAAAATTCATAGTTAATCAACTTTTGCTAAACTACTTTCAATTAACAGTAACAAACATCAGTGGTTCAGTGAATTTGGGTTTTTGAGGTTTCTGGGTAATTTAGATACTAATAAAATATTATTATTATTATTATTATCATTACAACTAATGTTTTAATGTTAATAACCAGTCTTTTAAAGCCGTTGGCCACCACTTGAGTCACACCAATGAAGGCCAACCTTTTTTTGTTGGACTTATATTTATAAAGTTTATACTATAATATTATAAACCTCTTTATAGTCTATTTAGAGCACAAAATCTTACAAACACTTTATATGTGATTTAACCTTCATTTCTATCGAAAAAAATAAAAATATTATAATTATATGCAGTAAAAAATAAAATCTTAATATTAATAATTTAAAGAAAAGTAAAATAAAATTTTGAAATATTTTGTCGGAGTTTTGATCCAAACATTATACAAGACAACAGCCTCTAAAAAGTGATCTCAAATATCATTGGAGGCTTAACTGTGAATAATATAACTTTTAATCATTAGTTTAATAATTATTATTAATAATAAAAATTATAATTATTAATTACATATTATATGACTGTTACGAAAAAGCAATAAAGTCGAGGAAACGGTGCAAACACTTTGAAACAAATCATTTGCTGTTAAGATAGAGAAGTGATATTTAGATATCTTGAGTAAAAATTTTTTGAAAATTTTAATCGACTCATCAAAATCGGGTAAGTTTTGGCTTTATTTATATATATATACTATTATTATTATTTTTATATACTTGAAAATTATTTATGTAATAAAATATTTTAATTTATTTAATTAATTAATTTTAAAAATAATTACCGTAAATATTAAACACTTAAATAAATAAATATCAATTATTATAAATACTAATTACGATAATGTTATGGCATTTTTGTTTAATTAATTAAATATTTGATGAATTGTTATTTTTAAAATTAATACATAATAAAATAATAAGCACAGTTATTTTAGTTTATAATTTTTATTATAACTACAGTTAAGTAAGGTAAGTAATTTACAATTAAAATGGTTATAAATAATATAAATAACTATTGATATGACAATTATTTAACTTAATATTAACTTGTCAAAAATTGTTGACATTTTTATTATTGTTTAATAATTTATGGTCAAAACAATTTTATTTTTATAATAATAAAAAGTTTTTTTGTTGTAATTTTTATATACATTTTGAAATATCTATATAATAATAGAAATGTAAAACTTATGGCCAAAAGTGTTTTTAGGGTCAAATAGTGCTCTTATAAGATAAACAATGGGGACAATCGGCAATCAATCTAAACTCAGATGACCTCAAACACTAAATCCAATCTAAAACCTTATTATATTGAATATATCAGACATAGAAAGAGAGTGAGAAAAATATAAAGGAAAATAAAAGTTTATTATTAATACTAAATGTTTTGCTATACTTGAACTCAATGTTCACGAACTGTGATTTTTTATTTGTTTTAATATATACTATATTTAAATTTTTAAACAAATTTTGAATACAAAACCTAATATACTGTTTATTATTATTATGTTAGATATTAAAATGCAAATTATTATACAATTTTGTTTGGTTGTTCTATTGGGAACAGTAGTCAATTCGTGGCCCAGTGGTGCCCCAGGTATGCAATTTATCAAAATCTTATTACAATATAATATTTATGTAATATTTATTAATAGTAACTAACATTAATTAATTGATTAATGATAATAATAACAATAATAATAATAATAACTCTATTAATATATTAAACAATACAAAAAGCCTGACCTTGATATGGTTTACTTTTGCCTTTATAATTTTTAATAAAAAAGAAAATTTAATTAAAATAAAATTAATCTGACTTAAAATCTATTAAAATAAATGTCTTATATTATTTAATTATTATTTCATAGTTATATATAGCTTTTTAAAACTTAATTTTCTTCTTTTTATTTATTATAAACTAATTTATTTGGAAACAGTTATTAAAAATAATTATATTGTATATTAACAAATCATGTGTTACTAAATACCGATAATAATAATAATAATAATTAATATAAACTTAAATTAAATGCCTAATTTGAATTATAACAAACATGAATAAAAATCATGTATTTTCAGAGTCGGTATGCAATACATTGACTCCAAAACACGGCGAAAGTCAGGCGCGAGGGGCCGAGTCTTCGCCCTATAATTTGGTTCAATCACATCAAGACTATGTCGCCAGAGATCGTATCAAAGGTTTACTAATTTTATTATATAATATTAAAATAATTTATATAAACATAAATAATAATATAACTATAAAAAGAAAAAACTAATTAAATTAAATTTTTTATGATTTTAGTAACACTGTCAGCACCACAGGGACAGTCATTCAGAGGACTTATAGTTCAAGCTTATGATCCGCACACAGGAGCCGGTAGTTTATAATTATCATAATTAAATAACTGATAATCAATGAAATAATTTTTTGACTTATATTAAAATTTGTTTGCAATGAAACAGCAATCGGTAAGTTTGAGGCCGGAAAAGGATTGAAAGCTATTGACTCGTGCGCTGCCGTCACTCATACAGACAGAAGGTTTCAACAAAATTAATATAATGTTTTGCAAATTATTTATTGTATTTAATGACAATATTTTAGAGGTAAACGGTCGGCAACATTGGTTTGGACGGCACCTGAATCTGGTAGAGGCGGTAACGTTGCTTTTAGAGGAACTGCTGTTCAAAGTTTCAGTGATTTCTATACTAACCTACACTCTAGTGTTAACCCAAATATATAAATTTAATTAAATAAAACAAATATAATTGAAATTTTATATATAATATATATATATATATATAACTGAAATTTACATCTATATAAATTAATTATTAACATTTCACAAACAATATAATAAAGCATCACATATTATGTATTAAAATTTTTTATATATACTGTATTTTATATGTACTCATATATACTGTATATACAATACTGTTCAACATATTGTATAAATATAGTATTAAATTTATCATCAATTTAATAATTTCAATAAACTAAATTACAGTATGTTTTTGAGTATTTTATTCTCATTTATTGTATATATTATATTGTATTGATTTTTTAATAGTTAATATTATGTTTAATAAATTGAATTTGTTTTTGATAAGTTTTGTGATAATCACTTACAAGTTAATTATTTTACAAATAGATTATTCAAATATTATATTTTATTAATGATATTCAGGTAAAGAATAGATTAAAATAAATAACAAGAAAACTAAACAAATGAAATATTTAATACAGTCTTAACTTACTATATAATTATAAAGACTTTTCAATAATTGATTGAAATAATTTAGTCTTAAAAATATAATTATTCATTTTAAACAAATATTTCAATCAAAACTTTGATTAAAAAGTCATTGAATAGATAATTAAGTTTATTGAAAATATTTATTTGTTACGTAATAATAAAGTATAATATTTTAATCATTTATTGTCTGTCTTTCACTTTTTAAAATAATTTTTATCGTTGTATATCATGACATATAATCAATAATTATTGTTCTTTATATTAATATTACATTTCTTGGATGTTTAAATCATTGCTTACCATTGATGTCTCAAAATATTTTATTAATCTATTATTGAGTTGATATTTAAGTTGTTATACAATTTATATGTCTAATATTTTTCTTAATATTAGATTTTATATTATTTTATAATTATTGTTTAAATTCTTGGAAATTACTTATTTAAAATAAACAAACAGAAATATATAAATAATTCAAAAATTATTTTATAGCGAATTAAATTATTAAGTGTTAAATTAAGATTACAACTAAATAAATAACATTAATTGTTAACTAATGATAAGAAACTTTATATAAAAATATTGTATTTAGTTTTAAAACAAGATAACACATTTAGATATACATTAGTAATAACACATATTTAAATTACAAGATTATATAATATACTAAAAATATTTGTACACTTAAAATAAATATTTAAGATATAAGTATTATTTAAACATAAACTTATCGATAATTATAAATTTTAAAAAAATATTATGTATAATAGTTACTAATTATAAATGAATATAAAGTATTTATAAACTTATATAACTCTTTTTTCCTGATATTATAAAATGTTTTATATATTATTTTTATATTTATAAGTTATTTACATTATTATTTTTACTTTAGTATTAATGTTTATCTCTTAGTTTGTTATATATTAAATATTTATAAAATACGAGTTAATTACAAAATATTTTATTTAATAAAAATTTTGGTAATATTACAAATGGACCATGTCTAAATCAAAATTCAAGTATTATATTAAAATGCAATAATACTGTATATTGAGTATTATAAACAATTTTTATCAATTTATTTATTATTTTCTTAGGCAAATAAATAAAAGTATAATAATAGTTATGACAACAATTGCCAAAATTATTGCAAGCAATATAAGCCATATAGGAATCTTGCATTTCCAGGACCCGCGCGGGTAGTCTCTACATAATAATGGCGAAACAAATCCCGGTGTATATAATGATATGTAAATTTCCATATCTTTTGAGTTAATATTGCATTGTTTGGCACGATATTCAAGACACTGTATCAACAAAATATAATATATAAATAAATAATTGTCAATAATAAAGCTCATATAGTCTAACCTGGATCAGTTTCCAATAGGCACAACAAACCACTTTATTATTAGTTTCATCCTTAGCTGTCGTATCTTTATTTGAGCCAATTTTTTCGTAAAACTTTTGTATACAACTCGAGTGATCGACTGAACTCAACAAACATGTCTTGGCTCTCAAATAGCCGATTGAACTCAAATGATTGTAACCATCGATGACTACAAACATTAATGAATACAAACAAATAAACATAAAAAAGACAATAACTTTATTTTCACTCATTTTCTGTCACTTTAACTGTCAATTTTACGGTTCAATTAGATTACATCGATTTTTACTAACATAATTAAATTTTAATCCATGATTATAATTAAATAAATATTAATTTTAAATAATTTTATAATAAAATATTTTTTCAACTTTTCATAATATTCTTACTGCAAATAGTATCAATAATTTTTTTTATTTAGCATTTAGTACTGTATTATATGTTGGAAAAAATATAATATAAAATAATTGATTCAATTATCTATTTAGTGTCCCTTAATGAGACTTCATGGTAAAAATAGACTTATTTTTAAATTGTTAACGTCAAGCATCCAAACAACAACTTTAAAAAACTTTTATCATCTAATTGAGTCATTTATATATATAGTATAACTATTTGTTAAAACCAATTATTCAATTAATTAATTGTTGAACTAAAAAAAAGTTTGACAAAAATGATTTTAATTTTGTTTATTTACTCGATTGAAAACAAGGACATCATTATACAAAAAATTGACAAATTATAGTATATTTTGTTTATTTTTCACATATACAGTAATTATAATAAATATTATATAATTATACTTAATAAAAATTAATTTTATTTTATAATTTATTTATTTTTAAATAATTAAAATAAAAGAATAAACAATTATAATGATAAAATTAGTTATTAATTTCAATAATAAAAATTTATTATTTAATAGTATTTTATTTTAAATAACTTAATCTGAAATAAATTTTTTAGACCTCATTATTCTGAGTAAATTTTTAAAATAGTTGTTAATAAAATTATTAATATTTAATATATGATTTTTAAAAATTATTGATATTTAGCCACCTATAACATAGTTTATTTACATAATTTATTAAATATTGTTAAAATATTACAAAATAAAAATTGTTGTTATTTATTAAGCGCAACAATTTATTACAACTTTAATATTATACTTAAATGAAAAATGAATTTAAAATAAAATTTAATTAATTAACCATAAGATGAATAAAGAAACAAATGATAGGAGAGATGACATAAACAAAGTGATGCCTGAATTGCATAGATATGAATCTCTTGGATAGTCTTTTTGGCAAATATAGAGAGGAACAGTTGAACCCAATTGTTTGGTATATTTTTGCATATCAGTCCTATCGTTAATACATTTTTCGTCGGCCGCCCGCTCAACACATGACAGGAACTCCCAATAAGCACAACAACCGATACGATTGACACTATTTTGTTGTTCAATAAGTGTCACATATGGCGACAATTGTGAGATCTCTCGGTCCAACCTTTCCTGTTGACCATTCATACAGGCGTTATATTCTTTGTATATCTTGTAGAGACAGGTCCCTCCTTTGGAGAACACTGTGTCAACTGGTGGTGCTATTTGTGACACACAAATGTCAACAATTGTCAGTAATAATGATAAACACATAATATTCTTCATAGTTATTAAAAAAAATTTTTATTAATGTAACAAATAATATATTATTAATGTTTTAAAACATAACGTAATAATTAGTAAATCTATTTTAAGCAAATTTTGCCGATGATATCATACATATTGCTTGTTATATACTTATTATGTTTTATTTAAACTTCACTTATTTTCATTCAAAACAATTTCAGACTATTAATAGGCTATTAATATATAATATTTTATTTAAATAATTTACACTCAGACAAAAATGACATTTATAAATTATTATTTAAATTCATTCAAAAAAAAAAATATATTCAGTGTATCAATAAATTATTATTTAGTGAATTACTGTTAAAACTTCATAAAATGTTCGCTTTTTAAACAAAAGAATATATTTTATTATATTTATTATATGACTAAAAATATAATATAAGTGATATTCGTGACGAAAATTTGACGATTAGTTAGTTTACAAAACATTTGCTTTCATTGAAATGTTTGCCATAAATAGTAATTCTCATTGAATTCTGCTGTGAATCGCATCACTAAAAGTGTTGGTTTTGTTTTGAAAGAATTGGTAGTTGTTTTATAAAGAAATTCAAACATCACTTATCAGGTAAGCACTGGAAGGTCAGCACTGGTAGTACAATGTATTAGTTGAGGTATTTTAGTGGTAGTAGTAATAGAAGTGATGTCACAAATCAAATCGCCTACACTTTAATTTAAACCTTGACTTATTATTATATACTTAAATTGGTTTCTTCAATATTTTCAATAAAAAACAAAATTGTTTCCGATTTATGATTTTTTATATAAAATAATGAAATTATTTTAAATTTAAAAAATAACAATTTAAATATTTTTAAGATTATTCTTAACATATGAATATACTTAAATTGTATTTATATCACTATATTAATATAGTTTATTTGAATGTACAAATTTTGTATATAAATATTACACACCAAAAGTTTTTTATTTTGCTTGGGATGACAATTGAATGCTAATACAATATTTTTTGTTTAATTTATGATAAATAAATAAAACAATAATTACAATTTTGGTCATTACTTTATTGTGTTTAGTTATAAACTAATTTCACGATTATTTTTTTGTATTACAAATGGGTTATACATTAATCTGATTTACAAAGTATTATATTTTTTGTTGTATAAATAAAATATAAATTTAATATAATTAGTCTAACTTTTTAGACACAAATTATAATTTAAAGAGAATAAGGAGATCACGAACTTTCATAAAATACAATTAAAATGCATTTTCTGACACTTTTTTAATGAATTAAACTAAAAGTTGTTATTATTTACTAATTCATTTCAATTAACATTAATGTGTTATTTTGATGAAAAAATATGTAATATTTGTCCTAATTTATATAATTAAGTTATAATAAAGTTTACCCAACATTCAGAAATATTTCATAATATATTAATAATATTTATCAAAAAAAATATTTTATAATTTCTTTAATATCAACTTAATAAAAAATTGTTTACTATAATAGTTATTAGTTATAAAGTTACTTATTAACATTAATTTACATTATATAGATGTATATTACATAATTTTAAATAATCTTACTAATTATATTAGTTAATTAAAGTTTTCACTATTTTTTTTATAATTTACAAAATAATTTTGCTGTAGTAATAATTTAATAAAACTAAACTATGGATTTAAATTTACTAAACATTGTAAAAATGTTTAAACAACAACTTTAATGTTATATAATAAGTACTGTAGTAATACTACTGTAAAATATCTTAACAAATTAAATGCTTAATATTAAATATACAGAAAAAACAATACAAATACTTTTATTGTAATATTTTAAAGATTTTTTTATATAAAGGGTTGCAATAAGTTTGAAAACCCTTTACATATAAATTATTCGTAATTGATGTCTAAATGACTGAAATAACAGTACATTAAAAAGCATTGAATGTATTGAATGCTTTGTGCGCTCATTAAACACGTGTTGTAATTGTATTGTGAGAGCCATTGAACTACAATTATATTACATTTGAATTCATTTGTTTTAGTCATTGAAGTCATCAATTGGTTTGATTTTGTCCATCACTTTGATTGATCCAAACCATTATCCTTCACCACATCTGACATTCATATATTGATTTATATAACAAACGAAATACTTTTTGTTTTTGCAAAAGATGTCAGAAATCAATGAAATCGATGTAAGTATTGCTATAAAGAGTGTCTGTATTTAGTCTATCGATAATCACTCCCGTTATCACCGAAATGTGTAACCAATTGTTTGGTAATATTATAACAATTTCGGTGTCATTACTGTAAAAACTTGTCAATCAATTGCTATCAAATGTCAAGCATTTTGTTGTATTGTTGGCCACGAAAGGCAATGAATTTGATTTTTAATAGCTATTGTCGACACAAAAACATTGTTATTATAGATACTGTTATTTGATTAGCGAAGACATGATTTGTATTAATATATATTTTTAAATGTTTTGACAGATGATTGAGACGTCGGGTCGAGATAGCAGTGATGTGGGCGTTGGTCACCACCACGTGGACGACGATGTGATAGAAGTGACGCCATTCGGCAAAGTCAACCATCACGGAGATGACGGCAACTCAGTGGTCAACAAATCGACAATATCGGACACATCGAGTCAATTGTCAACGAAATCGGGTCCCAATTTGTGTGACAGATGCAAACAAGAGGTCCAATTGAATGGCATCGCCACCGAAGATATGACGTCCAAAGACTACTATTTTGATTCATACGCTCATTACGGCATTCATGAAGAAATGCTTAAGGATGAAGTCCGGACACTTACCTACAGAAACGCTATGATTCACAATAAACATCTGTTTAAGAATAAGGTTGTCCTCGACATCGGCTGCGGTACCGGTATTCTCAGTATGTTTGCCGCAAAAACAGGCGCTAAACATGTGATTGGGGTAAGCAATACACTTACCATCATTTAGATGTTTTTTACTAACCATCAGTTTATCATATAAAATGAATAATAGAAGACATTATTCATAAATTGAAAATCCAATTGATTGTGTCCTATATATCCATCAGATTGAATGCAGTGGTATTGCAAATCTGGCCGAACAAGTGATTAAAGATAATAATTTGTCGCACAGTAAGTGTTGGGACAGACATTCAATGTTATTATTATTGAATAATTGATTTTATTGTTTTGTTTGCTATAGAAATCACATTAATTAAGGGCAAAGTTGAAGAGATTACTTTGCCGGCAGAGTATCCTAAAGTAGACATTATTATCTCTGAATGGATGGGCTATTGTCTCTTCTATGAGTCTATGTTGGACACTGTCATATATGCTAGAGATAAATGGCTGGTAAGTTATTGTTATCTATTTATATTACCGGTATTTATTTTTTTTATTTATTAATTTATTTGATATATTTAGAATCCCGATGGACTACTGTTTCCCGATAGGGCTACTCTTTATATCTGTGCCATTGAGGACAGACAGTACAAAGATGACAAAATTAATTGTAAGCAAAAAATATAAAAATATTTTTGAATTACACAAATTTAATTGTTATATTAAAGGGTGGGACGATGTCTATGGTTTTGATATGAGTTGCATCAGAAAGATTGCAATCTCCGAGCCGTTGGTCGATGTTGTCGACGCCAAACAAGTGGTTTCAACCCATTGTCTGCTCAAAGAAGTAGACTTATATACAGTCAAACCAGAAGATCTGACCTTCAAAACAAACTTTCATATGAATGTGAAAAGAGATGATTACATCCAGGCTTTTGTCACATATTTTAATATTGAATTTTCCAAATGTCACAAACGAACCGGATTTTCGACTTGTAATACCATTTGTGATATTTTTATTGAAATATATTTTAGATAATATTTTTTTTTATTTATTTAGCGCCTGAATCTAATTATACTCATTGGAAACAAACTGTCTTTTATATTGACGACTGTTTGACTGTCAAACGCGGCGAAGAAGTTCACGGAAGCTTTCAAATGACTCCAAACCCTAAGAATAAGGTTTGAAGACTTGAATTATAATAATAATGCAATTAATTTAATTTTATTAAACTATTTTCAATTGCAGAGAGATATGGATTTCGAAATATTTGTCAACTTTAAGGGCGAATTGTCTGAACTACAGGAGCCGTTTGCATATAAAATGCGTTGAAATGTTTAATTTAATACTAGGTTTTAAAAAATTTGATCAACATTTTAGATCAATGGCTATCATATAATGCCATTATTCAATTATATTCAATTGGATTTATATTTTTAATTTAATTTATAACTTAAATTTTTGACACTCCGTTTACTCAATTATTAATAAATATAAATTGCAGTTAATATTGTTTATTGATAGATACAGTATTGTTGACAACATTTTTTTTTATATACCTGAGTTTAATATTTATGTTTATTATTACTTTTTTAATTTAAACTATTTTAGATTTATTATTATTATTAAGCATTAAAAATAATAAATTTAATACACTATATATAGTTATTTTTCAGATTGTTTTAAGTGATATAAAGTAAATTGAAATATTTTTTTTATTTATATAAATTGATTTGATATATGACTTAAAATCAATAAAAATTCATTTTCTAAACTAATATAAAATTGTTTAGCGATTCAATTGAATGATTCAATGCATTGCAATGCCATTGAATGCATTAAAACACGTACTAATAGTAACTGAAAATTGTTTGTAAGTATTGGTTGTCATAGAGATCACTATTTTTGTGTTTTCAAAGCCATTGTTTACAGTTTTTTTAGAGACAATTGTCAGACAAGACATCGCATTACATGTGAAGACAGAAAATACTGACCACTTGTCGGACATTATTAACTATAATGACAACTACTTTATTGACGACCATTACGGCAATCGGGGCCTTATTTGTGTCGCTCGTCATTATCATTGACACGGGATGTTTGGCCAGCCGTATGACAGGCGGTTGGTCTCTGATGTTAGTCGACAGCGAAGATGTCAAGAATCTGACAGATTTTGCGGTCGATATGTATAATAAGCGGTCGAATGCTATTCATTACAAACAATTGATTCGCATTAAAGACGCCAAACAACAGGTAGTCTCCGGACGCAAGATATCCATTACTTTTGTTGTCGGAGAGACCAACTGTTCAAAGAATGGTATCAATAATCATAATCTTAAGGACTGTCCCCTCACTAACACTAATGTATGTATTGATTGGTTAATGATTGAGACAAATGACTAAATGTTTGTTTAATTTATGGTTCAATAGACTGTCGAGACCTGTTCGGTGACAATTTGGCAGAGGGTTTGGCTTAACAATACTCAACTGACAAATATTGTCTGCACTTAAATCATTGATGAGATCAGTTGACCAAAGATTTATTTTATGATAATTATGACAATTATCTGAGTATTTATAAAATATTTTGAATGAATTTGAAAGTTATCGATAAATTAATATTAAGGGATGTTTACGTTTGACATTTGAAATTAAGTGTCTATTTATCATTGAATTTATTGATATTTTATATAATTATTTTAAACAATATTTTATATTTTATTAGCTTATTATTAGTTATTCAAACGGATATTATGTTTTTTAAACACTAAAAATTTGTTTATTAAATGATTTTTTTAAAAAAAAAGTTATTTGATTTTGTCTAACTTGTAGTTTAGTTATCTTGATTTTATCATTTTTATTGCATTTATTTTTATATATAAATTTCATAAATTGTATACAAATTATTGTACAGTATATCAAAATTTTGTTAATAAAAATGTTTAATAAAAATAATATGAAATTAAAGGGGAAGTTTTGATAAACATAATTATTAAACATAAAATGTTAATTTCATTGGTTTTACATATCAGTTGAGTTTTAATAGTGTATTAAGAAAATCGGAAACATTTTTAATTGGTTAGCAATTATTGGCAAAAAATGTTGATTTAAAAAATTCATATATTAATCTCTACTGATAACTAAATAAAACATTATTTTATTTTTTCTACATTTACAAGTTTGATATCTATTAATGTGTGCTTATTTTAATAGCATTGATCACTGTTATCATTGTCCTAAATTTGAATACTAATAAAGTGATTAGTTAATTGTAATTTTAATAAATTAAAAGTTATTTTAAAGTATTAAATATGGATTTCATTATTATTAGTATAATATTTTCAATTTTGTATTCAATAAATGGATTGCAATTAAATCCACGTAATTATATTAATGAAAATTTAAAATTATTTTGTAATTTAATTAGAATTTTAAAAAAATATAGATTATATTGAAGACAATTGTGGATTTTCATCAGAGACTATAACTCTTAATAAGTCGCATCCAATTACTTTGCATTTAAGTCGACAAACGTTTGATCAATACTATTGTGATGTAAACCTAACAACGACTGATGAAAAACTTTATTTGGAAATTAAAGGATTTTTAGGACAATTAATATTTAATGAAAACAAATCTAATGAAAATCAACTATACTTTACATATAATTCAAGTCTGGATGAAGATAATAAAATTTGTAAAAACATTTTTACAAATCAGTTGCTGATTAGTGTCGATAACAGTATGAATTCAGACATTAATAATTTATCAAATGATTTAATGCCCACAACACTAGTTATTCAAGCATTAAATAGAGACCAATTGACTGATTTTGAGGATACAAGAGATTGTATTGAAAGAGACGAATGTTCGGATATATCTAATTGTATGACCACTGAGGATGGTTCGGGTGGTGTATCCGATGACAACAATACAATCGACACCATTACTGATGTCAACATTTTGTTGGATAATAACAGAAAAAATGTTAGCATCAATTGTAGTGAAGATGATAATGGATCTGATTGTCAAAATAAAGAGTTCAATAGTAATACTAAGCCCATACCTCGGGCCAGCATTTCAGGTTAATATCACTTCAATTAATAGCATTTTTACTAATACTTCATAAAATATTTATATCTTAGACTGAGATTCTTAGTCCAATAATAATATTTTTTAAATATATATTAATTGCTTTATAATCCAACATTAATAATGCTTTGCTACAAAATATTTTTAACTATTATTTTAATTATTAAACAATCAATGTTTTAATTTTTCATCAAAGGTTCAAACACTTGGACTTTAAATCAATCGCTAATACTTTTGGTAATAATGATGGCATTAAAACAAGTTTTTGTTTAGATTAATCATATTTATTAATAGTTAATATTTAATAAAATAGTAAAATTAATAATTATAAAAATTTATTCTAAAATATAAATAAAATATAAATTTAGGTCAAGATTAAAGTTATAATGTTATATAAACGTTATAAAGTATATAATATTAAAGCAATATATTGCAACAATGCAACATACAATATATAGTAAATATACAATATATAAATATTTTAAAAATTTAGTTTTATTATTAAAATTTATTGTAATTTAAAGATTTAAAAATATTTACAATTGATATTTAAATTTATTAATATTATTTTCAATTTAGCTATAAATAAAATTTACCTATTTAAACAATGTATAACCCGAATCTATCTTTTATTTTAATATATTAGCAATTTTAAGCATTAAATAATTTAGTATTAAATTTTATTACTATTTACAGCTAATATTTAAAATATTTTTAGTTATTAAAAGTTAACTGCATTTCTATAATAAGAAATTTATAAATATTAATAGTAAAAGTTATATTAAAATATCTCTAATTTATTCAGTTGACTGCAACAAATCAATGATTTTTACATTAATATTATAGCCGACAGTTTTAGCGGCAAAATAATCAAAATGACCCCATTTGTGGTCCATTATGAGGTTTTCACTATAAAGTGGCACTAAAACAAATGCAAATTGTTTTAAATTAATATTCATTTTTAATATAATTTTTATATATAACTTATTAAATTAATTCTATAATTAGACATTAAATCATTAAACATTATAGTATAGTGAAATTTATATAAAAACACATTATTTCACTGTAATTTAGAGATAAATGAGATATTTATATATAAAACATAGGGTTAATATTTTTAAAATAAAATCATCACTTACTCACTCACTCACTCACTCACTCACTCACTCACTCACTCACTCACTCACTCACTCACTCACTCACTCACTCACTCACTCACTCACTCACTCACTCACTCACTCACTCACTCACTCACTCACTCACTTAGTTTTGTATAAATAATTAAACAAATGCTATAAATGTATTATACAACTTATATATAAAATAATTTGCAATGATTTATATATACCTGTAAGGTATCGCTTAATCATTTTAACATTTCTATACTCAGAGATGGCATCATTTAATGAGTAAAATATTGATATCGTTGGCAGTCTTATGCTTTTAAGAGGATATTCTGGTGGATATGTCTGTCCATATTTGATAAGATTTTGTTGTAACCCGTAATCAAATTTAGCAAATCTAGAGCTCGCACTCCACTGTAGAAAATGTGCGACAACCCAACTGGACACACCCGTCGGAAAGTGGGAGGCAAATGCACCTAACCTTTCCTATTTAAATAACAACAAAAATAGCCAAGTACATATAAGTTTAATCATTGATATTATAAAAATATTATAGTAAACCATACATAAGCAGTTTTTTGAGCATTAAGTCCAGTGACTAATCCAAGTAAAACACCGCATAAATAGCGTAGAGTTTTGTCACGACATATAAATCCTTGTAATTGCAATTGTATGGGAATGGGTGGTAATAAACCCATCGGTGCCGCTCTAAACACACAGATGGAGAATATTTAGCTAAAATTTTTAATGTAATTTTTTGTTAATCAAAATAACCTTAATGCAAATTGTAGAGGAGATAATAGTCGCAGTGGTGCACCGTATGTATTGGTGTCAAAAACTACCGGTGCTAATGCTATAAATTCTGTGAGAATCTTTGAATATTTAGACTTAGCTGATAATAGTGCAAACATTACGGTACAGCCCTGTGAGTGGCATATATATGAAATCTTTTCTAAAAATATATATATATAATAAAAATTAGTGTTAATCTAAATGTTAGTCAATAAATTGATAATCAATTGATGACACTAACTTCTAGACGTATATTTGAGTACATATTTAATCATTGTTGGGATGTCATATAAAGCTATATTATCCAATGTAAACATCCAGTATCTAGGATCTAAAATTTACTTGTAATTATTATAGTATATCTATATTATCAACATAGTCAATTAATGTAGTCAATAAATTTTTTAAAACTTTAATTAAATAAAAATACCTGTTTTATGATCGAGATATATATGCCCTTTAGAATATGTAGTTCCCCTACAGTTTGCCAGCCAAACATCATATCCAAATTGAGACAAAACAAAAGCTAATGAACCACCTATAGGTACCATTCGGCCATTGAGTTGTCTATAAGCGACAGGTATGGGATAACTGTCCTCAACAAAGTTGCCATCGGAGGTGAGCACTCCGTGATTGTTCATAAGCCAATCGGTAGATGAGGCGAGTATGCCGTGAGTTAACAACAGTGTCTTTTTAAGTTTTCTTTTGGGAACATATGGATTGATAATATGCTGAAGTGTTAGTATATATCCATCAGGTGTTACCACTTTGTGCTCTTCAGCCACAAATCCTCGCGATATTATTAGTTGTTTCTAATTGTTTATCAAAACAATAAATATTTTATTTTAAATATAAAATATAATCACTTAAAGACAAAAGTTAAAAAAACAAAATGTTTGAAACGTTACAGCATCTCTAAACTGATCCGGGTCCCAATCTTCAATTACACAAAATGTCGATATAATCAACAACTTGAAGAGCACTACAGATAAAAGTTTCATAACTTTTTTCGAGTAAAAACAAACACAATATATTTGAACATCAATATCATTTGGTTTTGTTATTTAAATAACATTTTATTATATTATTAACAAAAACTATTATATAAATAATTTAAATAAATAAAAAAAATTTCAATAAAAATTCTTGTTTACATTTTACTATAAAAATAAATTACACAAAAATATAATCTTTATTTTTTCAAAACAATATTTAATTAGAATTTATTGTTTTCACTTCAGTGTCTACTTATAAGTATTGGTGTCCCAAATAAATCAAATCAAATCAAATGTTGATTTTGAATAAAAAAATCACTATTAATACCTATATACAGTATATTGTATAATCAATTTACAGTATTTATTTTCTCTTATAGGCAAAACAATTTAAAATAACTTTTAAAAATTACTCTCTCTCTCTCTCTCTCTCTCTCTTCTCAATAAATAAATAATTCATTTATCGATGAAAACATTTATAAAAATATCTATGCTTTTTAGTAATACTAAAAATCATAGCACGACCTATATCCCGGTCTACAATCCATTACTGATACTATACTATTTTTTGAATATATTTTAATTTTATTTAAAATATATTTAACTTATTTTCATTTGATTTTAATTAAAATAAGAAAAAATGTATATTTATATAAAAAATGATAACAAAATATTGCTTTAAATTTCCTTTCTAAATATAATTATCATATATTTTTTTAATTATATACTATTATATTCAATGACTCTCTATTATAGTATCCTTTTATTTATAAAATATTTATTTATAATGTTAGGCCCACTGATAATATGACATATAGACTATACAGTATAATATAGAGTATTACATGTCATGCATTAAATATAAGATATTGAAATTTTTATATTTTTGAATTGAAATTTTTTTTATCTAACATTGTTAACTTCTTATACTGTATAGTGTTTTAAATAATGTGTTATATGTATTATTTTAAACACTATTTATTTATGAATTTTATATGTGTTTAAATCTTTGCTAAACATGATATGTTTTATCATTTTATAGTATACATTGCACTTCCTTTAGGTTTAGAGGAAACCAACTCATTTGGTTAAGTGATGTCCAGTTATCAACTAAACTAATAATTCATTTGACTGATGAAATCACTATCAAATTTGCATATAAACTGTAGGAATCATCAAAATTTTGATGAAAATTGCTTATTCACTAAAACCAATAAATGTATAAAAGTGTTACAAAATAATATTCATAGTTATTCATAATTAAGTTAATACAACTAGTAATCACAACATTCATATTAATACTTTTACATTTAGTTACAAATTTTGACTACATCTCGACTCTTATATTAGATATAAGGTAAATACTATAGAGTAATGTATATTAATTTATTTATAAAGTATACTAATATTACACTATAAACTTGCATTATTAACCACAGGTAAAATTATAATTTATAAATCACTTAAAATCAAATTTTAATAAATTAAAAATTACAAACTATTAGTTATTTTGATTTTAAAAATATAATAAATTATTAAATAATTTATATATTGTATTAATAGTTGTTATTACTAAAATAGCCAATTATCGAGTCTGAAGTGTATCTACTATTACTAATTAATTTGGTATTAATAAATGTCCAGTTATTATATAAATATTTGTATATTTTCCAAAAATATAATTTTATTTATAGATTTTAAAGATTATTTACCATATCAATTTTTTAATATTATTCAAATATTTGCAATAAATTAACTATAATATAAAAAATTTATTGACATTTAATATTTAATGAAAAATTAGTACACATAAAACATTTAAGTTATCTATTAAAAAATATTTATTAAAAATTATATTTTATTAAATTTACTTGTTTTATTTTAAAAAATAATAAAGTACGTTAACCTGATGCATATTTATGAAAATTTATTTATTAATATTTTTCAAATTAATATAATTTGTTTTAATAGTGATATATAGCGTAAACACTTGCATTACATATGAATGAATCCTAAAAATAAAATATACAGGAAATAAATATGTATTAAATATAAGATAAGCTAAAAATTAGTTAATATGACTGACAGTGACAATGGTTTCATTGGCATAACAATCAGTATCGCTATCCCAATAGCATTCACTCGACATTCTGTATAAAACAATATAAACATTAGTTAAATAAAATTCATATTAATTAATATATCATACAATTATAATATACTGTGATTAATAAAAATACATATCATATACATATAAAAAATTACATATCATATGTTTATCGTATTTGTTTGTACAGTATATTTAAAAACAAAACACCAAATTAAAACTCACTTTAATCCCTGACCCCGTTGTTCAGTGATCAACACAGTTACCATAAATTTATATTTTTCAAAATTTAAATCTATTTATATTTATATATAAAACATTATCCATTAAGTATTCAGTGGTAATCATTACTAATATAAAAGTATAATTATAAGGCAGTAATAAAATTAATAGTGAAAAATTGGACAAACCTTTAAGTTTTTGAAGCATAACTTTTGTCAAATGTTTTGTCAAAATAGGTAACTCTGTTTCATTATATTCTCTATATTTGATTTCATCATTTAATATATATTTAATAATTTTTTTCACATCATTTGCTTGAATTCTATATCAATATTTCATTGGAAAAACAAAACAATTATTTTGAATCATTTGCTATAAAAAATTACTGTATTATCACTTATTTTCAGGCGCCGGACGAACATTATATGAGCCAAATGTGAATTTAGACATAGATTTGCAGTAAATTTATGCAAATATTTATAACATTTTATTTATATTTTGTTTGTTAAATTACAATTCAACTCAATTATCATTTGAATACAATAACTATTTTATATTAGTTATACCGTATAATAGTTTTTTTTATTCAGACAATAGTGTTTTGATAAAAATGCAGAATCGGTTGCCATTGACTACTTGTGTCCAATATTTTCATGGATTGCCTACAATTGCATTCATTACAATGTATTTCATGTTTTGAAAATGAATTTAAATTTCAATTGAAAAAAGTGTAAACCAATTGATCATATCATCACTTTATTATCAAATAATTGTAAAAGTGTCTCATTTGTACAATACAGTCAAACTAATTATTATTATACTGTTATTGTTTATTCAATGTTTTATTAGTTTTTGTATTAGTTTCTAATACAATTCAATGTTTTTTATTTTGTTTTAATTTAATCTATTTGTTATTTATAAATACATAAAACAATATTTTGTTTAATATAATTACAATTTAAATAACAAAGCAAATGTTTGTTTAAACTAATACAAACACAAATATAAAGAGTAATTTAATAAATAACTCAATTCAATATATATTTATTAGGTAAAGCAACTCTAGGTTGTGATCAAACATTTATTGAATTATCTTTTATTAGATGATAGACAATAATATTGCAAAATATGATATCAATAGCACTAAAATAATAAACACTATTTTAGTTTATTTAATTAGATAAATACAAAAAAACCATACATTGAATATATATTTTGTATGTCATCGTTATAAGTCCAGTTTTATATAAATATAAATAAATCAAAATGTTTACTTTTATTTTTTATTTCATTAAATTTTTAAATTTAATAATAATTTAAAAAATTATGTGAATTGAATTAAATAATTAAATTTTATTTTTACAATATAAATAAATTATTTAAAAGATAATAATTTAGCAATTGTATGTACTGTATGTGTATACTATATACACTGTATAGTTAATTTATTTAATACTACAAAACATTTAATATTAATTAAATATATAATTTATAATAATATACAATATTTTTACAACAAATTAAATATAAAAATTATTTTTAACTTTAAAATAATACAATAATATAAATTAAAATGTATTTTTTCACTTAAAGTAAATTAAAAAGTATAAACTATAATTTAATAAATAATTTTTTACATATTAATAAATTTTATTATTATTTTTTTGTTATAAACAAAATAAAACATTAAAATTATATCTACAGATATTTATCATTAAATATTAAGAAGAAAAATACAGATAATACAGTAATATAATAATTATTTTAATTAACTTTTAATTAAATTAAAATAAATAGATAATTATGTATTGTATATACACTTAAAATAGTAGAATATTTTAGACTTTAAATGTTGTGAAAACAAAATTATAAAAATATATATATAAAGCTTATGTAATTTAATTCATTAATAAAAACCTAAAAAATATTTTATTACATTATAAATCTTAATGATTATAATGAAATTTATGTTTTATTTTGTCAATTGTTTATCTATTAGTAAACAATTACAATTAAAACAATATATATATATATAATAATTTATGATATTAATAATTTTAAAAAACTATAATTGATAAATAAGTGATTCATAAGATTTTGAGATAAACTTATTGATATTTCTTTCCTTAAAATCTTTAAATTTTTCATTTTAAATACTATATATACCGGTAGATAAATATATTATTTATTAAGTAACTGACTGATAGTTTAGTAACTTATGAAAACAATTTATGCGGATAACACTTAATTAATTATTTTAAATTCTATTTACTAAATAAACTATAAAAATGTATGAAAATAATTAATGATAACATTTAAAATTTAAATTTTATCCGTCATATACGGTACACCTATATGTTTGCAAACATAACTACAGTATAATTAATATTATTTAATAACATAATATATATTAATTATAATTAATAATATATTATATTTTATGCAAATATAAAGTCACGTGAATCTTATTTTAGAACATATTATTTTATATTTATTTTTTTATTATACAGTAATTTTATTTTCAATATAATAATATAGTAGTAATATATATATAACTGTGAGTAAAACAAAATAATATCAATTAAATATTCATAATTAATAAATAATAAAAAATGTTTTTAAACATTTAATTATAAATAACATATAAATAAGAAATTATATAAAATTATATTAATTTTTGATATTTTTGATATTTTTACAGACATTTGTTAAATAATTATTTTTTAAACAACAATAATTTTATATAAATCAATTTATAAAAATCAACTAAAAATAAATAAAATTTTGTATTTTCATACTTTTTGATGAAATGGTTTGAATATAAATGAAATGGTTTACTAAATATGAATTTATTCTTCTAAATCATGAAATTTCATATATTTGTCCAATGAATTTAATAATAAATTATAGTGAATCTAAAAATAAATAATTTTACTATTATTAAAATTAGTATAATTAAAATAACTAATCTTAGCTAATATAATCTATTAATAAAACAATATTTTTGAGTATATTTATTAATTTATACAGTAATAATAATTATATCAAATATATGATACTTGATTACTATGTTATTATTTTTATTAATTAATGCTAATGTTATAATATTTGCAATTTTTATAAATAACATGTTTAACTAAATGTTTTGAATATTATTTAACAGCAAATATCATAAAACTCATGAATGATTTAAATAACTTTTAATAAATCATGAAATATATTAAATAAATATACTATTATATACAGTTACCGGCATATGTAAGTTAAAAAGTTTGGGAACTTGTATTTTGTAAACCAATAGTTTAATTTTGATGAAATTTATTTTATATTAAAGCTGTTATCCCTAAATATCTATCATAAAAGATACAATTAATTATATCAAATAGTTTTTAACTTATATGAAATTAAATAAAAATTACATTATAATGACTATCATTAACTTAAATGTTTGTCATATTGACACTCAAATGTAATCCATTGGTCTCTGTATTGATTTAACTGAAATCATATTTGATTCACTGTTGAGTTTAATGGAATCCATTTAATTGTCAAAATATGACAAATATTTAATTTACTTATAATTATTATAATGTAATTTTTTATTTAATTTTATATAAGTTAAAAATTTCTTGAAATAATTAATTGGAAATTTTATGGTAGATATTTAGTGATATCAACTTTAATATAAAACAAAATTCATCAAAATTGAACTATTTGTTTACAAGTTATAAATTCCCAAAATATTTAATTTAGATATGCCGGTAACTGTATATACTTTACTACTTTCTATACTATATTTAATTATTTCTATACTATAAATAAGCTGTATTAGCATTATTTAAAATAAATTTAATATTTTTACGATTACAATAATATGTGTTTAATGTGCTAAAGAAAATGTCACTTATGTTAATATTATTAATATTTGCATTTTATATAATATTTTAGTTTTGGGTCATTAATACTAAAAATATTATGAATATAATAGATGTATAGATAAGTGCTATAATACCGAGTTTTCATGCGGTTGTCCTCTCAATAGACTTGTGAATCGTTTTCTAAGTCTATTTGTATCAAACAGTGACTCTAATTGTCTGTTATATTGTGATCCAAGAGTTGGTCTTTTCATTGATAAGTCATCACTCATTTCACTTATAAATAGGATTTACAAAAATATTTAATATAAAACTCACAAAATTTGTTATTATAGGATAATGCAAAGTATTTACAATATTATTCAAGTAAATGTCAGAGATTGACATTTTGTTATCAATTATAGTAACAAACCTCATATATGTCTCATAATTTTGGCGCTTTGATGGCAAATGTTGAGATCTCTTAGCACTGACACCTCTGCATTGGGGCGCAAATACAAACCGCCTATAATTATATTAAATTTACATTAATTATATAAAACAATTATAAATAAAATTTAAAAAATCTTATAACAATCATATCATCTTTTATTTAGAAATAGTTTTTTCTTAATATATGTACTTAATGTTTGGTTTAACATTTAGCACTTATTTTAGTAAAATTCACAGAAGTTGTGTAATAAATCACTGAATATTTGTGTATTTCCAATAAAACATTTACTTTTACAATAGATGACCCTAAAAACATGACCCCTCCCGCCTCCTCATTGATTGATTTAATTGATAAAAACACATTAGTTACCAAAACAATCCATTGTGTGATAATAGTAAATCTTTTGTGTTTTAATATAAATGTCATTTTATTTGTTACAATATTTCCTTTACTTTTATGATTTCATTTCCAAATAAAGACAAAATACATAGTAAAGCAAAAGATTTATTCATTTTTTTCAATAGTTTTTTACTGTATTTCTTAAGAAATTAATCAATAATATAGACTTTACTATTAACACACAATAATAATTTATTTCAATCAACACACACTTTACTTGTTTTGTTAATTAACATTTGATTTATTCAAAGTTCATATCAAATTATTTTTGTTTATAATATTTGTTAGTAATATTTTTCAGAATTTTGAATTTTTATAAAATAATTAGTATATCATATAAATTTACAATGAAATTACGAATAAAATGTAAAAATGTTAGCAAACAACAAAAAATAGATAAAATTTAATAACAAATAATACTGAACTTATTATGATATGATAGTATAAATATTTAGTATAACAATATTATATTTAATATATCATTTGAATTTAGATGAACATAAACTATGTACAGTAAATTGTTAAGTTATACTATATTGAAAATATTATTATTATCTTATAATATAATATTAATATTACAATTATTAGTAATATTTATTTATTATTTTGATTTATTTAGCAATTTATCAATATTTCTATTGTTACAAATAAATTAATATAAATTCTCGGAAAATAATAAAAACTGCAAACGAGTTGGGAATACATAAATAGTGAACTTCTATAACAGTAATACATTCATACCTGCAATCGATGGCAGCGTTTGCAGAACTGATCCAAAAAGTGATGACAACAACAAACAAAACAATTGTGTATTCCGTGTATTTCATGGTTGATGTGTTAATCGATATATTTGTTAAAAGTTTTAATTAACAACTTTCACCTGTAGATTAAAATTTAAAATAATAACATATGTTTAAGTACTAATGCATATAATTTAGTTAAAATTGTATTTTACCAGTGCATGAAAGTTATTTATTTGTTAGTCAAAACAAATATTTAAACTTTTAGTATATAATATATATTAAAATCAATTTAAATTTAGTAATACTATACATAAAATTATTTAAAGTTCATAAAATGTGTTTACATATTATAAAAATTTATTAATTATATGGAATTATTTTTAATACTATATGATAAATTTATTTTGTCCAGCAATTTATCAATTTAATAATTAATAATATTAATGAATATAAATTATTTATTTAAATAAATATTTTCCAAAGTTTTTTCAATAAGGAAAGTTTCCGAATAAAACTTTCCTAATATTTTGGAAAACGAGGAAAATAATTTATTGTTGAAAAACTAATATTTTTATGATAAAATTAGAAAAATCAATATTACAAATATAATATCTAATATAAGAAAGTCATTGATTGAAAGTCATAAATAAATTTTAATTATATAATAGTTAATTAATAAAATAAAGTTTATATTTATAATAAATAAAAATTTTTAAAAGTACCAAAAAAAAAACAAAAAAATATGGATTTTTTTCTGAAAAGAAACATTTTATTCAAAATACAAAAATTATTACAAACTATTAGCAGATTTTATTTAAATTTATGATATATTAATTTATTATTTTGAGATACACATAATAAATAAAATAAAATCGCATAAAAATTAATTATAATTTATTAAATATAGACTTATAATAAAATTATAATGTTAATTTACAAATTTTTGGTAACTATAAAAGAGATTGCATTTGAAAACTAAGCTTTGGATTAAATGATAACTTTATATAAAAAATAAGTCAATTTATTAAATTTTAACAGAAATATATAAAAAGCATTATTTATATTATAAGATTTATAATTCAATATAATGTATATTTGTTTTTATTATTAAATATTTTTAATTAATTTTATTTTATAGTAACTTTTGTACAGGTAGTCTATATTATAATTATATAATTTAATAATAAATTAGTAAAATATTTTGTCAGTAATTTTAACTATATATTAGTAATAATCAGTTATTTTTATTTATTTTTATTACGGCAAATATCTTTCCATACAAAATGGATTAACTTAATATATTCTGTAAATATAGTATTATATTAAATATTGTTTAAAAATTTTACAAATATTTCTATTCATTTTCATTTATCATAGAATGAAACTTTATTTATAGATAGAAATTGATAAAATGTATGAATATTATAAACACATCTAAAGTATTATCAAATACAGTATTTAAATAAAGTATTTATCATATTTTTCAATTATCATATATATTATAACGTTGCAACAAAATTTGAAAAAATGTTACAAAACTATACAAATTGTAACTAAAAAAATAATTATACGTTATCTGCTTTTATACAAATAATTGATTTCACAGATTATTGGTTAAATCACTTATCATTTCAAATAAAAACAAATTTGAAATTTATTGTTTAAACTTAAATATTACATAATATATTATATAAAAAATAATATTTATAAATTAAAAGTTTAATAATTATAAATATTTTTTTGGTTACTTTTTTGATAAAAATAAAATTTCTCATTTTATTTGTTACAAAAAAATCATATGAAAGTACTTTAGAAAGGATATTATAAATGATAACACATTTGATATAATCTATATACTGTATACTGTTTATAAACCATAAACTTCCGATCGGATCCCATAATAATGGGTCTGTAATATAAAAGTCCAAAACGTTATAAAAGACAATAAGTTAGTCAAAAAACTCATACATTTTTAGTCTCGTAGTACTCACTATTTATTTCATTCATCAAAACTATTATAGTATTTGCTGAACAAATCAATAGATAAAAATTGTTATCATTAGTTATCGGAAATTTTTATTATATAAACATTTGAATAATACTGTATATAAGATAACTAATGAATATTATTACTGTACATAAAAATAATTATATATCATATAAATTCTATAATAAAAATAAATAATTTTAATTATTAATAATAATAATTATCTTAAATATAAACTTTATTCAATATTTTATTAATATTAACATTTTATATTAACAATAATATTATTATTTATACAAGAAAACAATATATATTATAAATTTATAAACTAAATACTATTCATAATATTTAAGATAAAAATTTTATGAAGTGTAATAATAATTAAATATTAAAATTTATATTAAATTACTATTTATTAAATTTAAGAAAAAATAAAAAATATATTGAATACCAATTAATTTATCCAAATTAGAGGTTTACTAATTATCCAAATAGTTGTCCAAATTTAATAAATAAAAATCTATATAAAACACTTTAGTATTTTATAAGCTTTACTTTTTTACTTTTTGCTGTTTTATTTTATATCTCAATAATTCACATTTAATGATAAATAAAAGTACAAAACAAGTATTATTTATATAAATTTGTATTATTGTAGTAAAAGATTTATAAATATATAATAGTAGTCAATGGTATTGATTCTAAGTATTGTATTATAAAACTTGTTAGGAGTTTGTGCAGTGGTTTACACACACACTATGAAAGATACTATTCCTATAGTATTGTTATTATATGCATCACTAGTGCTGTAAAAATATAAGCTTTTTTAGTGACGAGTGACTGACTTGAGTGCAGACAATGGTTTGGTTGTCGCCTACGATCTCACTGTATATTCAGTCACCACTACTACGTCCACCACTACTGTCATCACGTTTTGAATCCATTATTCTTAATGTTTATTATAGACGGAGTAAATATGCTGTAAATATATCAAATGCTAGTAATGATAATATGTTAGGTTATATACAATATAAATGTTGTCGTATATGTATAATATATTGTTGTTTATTTATGTCATATTTGCATGAAATTTGAGAAAATTCAAACATTTACACTAAAATCAAATTTGAGTTTGTGTTACCATAACATTATTAATATAGATATATTTTAATATAGTATCTTGTAATTTATATATATATAATATATAAATTAAGATTTTAAAGATCAACAAAAAATAGTTTAAGATAAGAAAACTTTTTATCTATAGTTGACTCTATACTATATAAGTTAATTGTATATTTATAAATAAAAGTTAAAATTATAAATAACATTGTTGCACAGTAATGTTTTAATGAATATATTTAATTTTTATGTATAATAAATGTAAAAATATAAATTATAACTAAATATAATAGAATTAAAAATTAACGTTTAAAATGTCACATTGTTTTATAGAATCAAAACACATTGTAATCATAAATAATAAATAATTTTTTATAAAGAAGTTTATTACTAGTTTTCAAAATATTTTTTTAGTTTTAAAAAAATTATTTAAGTACAAAATTTAAGCACAAAATCTAAGTACATAATGGACTCAAAAAATATAAATAAATAAATATTATTATATATGAAATATATATTTTATTTATAGTATAAATCTGTATTTAATAGAAACACGAATAAAATCTTTTGAAATTTGCAGCAATTCTTATCTAAAACTAAATGTTTATTCAGGTTTAATACAAAATATTTTTTTATTGATTTGACTAAAAAAATATCAACACTTTGGCTAAAATATTTTTTTTATCAAAATTAACTGACAAAATAAGTTCAACAGTTTCACCATTTTATATAGTTAGCTAATAATGATAATTAAATTATTGCTTTTAAAAGTAGTATTCACTTGAGATATAAAATTTATTATTATAAAAAAAATCAATTCTTACATTAGATTACTTAAATTATGAGTAAATTTCTGACATCAAATAAAAAAGATTTTGACATTTAAATTATTTTATCATTAAATAATATCTTAAATTAATTTAAATATATTTACTTACACACTGTATAATCAAATAATCTATATTATAATCACATGTTACTAGTATATGGTAACTGTGCAAATATAATCAACAAATATAGTTTGCTATTTGAATTCATTATGTGTGTCTGTCTCTCGTTTTCAAGATTTTTAACTTTTAACTTTAGATTCAAATAAAATTATTGTTTAAAAAAGTAATCTTTATTTTTAAATAAACACTTCAGAAAACAAATAGATTTAGTTTTTAAAAAATTATTTTGAAAATGCTATATAACATTTTTATTTGATTTGATTTTATGCATAATTAAATTTTAATATAAATTTAAATATTACAATAATTTAAAACTTAAGTCAAAAATATTTATTGACATCTTTAACATTTACATTATATACGGTATTATACTTAGTGTTTGCAAAAAAGAGAAATTTATAAAATAATATAGAAATTTCTAGAAAGTTTCTAAAAGATATTTTTATTTATGTGATCCCCATGGTTAATTTTGTTCTCTCGATATTTGTTATCTTTAACATTGTTTTACAAGTAATAATTAAATACATTATTATCATCAGTATTATTATCAGTATTTTAATTATTAATTAAAATAAAAAATTTATTAATTTAATTATATTAAACTATGATATAATAAAATGATGAATAAAATTTTACAAAACTGATTATTATTAAATAATTATAATTATTTATATAGGTATCCCATTTGTATAATAGTATTATACAGTAATCTATATTATATAGAATAATATTATATGTATAGTATTATATCTCATTAATATATTTATAGTATTACAATAGCTATAGATATGGGGATCCACTAGTATAACAATAAAGTTAAATTTCTATAGAAAATTATTCATGAGAAACTTTCTAGAAACTTTCTCAGGGAAATTTATTAGAAACTTTCTATTTGCCCATCTCTAACTATATTGTAATAACTTTAAAAATTTATAGTATATCTTGTATATTATAAGTTAGAATATTAATAATCTTAATATTATTTCATCATTTAATGATTAATTAATTATTATTAAAATATAATTATAATATTTTTAATTATTTACAATTTTATTAATAAATTAATTATAACTTACTATTAATACAATTTATTAATTAATTTATTGCTTTATGTATTAAGTTTAAGTTAAACAAAAAAAAGTTAATTTTTTGTTGCCATAAATAATTTGTTAACTAATTGTTAACTATTTTGTTTTCAATAATAAAAAAATATATATAACATCTATAGCTCATAATTCATTTTATTGATTATTATATAATGTAATATATGTTATATAATATTTAAGATTAAAAAACAAATTAAAATTTCTATTAAATTCTATAAAAATGTTATTTATTGTTATACTATGGTATCCTCATATATAATTGTAATACATAATCAAAATAATAATAAATACTAATAATTTTAGTCTATTACAAGATACTGATTATTTATTAAACAAAATTAATTTGGATATAAAATCATTTACCAATTAATAAGTAATGTAAAAACTTGTCGATAAAAAATGTTTACTTATTGTAAAGTTTATTGTGTTTGTCTCACATATCCAATATAACAATGAAATTGTAAAACTAAATATTTTGTTTAACTTATTATAAGTAATCAATTTATTTTTAGTATTATTAACATTATTAAACTTTATATTAATTAAACAATGTTTTAGAGACCATTATTAATTAAAAAACAATAAAATATTGTTAAAAAATTATTTATATTTTATTTAGTATATAATATAAAAGATTATTTTTTATTTATTTAATAATTAATTTGTGGAATTATTTGTAAAAATATAAATAAATAAAACTTAATTAAAATAATGTTTATTTATCGGTTGCACTTTTATTGTATTTAATATAATATATCATATAATTTTAATTAAAATTTTAGTAATAACATTAAATACTATTATTTACATAAGCTTATGATGAATGTGTAATAATATAACAAATTGACAAATGATATAAAAAAGATGTTTCTTTAAGAAAAAATAATTTAGAAATTTTTAAGATAAACTAAAACAAGTTAACAATCAATCTATTTATACAGTATTTTATTTTTATAATTCAAATTATATTTATATATATATATATATATATATATATATATATACTGTATATCTTTTAAATAATTATATACAGCATTGTATATATACTAATAGATTTGTCTGTTGTATATTTGAACACCCCGTGAGTGACTATTCCTATACAACGTTAGTGAAAATTGCAACAAATAAATCATTTATATCTCAACTGTCGTAACTAATATACAACAACTAATATTCATTGTTTGTGGTCATCAATAGATACGTCTAATTAATTGCTTATAATAATCTTAATTATAAAACTAGATCTAAATTAACTTAATAATAATAAATACTTGAGAAATAAATGATTTGTTTGTTGCAATTTTTAGTAACGTTGTATTAAAATAGACACGGGTTTTAAAATGTAGAACAGACCCATAAATTTTAATAATTTCAAACAATTATTTATTTCAAAAATGATATCTTATTATAAAACAGTGACAACAAGTCACGTAATTATAATTAAATTAATAGATAATTTTTGTATTTATAATATATTGTAATTTTAAGTTTTATTGAAATAGTTGAGTTAAAGTTATAATTAAAACAGATGATTAATATACATTAAATTAACATTTATCATTTTTATAATTTAGTAGAATTTTTACAATTATATTGAAATTGATATTTTTAATTATTAGAATTATATTTTAAATTATTAGAATTATATTTTAAATTATTAGAATTATATTTTAAATTATTAGAATTATATTTTAAAAATTAAAATTATTATTCATATAAATATATAATAGTCTAAATACATAGTAAAGTCTAAAACTAATTATTATTATTATTATTTTATTAAGAAAAATCTCTAAAAAAGTGAAAAACAATTAGTCAGTCAATGAAATTTTAAATCATAAAATCAAACTATTTGTTTGAAATTTTCATTATATAATATTATAATAACAATAATGAGTTATAATAAAAATTTTGAAGAAATATTATTGAAAACCTACAATAATTGGCAAAATTTATATAAAATAAATATAGAAAACTTAAAGAAATTTTAAAATTTTAAACAATTTTATATTAAACTAATATACTATCTCTAAAAATATTAATACTGTATTAATAATAGTATAAATAAAAAAATTATTCTATGATGTTTTTAGTTTATTTATAATTTATATGATTATTTGAATATTATTTAATAGTTTAATGTAAATAGTTAAATTATTCATAAAATATAATATGTTATTATTATTTATTATTTAAATGTTTACATTTACCTTTACAATCTCTATTACTAATAAATTTATATATTTTTTAAGTAAAATATTAAAAGTTATTTAGTAAACTATATGATAAATAATGTTTTTTACATATATATTATATTTACTAACTAATCTATTTATTAAATTATTGTTATTACTAACAATTTCAATACAAATATTATGAAATACTATATTTAATATTAAAACAAATATTATTTTATCATTTTTGTTCATTATTATATTTACAAATAATTATTTTATAAAAATTATATTACATTTAAATGATACAATAGAGTGAAACTCATGTTATTTAATTACTTATAAATGTTTTATATGACTAATACATGAAGTTGTATTACATTATGTAAATGTATCAGAAAAATATAAATTCAATTATTTAGTTTTCAAGGTTTAAGTTATTTCCTATAATTTAATGTATTATATGAATACTAGAATTTTAAGACAATCAAGTTATGATATATTAAACATTAAATGCATTTTAAATAATAATAATAATAATAATTTTTGTCTTTACTAATTATGTGTATCTTATTTGATTATTATGCAATTATATAATAAATTATGCATAATAGCAATGCTTATATGCTTCATAGCATCAAAATTTCATTAATACATAATAAATATAAATACATTACACTATTAAGCTATTGAACTCATTTTTTGAATATTTGCCAAATATTTTACAGAATATGATAAATTAAATACTTTTAAATTAAAGAAAAAATCAAATCAATACACTATCATATTCTCTATATATATCAAATTACTTATTATAACTTATGACTCACAAATTAATTTACATAATACTAGTGTAGTATATTAAGTATATTAAAAATTGTAATTAAAAATACATGTAATATAAATCATATTAAAATATAAATTAAGTTATCTTTAATATATCAATGAAATAGTTAAAAAACAAATATATAAAATAATTTATTGCAATATAAATTATAAAGAATAATCAAAATAATTATATTTTAATTTATCGAAGTAATCAAAAGCAATGAAAATTAATCAAATATACAGTATATATTTGATATGTACAGTAAAATATATTTTTAGACATTTTAGATTATATAAGTTTTATATAAATATATTCATTAGAATGAGTGTCATTTCAGTTAAATTGTAAGCAAAACATATTAATTAGCTTTTATCAGCACAATATTAATAAAAATATTTTCAATGTTTATTATGTTTGTCGACTCATTTTTTTGGTTAGACATTACGTAATGTAATGACAAACACTCAAATGATTTACATAAGAATATATGAGAATATTTACAGAATATTTCAAATATTGAATTGCATTACATATACTGTTTTGAAAGCATAAACTCTAACCGTTCACACCATAAATGGTTGCTTTAAATTTGGCACTCATTTCATTGCCTACAATGCACTGCAACTAAATGCTATTAATATAACCAATTTTATTAGGGTTTAAAAATAAATACTCATTTAAATGACATTTTTTTAAATTAAAAATATAACAAAAAATAAATATCTAAATAAGGTTTATAAAAATGTCATACTAATTTTAAATAAAAATATATCAATAAATTTTTATAAAAGTTATGAAATAATATCAAAAATAGTTTGTATTTAAAAAAAAAAGTTTTTCATAATAGGAATGAAAACCAAAGAAGAAGAAATATAATAAAACAATTTGAGAATATTATGTGAAAATGGTTTCTTCATAAATATGTGATGTATTTTGTTGAGTGGGCGTCAACTCAAACCACATATTTGGCAACTGATCCCAGTATTTGCCGGCTATTACTTGTGTCTCGATTTCTCTGTTTAGGGACCCATAAGTGATAGCTCTACTAATTTAAGTGCAATACATAAGCAGTTAGTTATCGCTTATCACATAAACATATTTTCTCAGTTAGGTTGGAGACAGTCCTAGCGTTGACATCAAGTTTTGTTAATTAGTTGTCTTTTTGTGACATCTCATCCCAGTTCACATCAATGGCTCATTACGGTATTCAGGCGGCAGTTACCGCAAAAACTTTGTCCAAACGGTCTCCAAATACCGAAAAAGCACTCATCGAGTGGATCTATCAGTCCATCGGTGAACCGTTACCTGAGGGCACATTTGAAGAGGTGCTCCGCGACGGAGTGGCTCTTTGCAAACTAATTAACAAATTGAAACCCGGATCAGTTGATAAGGTTTTGTCATTTATTTTTAATATTAGTATATTTTTATTAACTTTTAATACTTTTATAATTATATAATCCAATGTCCAGATAGCCACCAGTGGTAGTGGATATGTATTGATGGAAAACATCAATAAGTTTCTGAAAGCCGCTCAGGACTACGGTGTAGCCCACGACCAACTGTTCCGAACCGTCGACTTATACGAAAAGAAAAACATCCCCGAAGTGACCGGCGGTATCATAGCGTTGGCCAGAATCGTGTCCAATAACACCGATTATACCGGACCTCAACTCGAGAAATGGGTTTTCGCTAACAATTAAACCAATTTTATTAAAATGTTTTAACTATTATCTGACATCCATTGGAATCGTTATACGTTTTTGGCATCACTTTTAAGTTTTGTTTTTAATTTAATTTATTTTTACTTTTTTCTGATTTAAATTACTTATTTAATTGCAATATATTTATGATTTAAATAAAAAAGTAATAACTATTTATAGACTTATTCAAAAAATAAGTAATTTATAATAAATTTAAATTTTATGTCATGTTATTTATTATAAATAAACAACAAACAAAATGCTTTATCAATATGTTTTAATTTAATTACAGTTTAATGTTGTTTTACAAATATTTTAAAATAAATTATTAAAAATAATTAATAAAAATTAAATAAATTTTTAATTTCAATTTAATAAATATTTACTATTATTTTCTAAACATATATACAATTAAATGAAGTTAAATTATAATTATTTTAATATATTCATAATAAAACCAATATAATTATCTATAATAAAACATTAATATATAAAAATAGTATTTTTATATTTGAAATAATTTTTAATCATAAAGATATACTTAATTACAATAAATTGTAACATATTATTTTGAATGAAACAATTTTATAGTAAGTTAAATGATTTACTATAAATCATTTAATGTTGAATTTGTTTAAAAGGAAAGTTTCACTGTATTTTTAACTAATTTTATTCACAAAATTTATATATATATATATATATATATATATATATATGTATATAAATAAATGTTATGCTAAAATAGTGATATAAAACAATTTTTTGGTTTTGTATAGGAAGGAGAACAGGATAAAATGTGATAAAACGGGATAAAAAGTCTTTAAAAATAAAAAGTCTAAAATTATATAATTAAAACATATGTTTTAAAAAATTACAAATAACAAAAACATAATTATTATAAAATTTAGAGATTGGTTTTGAAAGGAATTATTTAAATAAATTTTATTCACAAGACGGGACAAAACGGGATAAAATGAGTTTTTTAAAACAGTAAGTACACTATTATTATGGATAAACTATTATTATTTCAAAAACACTTTTAATGAAGTTTTTATTTATTTTTCATTTTTTTGTAGTTGTGATGAGTGAAACATACAGAAAATCTTAATCTTGTAAAATATTGTAATTATAAATATATATAATTTTAATGAATCGCATTTAAATTGTTAAATAAATAACCTAATTAAATTGTTGATTAATATTTGATATTACAATATCAATACAAATATTAATTCAATAATTTTATTAATGTAATAAATACTGTACCACATTATAGTGGAAAATAATAATAAATCATTAATAATAAGAGATACTTATATAGTATTATGTAAGATATATGCATATAAATTTAATATATAAAATACAGTACTGTATTATTTAGTATTATATTAATTTAGTACAGTATCTACAGTACATCTATTATAAACTCAGTATTTATGATATTTTTATATTTAAGGAAATATTATATCATTGAGATATGAAGTGTGTATCTTATGAGCACTTTTTTATAATTAAATGCTTCACTCATCAAATAAGTATTATATTATATCATAAGTGATTTTATTATTGCGAAAAATCAGATAAAATAAAAAAGGTAGTCTATGTTTATTATTATACTAAAAAATAATAAACATTTATACCCACATATTACTGTTAATATACCGGTACTGTATTATTGTGCTGTCATATAAACTACAGTATTTACTGCCCATTGAATAAACTTGTGTTTAATAACAAATAAATAAATCTACAAATTTACAATACTCTCTATAAATATTAATAAAGTTTATTGAAATTATTAAATAAAGTTAAGCACTGCTTCTAATAATTTAATAGTCTATTATAAAATTAATTAGAAAAAACAAAAAAATGCAAATAATCACAAGTTATTTGAAACATATTTAATAAACTGTTTTTTAAAAATGTAAATAACTTAAAATAATAAATAGTAAGTTATGAATAGATAATTTTTGTGTAATAAATATTAATTTTTTTGTAAAATTATTAAAATCTTATTTCGAACTCATATATAATAATATTATATAAGATTTTTAATCAAATATAATTCAGAATATTCTGATAAATTCAAATGTTAGCACAAATACTGTAAATGTTATATAAAATATTATATAATATAACACTCAATCATTATATTTGGTAACGACTGTTGAGAAAAATAGATAAAAAATAATTGTTAATAACGATTATCTGTATCTCATAACTGGTTTGTCATCCGATACTGACCTGAACTTTCTGTGTCGGAATGAGTTAGGAATTCTCATCTTTGGTTTCAAATCAGACAAAACCGGAAGAGAATTACTGAAAATTAAATAAACATTTATATAATTTATTTTATTTAATGAAAACAATTAATGTTATAATTAATGTATTCAATAATACAACATAAATATTGTAATTAATCTATGAAAATGTAAAGATTTAAACAAAAATTGTTTGCAAACCTGGTTTTTCTTTGAGACCAAAAACGTTTTTCAATTAGTTTTTGTTCAAAGCATTCATCAGAAAATATTGATCTAAAATATTTGACAATTTTATATTATTGTAACCTATTTTATTGATCATATTTTTGTGTTAAAAAATATAGTTTTTTAAATTAATTTTTATTCTATAGTTTAATGTTAAACTATTATATAACTAATATATACACAATGTATATGTACTGTATATTAAGTTATTATTAATTTATATTTATATTCATTTTATTTTAATATATAAATATTTAATCTCATATAACGTACATTTACCTGCATTTGTATGAATTAATTTCTCCAAATAATAAAATTATTATATATATTGTAAACATAAACCACAATAGTTTTGATGATATTGTTGTCGCCATTACGAGAATTTAATAGCTATTGTATTTAAAAAATCAAATTTTATTTAATATATATATAAATTATATATAAAATAACACCACTTAAGTCACAAAAACATATACTATTCTGTTAACAAATCTCGAGTAATGATTAAAATCAATACATAATATCATAAAACACATATACATGACATCACTGATCATGAGTTCATGAGATTAAAGTCAAAATACTATTATAATACTTAAATAACATTCACTTTTTCAATGTATGGTTTTCAATAAATATTAAAAATTTTAAGAATATTAGTATTTCTTATTTATCAATGATTTTCAGCTAAATTTTACTTTCATCCACAAATTGTTTGTAGGTTTTACAGTAAATAAGTGTAAATATATATACTGTATATACTGTAAATATACTTTATGTAATAAATTCTAATGCTTTTTAGCTAAAATTTGAAATTAACTTTATATGACTGATAAAGTAAAAAGTAAAAAACAAACAAATATCTACTGTAGTGCCAACTCATACTCCCAAAAGCTCACTAACAGAGATTGTGACAGAGATTTTCATTTAAATCAAATCAATTGAATTGAATTCATTAGTGAAATTTGGCTAATAATTGCTGTACTGTAATGTAGTACATGTTATATGTCTTTTTGGAAATCACTTTAATTATTAAAAATCTGATCAAACACTTAACTAATGAAAAAAACAATATATTCATAATATTGTTTTAGATATTTTAAGTTAACAAAAATGTAGTTATTATTAATAAATAAAAATATAACAAATATTATATATTATAGTTAATTATTCATTTATGTTATAAAATAAAAAGATTGCAATCTTTGTTTCGTTTAATCTATAAAATATAATATATTGTATTAAAAATAATACATTTATTTGATTTGCAATTAATTTTCAATTATATTTATGTGTTAAAATTATTTAATGTTATTTAATTTATAAATTATATAGTTTTTAAATAGTAGATTTATATTAATAATAAATAATGTAAAAACAATTCAATTTAAAATTAACAAAACACTTTTTGAGAAAATAAAACATAATATTTGTTTAAATAAATAAAATAATATCATTGTTATGACGTTAATAAAAGTCTGTCATACTATTAAAAAATATGTGAAAATTTTAAATAAAAATACAAAACAATTTAATACAATTCTCTTTTTAGAGACAATAAGATTATACCAACAAAACTAAATGAATACTTACGTAAAAGTTATTTAAATTTCAATAAAATTATATATATATATACATATATTGTTTGTATATAATATATATTTATATATTATTTCAGTACTTTTGTCTCGTTTTATGATAATATATATATATTTAAAATATAGCCTTAAATGGCAAAGTCGGCGACAGTGAAAGTACACAAACAGTCAAAATAGTGTTATTTAAAAATAAATTAATCGAAATTCAATGCAATTCACACTCAAAAAAAACTTTATTTCATACAAAAACTTCTTATATTTATATGAATAACAGATATATAGTTACGACAACTTTTCAATTGAGTCCAACATTTTTTTCATCGCCAATGATTCACTTATATATTATTAATAAGTAACACAATAGTAGATATATTTGCAAACTATGCGCACAAAAGCCGTCATCACTTGCTTTTTATTTGGGCTAAACTTTTTTGTTTTGCTCTCTTTGTTGGTGTCTTTCCACTCGAGAGTACAGTAATGTAAAGTTACAGTACATCACAATGTTGTTTGCAATAAAAAGACATTTTCAAAATGTTATCAATCAATTGATGATATTATAAGATTAAAATGAAATACATTGACATAACATATAGGAAAGTTTATATATGATATATGACAGATATGAAAAAAATTGTTAATAACAATAAATATAATAAATAAACGAATTGATAGAAAACAATTCATTGAACAAATGATTGAATCAATGAATTGTCAGCAAATTTATTGAAACACAAGAATATTCTGTCAAAAAATAAATTTTTTTAAGTTTGTTGCAATGATAACTATATGACATTTTATAGTATAATTAAAAATATGTTTCAGTATAACAACAAATTATGACATTTTATTAAATACTTATAATATATTATCAAATTAAATTTATAAAATAATAATTAGTACTTCAATAATAAATCTTAATTATATAAATGAAAATGTATACTCTCTCTCTCTCTCTACTTACTTTTTAAAAAATATTTTCTAATTGAATTGAAAAATATATGTTAATTTTAAATATTTACTAAACAATAATTTTA